TAGAAAAGGTGATAAATTAGTTAATCAGTGTTGGATAAATTTCAACAATTAACATTTACTGTTTTATTGTATTAACCTACTAAATTACAAGTGAACAATTTGATTAAATTATTATTATATTACACAGAAATTATCATCGGTTTGAAAGTGTTAATTGAGTAAACGATTAAGTGAATGAACAAACAATTTCCTTGTAAAAGATAAACTTAATTCGTTTAATTGTTTCCCTTTTACCGTTAATCCTTGAAATGAAAAAGTGAATAAGTTACATGATAATGACAAGGAAAAGTTAATTTTTCTCATTTCCTCATTCACAATTTTCTGTTGAAAATTTTAGAGCAAAAAATCAATAATTTCAAGTTAGAAGGCAAAACATGGCTCAGAATCCGAATATCTCTTTCTTCATCATCATCAGCATCCAACATCTTCCAACTTCATCTTTTTAATATTCTCTCTCTTATTTTCTATTCTTTTTCTATTCTTTCCATGTTCAAAACTCTTCCCATGTTCCCATGAACGTTCCAATATTTTTCTTCTTTATCATCAACATTTTCTTCATATTCTTTTCTCTTTTTTTCTTCAGCCAATTCATTACAATTTTGACCAAAAGAAAGAAACTGTATCATTTTAGTTAGAATGATTAACGATCTTGTTAAAGAAGATGATGAACATAATAAAAACGACAAAAAAAGGCTAACGAAAATGTTACGTAAATTCTTAGCACTTTCACCATCATCTAGACTGAGAATGCTCTCATTTTTTTCTGAGATAATCTCGAATCTTTTTCATGAAATTTTCTTTCTTTTCTTAGTCTTAAATTATGTCTTAAGAAATTTTCGCATCCATAATAACCTCTAATCTTATCCTTGATTCAAATTAATTTAAAGCCATTTTATGTTAATACTTAATCTCTGGGATATCTATTAAATTTTCTCAATCTTTATCATCATTATAAACTAATTTAATACTTTAATTGTATTAAGATTGTTAAGGATAAGATTTTAAACATCAATTGTCTTAATGTCAGTTTCATTTCTCATCATCATCTTCTTCATCTCTCTCTCTCTCTCTCTCTCTCTCTCTCTCTCTCTCTCTCTCTCTCTCTTATTTCTATTCTTCCCCCTTTGAAAATTTTCCAATGAGGCTCAACGTGAAACTTGAGGATAACCGTCTTAAGAGCTTTGATCATCATCATCATCTCATCATAGGATGAAGAAGAACGAAGGAGGAGGAGGATGATGAAAAGGAGCATCTTCAGAGAGAGAGAGAGAGAGAGAGAGAGAGAGAGAGAGAGAGAGAGAGAGAGAGAGAGATTTAAAATGGAAATAGATGAAGAGATGGGAAGAAAAAAATAGAGAGAGAGAGTGAAGATGATTCAAAATCAGAACGCAAACTTGAGCCAAATGGAATTAAGGAGTGATGAATGTGTGTAAAGAAGATGATGTTGAAGATGCTGAAGAGAATTAGAAAACGAGAGAGAAATGATGATCATCATGAAGAAAAGAAATAAGAAGACAATGAGAAAAGAAAATGATTTGGTAACATTGGTAAAGAAAAAAGATGTTAGATTAACATTGCTCTCGTTTTTTTTCTGTCTATTGATCTTTTTGTTGGGACAATTAATTAATTATATTGTTTTCCATCAACATACTTAACAAGTTGATATGCAGAACAATTAATTGTTACAGAAAAAAAGAGACGATGACATTTTATTAAGAAAAGCGAGAGGGAAAAACAAAACAATCATGATAATTATGGTTAAGATGATTAAGATGAAAATGTGAATATCTAATTAACATGGTTGTCAGAATTGTCTTTCAATTAATAAGATCAGTTTAATCATGTTAATCATAATTATCGTAATCAGATGTTATCATCACTGAAAGAGGGCTCAGTTTATCATGAAAGATTATGAGTATTTTCTTAATTATTTTAGTAAATATTTTGATTGGAGCACAAAGTTTACAATCTAAATTGGACACTGGTCACTAATGATAATGATAACCAAGCATTTTCCATATCATTGACTCTTGATAACCTTAATTTTGATTGAAATAAATGATTACTTTATCAAATTTGTATTCGCAATTTGTTATCATTGCCGATGATGATTCTCATGATGATCATCATTCCGTATAGGATAAAAAGATATGATGGTGATGAGAAGATGTTGAGATATTGAAACTGATTCAGCATTCGGTATAAACTGAAAGAAGATGATAAATAGTTTGATTCATATCAATCTTTAGATACGAAACTTTGACATGACTTTCAATTTTGTTTTTCGATAACAACAGAAGAAGAAGAAGAGGAAGAGAAGTGAAAGAGAGAAAGTAGAAGATTGAAAAGGTAAAGAGAGTGGGAGGATAATCAGGGAGGAGGAAGAGAGAGAGAGAGAGGAGAGAGAGAGAGATGCTGAATGATCTTGAATCTTTGGTGAATAGTTCTGAGGGTAGAAAAAAACTCTCGGAATCTAAATTGAAACATCATCCGTATTCTCAACATTTTTTTCACTTCTTCTCACAATGAATCAAATACCGTGACTTAGTGTCCATAGAGATGAGGTTTTCTCGGATGATTATGATGATCATCATCATCGCTGATGATGATTCTTTCTTGAGATTTATATTCTAAGAAATGGCTGATATAATGTTGTTGAATGATGATCATGATCATGATGATAATGATGAGAGAAAGAAAGAAAGAGAGAGAGAGAGAGCTGATATTTCACATAAAAAGGATGGATGCTTCTGAATCTTATTCCTTTTTCTTCATCTTCCTCTCTACAATATCGATTGATAAGTATTGATCATTTAAATAATGATTCTCATTGTTGGATACAATGAGAGAGCTTAACTGTCATTAACCAATTTAGTTTTCTATGTATGTTTATATCTGTTTATCTATTTAGATGAACAAGACAAAAGGAGCATCATCATCATCAGAATCATCTGACAACTAATTTACTCTTTTTTTTTGATTGTTTGTTTGTATGCTTTTTGCATTTTGCTTGGGATGAAGATGAGAAGATGATACTGATGACAAGAATAAGATGATCGCCTTAAGATAATGATTATTATATAAGCGCTCGATTGTCACATCGGTAATTTGCAGATAGTTAATAGTTTTCCTCGAATCATTGTAAAAGAATAGATTTTCTCGATAAATGAATGTGTCGAGAAGATGATGATGAACAACAAGAGAAAAATAGAGATGAAAAAGTTCGAAGAAGAAGATAATTAATGAAAGAAAAACTGTTGGTGATAACCTTTAATAGTGATGAAGAAAATGAGAGAGAAAGAGAGAGGGAGAAGCTGATTAACGGGAATATCTTTTGGCTTTGTGATGAACACGCGCTTCCCCCTTTTCTTATCTCCATCATGGAGATAAAAATGATTATATTAAAGTTTCAAAGTCTTTATAAGGATGAAGAAAGGTCATCATCTTGATACTCATAATCATCATCTTCTTATGAGGGGTTACAATGTTATTAGTTGTGCGTGTGTGTGTCTATTTCCAGAGTGTAAGGTGTGAAAATGTGGAATGAGATTCATGGTGATGAAGAAGATGAGGAAAGAAAAGGAAGTGGAAAAAGAAAAGAAACTGCTGATGATGATGATGATGAAAAGAACTGTGAAGTTTTTTAAGAACAAATGTAAGTCTCTCTCTCTCTCTCTCCATTTAGCTCTCTATTTGACCTAAGCATGAGATGAGAATAAAAAGAAAGTTGAATCGATGTTTGGGAATGAAAGAGTGAAAAGAATAGAACAGGAGAGAAAAAGAGAAAGGGAAATGGAAAGGATGAAGTAAAAAAGATGAAGAGAAAATCTTCTGGAAGAGAAGGAAGTAAGAATGGTGGAAAAAGTACTTAGGATGCTTGGCACCCTTTTCTTAATTTTCTCTCTCTTTTTTCTCTCTCTCATTTTGTGTTACTTTTCCATGAAAATGATGATGATCATCATCAGCATCCTCATCATCTATTTCATCATTTTCTCTTTCTTTTCTTACAATTTTTCTTACCGTTATCGTAGAAACTTAAAGTGAAGCTAATCTGAAACCAGTGATTCCAATGTTGCCAAACTGTGTTTATATTCATCTTTATGTCTGGAGAAATCGAAAGAAAGAGAAAAAGAAAGAGAATCGGAGAAAGAGGATGAATTTCGTTTGCGCAAAATCTTTTACTTTCTTTTTTTTTTCCTTTCATTGAATGAGCATGAAAAGAGATGATGATGATGAGGGAAGATGAAGAAGAAAAAGAGATTGAAGAAGTGAATCTAAATCTGGAGATAAATTGGTTACCATTCCTTGGATCCGATTCACCACTAAATATAGTTTGTAAAAGGATCGACTTATCTGCTGAGTTTAACTTTACCTTTACGAGTTTAACTCAATGTTCATCCTCATCCCTTATCCTTATCCTCATCATTGACTGAGATATTTCCAGAGTTTCCAAATCTTTACCATCGACAAGGACAAAAATATTTGATCCCAAATGAAGTCGCTCCTTCCCTGTCTCTCTCTCTCTTTATATCTCTCTCTCTCTCTCTCTCTCTTTCGCTCTCTCTGACACACTCCCTGTGATACTTTCACATTCTCATCATTGTTACTCTTCCAGTTACTCACTAACCATATAAACTTGTTCTCATATGTTAACATCTTTACCTTTCAGTTTTTTCTCTTCATTTTCATCACAACTTTTTCATCTTCATCTTCATCTTTTTCTTCTTCTTCTTCTCATTTTCTCTCAGTGTTAATTTTACTCTTTTCGTATTGTTCAGTAATAAAAGTCTTCTTTTTTATTAAAGTGTTTCACTTTCGAAAAGTTGATGATTATCATGAAAGATAATTTAAAGTTCTAATTCAATTATTTGCCTGAATGGGATTGGAAAAAGAAACCCGATTAGTATTAAATTGTTTTAGTGTTTCTTTTAATTTTTATACTTTTCGATTTTTCTATTTTTCTTTCATGGTGTTTTTTTTTCATTCATGATATTTCTTTGTCTCTCTCTCTCTCTCTCTCTCTCTCTCTCGAATCCATGGGAGAGATAATATCTTAAAATGCTGATGAATATTCTTGATAGAAGAAGAGAAAATTTGAACCTGAAATTTGATGAAATCGTTTCCTGGTGTTCCATGAGATTAACAGTAAGAAAGATCGATCAACTTAATTTACTTAATATCTTTTGATAATCTTACGATTATTTGGATTATCCACTTTTTTAATCGAAACATTTTCAATCAATTGGATATTTAATTTACCTTTTCTTATCCCTCTGGAAACACACAATGAACAAGATCAAGGTTCAGATGAGACAAGATGAACATTACATGTTCATTTTCACTGAAAACATGGGGAACAAAAAAAGATGAACTCTCTTGGGATCCCCTGAAAGCTTCATGATAACCAACATATTCAGTGAATTTTTTTTTCTCCATCACATGTTCAACGATTTTCTTGTAAGTAAGAGGAAAAATATATATATCAATTGAAACAATAATGTCCAGATAGAGTTCAGTGAAGATTCAGCATAACATTATCTCCTTAAATTGAATGATCAATAACTTGAGTTAGAATATGAAGAAGAAGATGAGAAGAAGATTGAACAAAAGAATAGAGGGAAAGATGATGAATAAATAGAAGATAAATGGGATGAGAAAGAAGAGAGAAAAAGAAAAAGGATGTTAATGATGTTGAGTAGAAAAAGATTGCAAAGCAAAATGTTCGAGACTTTTTAAGGTTGACTGATTACTAGAAGTTCATGGGAATAATGAACAACCATGAGTAATTTCTCTCTCTCTCTCTCTCTCTCTTTATTGTCATTAAATTGTCTCAATGGTTAAGAAATAATGTCAACTGAAATTCAGTAGGAAAAATAAACCCAAAGATTAAGATGATGGACAAGAAGAGGAGGAAAAAAAAGTTCTGAAACTGATGATTAATCCCAAATGCTGATCTCTAGTTGGTTGAATCCGGGCCAAATTGATTTTGTTTCATCACAAGATTATTAAATAATATTTGGTCCCCTTCAACCAGCTGTAGTAAAGCATTAATCAACCTCCACAATCAGTTGATTGTAATCAATATTTACGAGACATTTGTATTAATGAAAACTTCAAATCACGTCAACAGTTTCATGTTTTGTTTTCATCTCATCTTCATTCATGATCAACTTTCCATTTGCTATTCCATGATAAAAGTTCAGTTGAACGATTCAGTTGAGATATATTTTGTTACCCTTTATAATGTGTATGAAAAATATTCAATCAATTTAATCAACTGAAAATGAATACGAGATTGATTAATGTTAATCGATTTGACCAATGGTCTCTATTTGTTCAATTCAATCATCACCTAAATCTTACCTTTGATTATTTTGTTTTCCCTTTGTCTGTAGCTATTGATCAGAGTTGTTATTGATTCTGGTGTAATAGTAATAACAATTAACTTTGATTGTCAACCATCAACAAGTAAGTAAAACAATTTCCAATGAAACCGTTGAAATCACAATTTAATTATCCAAGTTGAATGAATGAAAAAAAAAACTTCAATCAACAATATAAACAATCAAAAGGTTAACCTGAATACGATTGATTTTTTTTCTGTTCACAAGTTCTTAATCATTATCAGGGGATTATCATCTGAGGCGTTGTCCACTTTCATCATTAGTATCATGTCTATGGTCAGTGAGCTCAATCAGGACTGAAATTAGGTTAATAGGGTTAATCAAATGGTTAATTGTTACAATTGTGTTACGATTTTCATTTCTATCTCTCATCCATTGACAGAATAATAATAATAATATTTACTCAAAATGTTAATGTAAATACTATTGAATAACATAATCATCTTATTTATTTTGTCACTCAATGAATTATTTAAGAATCAATAATAATCTCAATTGAGTGTAAACGATTTGCTGTTGTTTTCCATGATTAACTCAATATAAGATTGTGAATGCTGAATGGAAAATAGGAAATTTTTATCAACTGAGAAAACAATTTATCTATTTAATGTGAACTGGATCAGAATTTTTTTCTTCTTCTTTAAGTGTTTAATGTGACTCTTGGGATAAACTTATAATCGTCCTGAAGGTAACGAGTAAAAGTACTGATCAAAGGATAAGGTGAAATAATTCAGTTCCAAGTTTATTTTATCCCTGAAACTGATCAACTAACATTAGGTAAACAATTGAAATCCATTGAAAGTTAAATTGAAAGATAATTCAGTTCCAAGTGATTAAAAAAGTTTTTCTAATTTTCTCAGGGACCTTAACATTATTTTCCTTACAGTGCCAAATATTATTCAAGATATTTTGAGTATTGGCACTTGGAATCATTGGTAATTAACATGGTATTTCCTTAATTACAGAACTGAGTTATTATTATGTATTGAATTCATTATTATTGACAACAATTTGAATTGATAAAAGTTCAAGTTCAAATTTGATTTAAAACTTAACTAATTAGATTTCAACTGAACTTTTTCATGACACAGGAAAATTATTGAAAATTTGTGTGTCTTTCAGCTCGTTGATTAACTTTAATTATTTGGTAACATATTAGCTTGATTATTCATTAAGATTATCATGTTGATCAGTTGATACTGATACTCTGTGAGTAGATAAATGGATTAATTAAGAAATTAATTGACTTTAGATAAGCTGAATTGAGAAAGAGTGAGAGAGAGAGATGAAATTAATGAGCAAGGTGAAAAGTTATTCGAGTGTTATTATCTTTAATCAAGTTTACTCACAAATAATCAAGGAAGTTGATTGAAACAGAAGATGAATCGAAGGCAACTTCCGGTTTAAGCTCAATAAAAGACATGGTATATTCATGGAGGCAAACGGATTTCCTTTCAACTATTCACATTCAATCAGAAAAGTTCAGAAAGTTTCAGATGAATATAATATTAGAAATCATTGGATAACAGTATTGATCACAACATCTAAATTGATAATGATGATTACGTTGAATCTCATCAATGAAACAAGAACGAGAATTAATCAAGAAAAAAAAACGATCCGGAAGCAACAATCAATTTCCAATTGTGTTGCTATCACAATTTACCTTTCAATTTAAAATGATTATCTGATTGTTATCAACATTGTAAACTATTTGTAACTATTGATATTGACCAATTGTTGTTATAATTAAATTGATGAAACCATTGTGATTGAAATTTGATTGAAAGTTCAACTAATTGCTGGATTAATTTACCTTCATGTTATATATATTATGTGACCATCATGAAGTTAATTCTGAACATTAATAATGAATTGATTGATGATTGATCAACAATTAATTGACTACGAATTGTTGATTCATATTTAGCTTCATTATCAGCAATCAATTATCAGTCAATTAATCAAATGAAAAATAAATTATTCAATTGAATTGTTATTAAATCATTTTGATAACTAGGGACATCTTTTGGTTACCAATGAAAGTAATTGGATCACAATTAAGAAAACAAATTAAATTAATTACCTTTGGCAATTGTATTCTAATCATCGATAGTTAAACTTATCTAGTTAATTTAGTTGATATTTATGTATGAAAATTGATTAATCATTTTAATTACTCTTTGTTAACTGTTGTGAACTTGATTTTTGGTATATAAAGTTAATTGTTTAATTCAGTGTTAATGATTAGTACAAGTTGGTGACAATTTAGTCAACCATTTGATCATTAGATTAGTTTAATAGTTAATAAAATAACGGTACAATTAGGTCAAGTGTAAATCAAGTTAAATATTAAATTAAATGATTGTCTGATGTTGATCAAGTTTATTTGTTTTGGAAACAATTTATTTTATTATTAAATTTGATTATTTAAATTATTAAACAATTTGCTTCGATTACATTATCTTAATTGTTAAGGGTGAAATTTAACCGGAAGATTAATGAGCTAATGAATATAATTTCCTATAACAATACAATTAATTAAATTGATTCAATTAACTTAATGATTCTGTGATTGTTTTTGGATATCACATCGTATATGTAGACAAACATTAAACATTCAATGTACAATCAATTAATTGTCTCAAGTTGAACGTTAATTGTGACAAAAATTTAGTATAAATATAAAGATTTTATCGAACTGAAAATCATTCCAATCAACGTTCAACAATCAGTCAACAATCAACTTTGAGTATTTTCAATTGTTCTAAACTTTCGTCCTCTCGAATCAACCAAAATGCGTCTTTCGATCATCTTTGTTTTCATCTTCGCTGTTCTCGCTCTTATTGGTACTAATGCTGTCGAAGCGGGAAAGAAAAAGTCTTATAAGAAGTCCCCACCACCGAAAAAGTCTCCACCACCACCACCAAAGAAACATGGACATGAATAGTGTTCCAATCGGCGATTTCATCAGCTGATCAAAAAATGGTTCGTTATTTGATTACCTATTTCATCCTTCAGAATTTTATATTAACAGAAACTTATTCAGATTCCAAAAACTTTTAAAAAAACTTTTTACTTGCGAAAATTTTTCCATATGAAAACTGTAAGCCCGAAATTCAAAACTTTTACCCGATTAAAATGATTTAAAACTAACTAATTGTAGTCATGATTTTTTTACTGTTCAATTGTGTTGCTGAATTTGCATTTCGCTAAATTAACTAACGATTATTACAAATTTACACCATTTTCGTTGTCAGAAAATATGTCATTTATAACGATTTAGCTTTAAAATTATCACAAGAAACCTAAAGGTAGTGACAGTTATTAAAACGAATCGACTATTCTTGTTCTGGTGATTTTTTCGGTACCAATTTACCATCGACCAGATTAAGATTAAGTCTATCCATTAGATCAGAATCGGTAGTTAAATTGAGATCTTTCAATCCTCGAGCTATTTCCATGTTTTCGTTACAATTAAAGAGTAAATTTCTTGTCGCATACGTGGCCCATTCTCTGATGAAAGGGTTATTCATATCGAATGAGTGTAAATCAAGAATCAATGGAATTGCATCGATCTGAGAAGCAATTAATTGTAAATTTGGTCGATTGTGAGCTAGATTGGATACTAAGCGAACTAAATCTTTTTTCAATGTCGCCAAATTGCCTCCATTTTGTTCAGAATTCTGATTCGATTCTCGGTCTCGCAAGGCTTTCGCTTTATGTAAGAAATGAATCCTTTTAAGAGCTCCTATGGAAAGAGAAGACGAAAAAGAAAATATCAAAATTAGAATATATTAGTAAACGTAGAAGAGCAGTAGTACCAATAGTATTTCTGAACAAATTATCGTCATCAAGTGAAGGTGATTGATAAGTTTCGTTACAAGAAATCTCACAAACAATACTGATCAGTCTTGCAATGAATGTGACCTCATCCGTTGTCCAGTTTCTGACCTCATCTTGTGACAACATCAAGAGTTTTTCCTTCAATAGATTAACCAGAATATTAATATTATTCTCCTTGATTCTTATTCTACATCGATTATCATTATCCTCGGTAACCATTTTCCAAATTACATCGAGAATATTTCTGAAAAGTTAAGAAAAAAAAAAGAAAAGTCAAATGAAATAGCCAATGAAACAGAAAGAAAATAACAATAAACTTACAGATGACTTTTGGACTGATCGATAATCGATTTGAAATTGATATTTTGTCCCAACAAAAGCTCCACAATAAATAAACTGCGAATGACAAGTTAACATTAATTTTGAACTATTAATACGATTCAGATTCTACTTCATCTTACCTCCATTCTGAAAGATCATCAAAAGATTTCAACAAAAGCCCATTGATCAGACTTGCGACATGAGATTCATTTGAAATGAACTGATTGAGAACCTCGTTGTCCAATAAGCAATGATAAATAACGGCACTTGCAACTTTCACCAAACTATCATCAGGATTGACAATCAGCCTGAAAATGGAAAAGTCATTAAAAAGAGATTGAAATTGAAGGCAACAAAGTAAAGAGATTGATCTGAATTACCATGGATCAGATTTACAATTTAAAACTTGGAATATAAATTTTCTGATTGGCCTTTTTTCCGATTCTGGTCCAGCGGTGATATTGGCATAGAATTGTAAAAGACATTTGATAGCATCAAGTTTATTTGTTTTCTCTTCACTTTGATCGAGATTAAGGTGACAAGAATTAACTGAAAGCCAATCACCTGAAAGAAAAAGTAAATCACTGTGTCTATGATAAAAATAGAGAATAGAAAACAAATAATTAGAAAAACATAAGAAAATAAAATTCGAAAATTGTGACCAACGAAAAATCAACTTACCCTTCGATAAGCTCAAGATTAGCTGAACAACCGGCGCAACAATTTCTTAATAATCGAAATATATTACAGAGAATATGATAATAACATTCATCTTTTTTATCTCCGTAATGGTCATTAATTAACCTGAAAAGAGAATAAATGTTTTGAAGACATGGACAATCAAGAACAATTGATCTCAATGAAATGTGACTTTTTTTCACAACAAGATCAAGATGAGAATCCAAAGAGATCCAATCCTGTTGTTGGCAAGTAAATAGACAATTACCAAGAGATGAATCAAAAGATTCCAAGTTCCACTCCATTAGAAATTGGTGGGTGAGGGAGAGAGATAATTAATTACTTTGCTATGGGTAGTAAACAATTAACATTAATCATTTAATTGGGAAAAAAGAGAAAGAAACAAAACAAAAACAAAATTAACCGAAAACCAGATCAACACCAGACTCCACCTTCTCCTTTGCTGTTTGTTTACATCCGAAAACCGCGACTTTTAGATGAAGACAATTAAACAAATTACCGAGAGAATAAACAATTAAAAAGATTATATAAACACGAATGTAAAACCGATAAACAAAATTAATTATATAACAAAAGAAAACAATTAAATGATTAATGATCGGAAATTTCGCTTCTGTAATTAGCCTTCTAGACTTTAGATTTAAATCTAATTAGACTTGAACCCAAGTCTAAAGTCTAATGAATATTTAAAAATTTTCTAAAAAAAAGTTTAAAATTTTCCTCGAATCCATAAGTCCAGGCTAAAGTCCAAATAAACCGTTCGAATCCAAGTCCAAAGTCTAATCATTTAGTTGTGAAAGTTAAACTTTTAGAAGCTCTGATCGGACAAAAAAAGAAAACCAGAAAATCCTTGAAAGAATTTTTCCTCTTTTCTCCGATAGATGGCGACAAAAAGTTCGAAATTATAATTAATCTTTTGTTTCGTTGGAGTTTTTTTTTCTGATCTCTTTCTCTTGTTGTTTCATCTCAATTAGAATTCTTGATTAAAAAGGAAACAATTAACATCCATGTATCCGAAATGGAAGAGAGAAAAAAAAATCACTCTCGATGAAACTAATTCGTGTCCCATTGACCCATTAGATTTATTGTTCGACTCATTAAAGATTAATTGAGAGTGAAAAGATTAATCTATTTGATGATAAACAACAATAACAACAACATAAGGTTGAAACATAAATAATTAATTAATTAATTAGTTAATTAATCCATCATGAAAAGAAAAGAGAGTTTAGTTGTATTCATTATGTTTAAGGATTTAAAAGATAAATGAGAAGCAAATTAATGTTAATTGACGCGAATTAATAATAATTATTGTATAAGAAGAAGAGTAGAAAGAGAGAGAGAGAGAAAGAAATGGAACTGAACAAATTTCAAGTTAATTGTGATAATCAAATTAAGAGCGAAAGTTAATCACTCAATAGAAATAAAAACAATAATAATGATTAATTGTATATGAAAAAACAATCCGCTGAGGAATAACCTTTATTCAACATTAGTTTTGTATCTAGAACTTGATTTGCGCTGTTTTGTGATTTACCACAAACAAAATGTATTTGCATCGCAATTTAAAACAATTTAGTTGCAATTTGTTGCTGATTAACAGGGTAGAGGAAAATTTTAAGAGAAAACAAGCCAGAAAGAAAGAGAAACAGAGAGAGAGAGAGAGAGAGAGAGAGAGAGAGAGAGAGAGAGAGAGAGAAAAGATTATGAGATTGAAGATAAAAATGATGAGTATGATACTGATGATGGTGATGAAGAAAATGAAAGGATGAGGATGAGGATGAGGATGAAGATGAAGATGGAAAACGAAAAGAAAGAGAAAGAGAAAGAGAAAGAGAGAGAAAGAGGGTGTGGTTGTAGGAAGAAAAAGGGTATTCATGATAATGAACAATTCAGAAAAGGAGCAAGAATTTATGGTGAATGAAAAAATGCTCAAAACTATAGAATTTTTTGTATTTTTGATATTTTCTTTTTTTTTTCGTCAATTTCAATTTCTAACAATTTATTAATTAGCTTTATCATTAATTAGCTTTGTTTCGTCGTCTTTGTCATCGTTATTATCGTTATGTATCAACAATATCATCGGTGTATATGTCGTGGGGTGAGAGAGAGAGATAGAGAGAGAGTTTGTGTAAATGTGTAAGAGAGTTTAGTGTATATGAGTGGGTGTTTTTTTCTTCTTCTTATATATAAATGTTTTCTTTTTTTTTCATCACGATTCTTGATTCTTTTCAGGCATTAATATGAAAAGGAGATTAAGGAAAAGAGATAAGATTTCATGATGAGTGAGAAAAGAACGAAAAAGAAAATGTCAACAAATGATTTCGATTTTTGTTTGTTGGGTTGTCGTTTGTTTGCTTGCCAAATGTGATTTCAATTTTATCGTCGTTTCATTTTTTTTTGCTTTAATTTAGTTCAATTTGAAATTCGAAATCTATTTATATATTTATATATATATATATTATCGTAACTAATGTTATTATTATTATTGAAAGTTTTCATCATCAAACCGCTGTTTCGATACTTTGACTGTTTTCTGAGTCGATACTTCGAGCCTTTTGATTAATGGTTTCCGGTTTATCCTTATCATCGTCAAAACTAAAACTATGAGCCACACTTGCACTTGCACTTCCTCCTCCACCACCACCTCGGTCTCCGGTGAAAGGAGATTTACTTGTTGGGGACATCATGTTGGAACCAGTGTCAAGGGAAGCTGATTTCATGGCCGCTGCTCGACGGAGAAGTGACTGGGGAGGAGGATTCCTAGAGTCAACACCGCTCCTAAATGCGTTCACAACACGAATCTGATAAAATACACGGAAGAAATTAAAGTTTAAAGTCGAAAACAAAGGAAAGAAGAAAAAAAAACGAGAAAAAAGAACAAAATTAGAACAAAATTAACTGATAATTGCGATTAAATCATAATAATGATAATAAAAGACAAACAAACATTGAGAAAATTGATTAGAAAAAGGTGAATGCAAATTGCGACAATTTTTATAAGCAATCAATCACTAAAACAAAAGTGAGCAAATGATAAAAAAAACAATCAAGTAATTAGAAAGCATAACAATTAACAAATAAATGACATTAATTATTATCTATTGATTAGTAATAGACAATAACATTAATTGGAAAAGGGAGTTAAAGATAATATATTCATGATCCATGCAAATACCACGAGCTTTAAGTTTTTTTTTTGCAGAACTTGGTGAGATAACAATTAACTTAATTGTGAAAATAACAATGACAATAAGGTGTTCACAGTTAATTTGATTGATTGGTGATAGATTCAAAGTGTGTGAGTGAGCATTGTGTTGATGTTATTGTAGATATTAGGTTAGTATTGATACAAAATGAATACTTATATTATTTTTCTGTGCATTGTTGTTGTGTTACTATTAATATTAATACAATTAAATTTAATTACCATTAGATTAGTTTATCAACAAGTCAATTCTAATTGCATCCAAGTAATAAATGTTGTTTCTAAATATTGAAACAATTAAAGTGAGTTGAGTGAAGGTGCTTAAAGGCTGTTAGATAATAATTTCACTCGTTAACAGTTAATCCATTAATCCAAATGATACTTAGCAAATGATTATCATGATATTAAACTAACAGGGATCACACCCAATGTGATTACATGTATACACTTGGATGCAAACATGAGAAACTATTGAAATAACATGAGAGATAGATAATGAGTTCATCATCAATTCATCTTTCACAATGAGATTGAAAAGTGAATGAGAAAAACAAAATGGTTGCTAATTGTGCGAGTTGATAAATATCATTAGAATTATATAATTGATTGATTTGCTTAATCTCATTCTTACATCTAAATTGTTATTATTTTGGTTGATTATCTTCAGTTTATATTAATACATTAAAGTTAAATTATATTTTCTCCTTGTAGTTTTTTATCAATTGGGAAAAAAATTGAGGAAAAAGTGAAAACCGAAACAAAATTTACACAAAGAATCATGATAATGAATCCCTATTACCAGAATTATTCATTCATCATGCTACTCACCATTTGAATAATAGGTTGGAAATACCATGTTAATGATTAATCATTTAGTTTACAGGTTAATTTTCAGCGCTGAGAAATCACTACGTTCTAATAGGCTTCTCGGTGTACCCTGAATGATATTGTTACATATTATATTTCAATCAAAAGTAATCAGAATTATATTATAATTAAAAAAAAAGTAATTGTTACTCTGTGTTCAGTGAGAAAAAAAAAGTCAAAGCTCAGTGATTTTTGTTTATCTTCATTTGGAGTGAGAATATGTTATCAGGGTGAATTTGAGTGTATCAATGGAGAGAGATGATAAGTATTAGAAAAGGAATACAAATGAAATTAAAACAGATAAATTCAGGGAAAAGGATGAGGTGTTGATGAAGAAAATGGTGATAATAATGATTATATAATGTGTATATTATCATTTCTATCATTATTATCAACTTCTTATTCAAATATTGGGATTGATTTGATAATGAATATAATACATGGTAATGATGATACGAGAAGGAGGCAAGCATGAAAAAAGATGATAATGGTTTTCTTTCAGCTCATATAATATATAAATCAATTCATTTTTTTCCTCTTCCTCTTGCAAACACAAGCAAATATGAAAGGATAATAATATATATATACAGTCAACTGCCAGATAATGAGACTCTCTTAAAATAACGTTTCTATTGTAACCAAGACAACCGAGCTGTGTTTTTAATTGTTTACTTTTGTTAATTAATCATTTTTAAGAAATTTGATCGAAATTTTCTTAATTAAAAATGATTAAAATTAGTATTGGTCATTCAAAAGGGTAAATTGATAGGAAAAGGGGCTCAAAAAGCTCATTAAGTGTTTCAGTAATTAATTAATAGAAATCAAATTTTCTGTGTAAATAGTGATTTTAAGCTATTTTCAGAGAGAGTCTCATTATCTGGCAGTCTCATTATCTGGCAGGTGACTGTATATGAAAGAAGCGACAAAGAGATAATTAAATGCAAAGAAGAAAAAAAAACAAACTGATAAAATGAATGAAACATTGTGAACAAAATAAAACGTGGTGCAATTGATAGTAATCAATGAATTCATATGAATTTGAATTTCATGAGTGTTGGTTAAAGAAGCGGAAACAAGAGTGTGAGCGATGTTGACACTAAGTATTGTGAGTGTTTTGTGTGTGTGTTATTATGTGTGTGTTTGTGTGAGTGAGAGAGTGAGAGTGAGAGTGATAATTGTGAAGAAGACAAGATTCAAGGTGAGAATTAGGAACAGAAAATAACAAAATTTGATATAAAAAATAAAGAAAATGAAACATTGTGACATTTAGGGAAATGCTGGACGAGCGAGGACGTGTAAGTGAGTTTATGTTTGTGTGACTTTGATAATCATCTTTAAATGATTAGTTGATTCAACTAATTAGTACAATTAATTGAGAGACTGTTTTAATTGTTTGGGAGGGATAAATGAGGAGCTTACAGCTTGATCAGTTGCACTTTTACTGTAGGGTACAGGGATCAATCGATCCTGTAGTTCACCTCCAATGACCTTTGGTGGGTATTCAAGATGTGGAATCAAGTGAGTGTGTCAAAGTGTATTTTGTGTGTGTGTTTGGTTGTGGTGAAGAAATGGAGAGAAAGAGAGAGAGAAAGAAAGAAAATGAAGATAAGAAGAAAAAAGAAAGAGAATGATAAAGAGAAGAAGACAAAAGTAGAGAAATGATGATGATGATGATGATGATGAAAGATAAATGATGAAGATGAAGAAAAAAAAGTTTAACGATTAGTAGATAGAAAATGAAAGCAAAGTGACCCAAGGATAAAATTAATTAGGTTTTAATTAACAATTAAATAAATTGTGAATTGTAACTAAGATACAGATTAAAGTGTAATAATAATGAATAAGTGATTAGGTGATGAAGGAGAGAGAGAGAGAGAGTGATGGAGAAAGTGATTTAAAGGAAAGAAAATGTGATGAGGAAGATGATTTATTCTTCTCATTCGAATGGGATGTTATTCTAATTTATTCTAAACTCGAGCTACTGACGGATCGTTAGGAATCAATTAATTATCGTAAATTAATTTTAAATCGTTAGTATTGTTTCCAGAAACTAATTTAATTCTCAATTGTTATCGCTAATGAGCAATAACGTGTTCCATTAATAATAATAATAATAATGATAATAGTCTAACATGTAAGATGACAGGATCGAAGTGGGAATTGGAGAGGACGAAAGGAGTTCGGTGTGAATGGACAATAAACGATAAATATATAAGAATTATATATTCAAATGGATAACAATTAAATGAGTAATTTGACTGATTTAACAAATGAATACAATTTGATTGGGGATTAGGATAAGTGTTCATTTGAAATTACAATAGGAAACGAAACGAGAAAAAAAAGAGATTGGGATTTATAAAGTGACTTTGTTGTTCAACTAAAATCTAAATTGTTGTTCGTCAAAAGGGATATTTGGTTTTAATTGTTTTTCGTTTTAACGATTAAGAAAGTTGATTAAATTGACTGTTAATCAATCTACGTTATTGTTTAGAACTAGATCATTTTTTTCGTATTTTGTTTTCGCATAAAAATTAACAGCACTTATCCAAAGAGAGTAATAGATTTGCATCAGCGCTCCAAAAAAAACTGACCTCAACCAAAGAGAAGGTAAAGTTTTGTTCTTATAACGAGATTATTGTTACTCTACGTGGGGCGAAAGGTTGAGCACCAATGGTCCGTCTGTTTGAGTGAATGAGTGATTGATAATTGAAGGGAAAGTGATCGTGATGAAATAAAAGGAAATGGTGATGGAGATAAATGAAAGAAAAGGCGGGAAAAGGTGTGAAAAAAAAGAGAAAAAAGAGAAAAAAAAAACAAAAAAAAAACGTAAAACAAAAAGATAACAAATAAAAGTTTTGAAATTGGAATAGGAAGTGGCCTGAGATGTTCAGTGAGACATGATAACGATTGAGACACCAAATTGATTGTTAATTATTAACCCCAATTCTGATGACAATAATCACTGTTTACCAAAACTCTTGAATCATTTAGATGATCACAAGTAAATAATGATCAGAATTGAAGTTAAAGTTTCAGCGCAGTTTTAGTTGAATGTTAATTGTTAACCATTAATCTTTTAGCAAAATATTTACTTAATCAACTTTTTTTTTCGTCTTTGTTATTGTTTTATTATCATTATTATTATTTTGTCTTCAACTGTATGTTTGTTTTATATGTTCAATCAGTTGAGAAACTTGAAGAGATGAACTTTTTGTGTTCTACTTGACTTTTTCGTTTGAATCTTATCATGAGATGATTATCATCATGATAAGAGGTGAAAACAAAAAGGGAAATGAATGGACAAAGTTGTAATAGTAGTAGTGTCAGTGTGTAAGTGAGAGAGAGAGAGACAGACAGACAGAGAGGGAGAGAATATGTGAATCAGTGAGTATGTGAGTAAGAGAGAGAGAAAGTGAGTGTGTGAGAGGTTTTTATTGTATTTGAAAAAAAAATGATTTCGTTTTAAATAACAATTGTAAATTCAATTTTGTTTGTCAATCAATTTGAATTATCCTATGAGATTTTTTTTTGGAACAGAGAAAAAGATTCATTGTTTTCATGAAGAAAGATGAACAAGAAGAAAATTTTTTGTTGATTAAAGTTTTTTTTTTGATTTACGATTCGTGGTTTTGACCAAATTGTCGAGTCAATAGTTAAGTTTATAGTTCATTTATTAATTGTGATTGATTAAAGAAGAAGAACAAGATTGGATGAAAGGATGGAAAGAGAAAAGAAAGATGAGGCAGGACGATGAGAATGATGACAAGGATGATGAATGAAAATGAATCTTAGAGAGAGAGAGAGAGAGAGATAGGGAGAGGGAGATAGAGACTGAGCTTTGTTAATCGTTGTTTTCATTTCATTGTAATTTGTTTCTGATTAATTATAATCAATTTTTTCATCTAAATTATAATAATTATCATGAGTATTATCATCATTCTAACATATCGATTGTTATATTTTCATCCATAATTATCATCCTTTTCCAATAGTAATAATAATAATAATGACTAACCAAGAAAAAGGATCACAAATGATGATTAAGAAGCGAATAGTGGATTAAGATAAAGATGAAGAAAAAGGAAATGAAAATGAAAAAGGAACTAGAGGTTGACGATAATGATGGAGAGAGAAAAAAAATAGAGAGAAAAAGATGAAGAAAAATTGATACAATAAATGGAAAAGAAGATAATTATTATGATTATTGTGATTCAATTTAGAGAAAGGGAGAGTGAGAATGAGAATGAGAGAGAAGGATTAAATTGCTATTGCATTGATTATTATTAATTTGCTTTTTCTTGTCTGATTAGTTAATTAACAAACACTCATTGACACTTTCTATTCCTTTAAGTGGCTAGGAATAAGGCGTCGAAGGCAAAACTTCAATATATTGACACTGATTAAGAGATAATAAGAATAATAATAATTAACTAGTAATTACAATTATACTGAAAGAAGATGAAAGGCTTTTCGTTGTATTGAGAGAAATTATGAGTTGACTCGACAGAAAAAAGGATGAAGATGATGAATGGATGGAAGATGAAAGGGTAAAGGGTTTTGTTCAGGTGAGAAGGTGGAATAGAGATGGATAAGATTATCTAATGACAAGGGAAAGGATCAATTGGAAAGATTAGATTCCCTTAGCACATCTTAATTCACTTTGATTAATTAGAATAACAAACAAACAGAAAGAAGAAGAAGAAGAAGAAGAAGAAGAGAGAGAGAGAGAGAGAGAGAAGGTGAAGAAAGAGAAACTAATAGTGATTTAAATTTTCAGAGAAAAAAAAAGTTAAGCGTCACAATTAAAAGTGAGAAATTAAATTAAGTTATAAATCAGCGACCGAGGCTCATACAGCACGAATGTTACAATCAGATGATTGTAACTCACTAATTAGAATTAAAAATCAAAACAAAATCAAATAGAACTTTTTTTTACCGTTATCTTATATTCTAATCGAAGCAAACAAGAGAGAGAGAGAGAAAAGAAAAACAAAGCAAAGGATTGTAAAGGTTAGAGATTTTCGAAACAGACCACGTGATCCAATGAAAGAAAATAATTATTAATTAACTAGGGAATATAATTAGAATTCTTTATATTAATGTTAGTAGTAGTAGGCGATAGAGTGAGAGAATAATAATGATAATAAAAAACCGTTATAATCGCGCACGGAATTAGTTAAATTAGCGAATATGAAACAATGAAAATGAAATTTGAATTGTAATTGTTGACGAAAAACTAATTTCAATTATAAAAGGAGAAAAATCAACAAAAAAAGTTTGTTTTTTGTTTATTTGGATTGTTAACCGTTTATATATTATATTAGAGTGTTTTTTTTTTGTGTATATATATTTATATAAAGCATTGAAAATAAAGTTTAATCAATTAGTTTAATTGTTGTTACGCATAAAATGCATAATTGGTAATAATAAGTTATATTAATAATAATAGAAAACAAAAAGCTATATCAGCTAATAGACTAAATTGTAAATTTTGTCTTTTCCATTGATTTAAACAGTTGAACAATTTAAAATCTCAATTGGGTTGCAGGTTATTGTAATTGTGTATTGGGAGGTTTAATCAATGGTGCTGATTAACTTTTATCTTGTCTTTGTGAGTTTGTCGTGATCAATATACGTAAGAAAAATTAAAACTATTGATTAAACTTCAATTTCAATGCTCAATATCAATCATATATATATTATTGATTAATATATATATTAGGTTGTTATATACTCTCTCATCAAATGCTTGTTTCATGAATACGACTAGGTTCAGTTAGAAGGTGATAACCTTGGACTAGAGGGTTATTAAGGGCAGCCTGAGATCGCCCGTTAGGACCGACTGGTGATGGTGAAGAGGAGCTTATTGATGTTGCAACTGATCCTTTGTTACCTCCGTTTCCTCCTCCTCCTCCTCCTACTATTCCAGTTTTGGCCTCTTCTGAGATTCCGATTGAACGAGATGATTTAGAACCATTTCCGGCTAACTGCCAACTCGATAATGGAGCACTTTTACTTCGTTCAAGTTCACGTTGTTGAATTGAAGATGCTGATTCCATTGCGGTTGAACCTTTAGAGTTAAAGGGTAACCCAGACTCTCCATAGGGACCAACAATGTTACCAGCAAGAGTTGCACCTCGATAAAGAGGAGGTGGATGACGACGAGATGATTGATTTGTATGATTATTATTGGAAATCATTGATGATGATGATGAATTATCTCGAGATGAATGTTGAAAATAAGATTGTTGTTGGTTTGATGGTTGATGTTGTTGATTATTTAAATGTTGATTCTGGTATTGTTGTTGTTGTTGTTGTTGATTTGACTGCTGTTGTTGTTGATGTAATGATGGTGCTTTACTTGAGCTTGAACTGTTGATGCTAAGATCGTACGGATAATCGTACGGAGAAGGAGTTTTATCATCCTCATCGATATACGATATATCGGACATCGGACGAGGACCAGGATGACTACGACTGCTTCTCAGAGAATGTAAACTATGAATGCTACGTTTGTCCTCCATATCTTCCAATGTGCTCTTAAATGCCCTGACTACTCGAAGCTGTTTGTAGGAAGAGAGAAGGGAAAAAGGAAAGAGGCGGAAGAGCAAGAAGGAAGAAAAGTGGATGATAAACAATCATCTTCACATCAAATTCAATTTGAACTGAAAGCGAGGGCACCACATACATATAGAGAGATACATTTATGTGTATATATTTATATATATAACATTTAGAACAAACAAAAACTAATTCGACGAAAAGAAAAATTATATAAATAAAAGAATCGAAAAATATAAAACATTCAAATTCATTTTCATTGGTATACTTAAATATCAATGTGTTAATATGCAATCTCATTGATTGCAATTGATTGGAGATCAATATTCTAGTTAAAATATTGATCACCGAGAATAGGATAGTCCTAATTGTAGTAATATAATTAAAACAAATTGATATTAGTTTGATTAATATTATGCGATTTTGCGCAACCCAAAAAAGTTATTAGTAAAGTTAAGATTTTAAAATAGTCTAAGTTACGAAAATGTATATAAAAAGAGGTGCATGTCTATTGGGAGAAACGATGATAATTCAACATGGAGCATGTCAATGAAATGTATTCATAAACAAATATCGATCTCCTTGAGCATGAATCAAGAAAACCAGAAGATTGAAACTGGTTCATCATCATCATCATCCTCATCATTATCATTCTATTACTAACTGTAAATGTTACCCAAAAAAATTTGGATCGATTTGACCTTCCCTTTTTTATCTTACTCTTCTTGTCCCGGAGTCGGCTCTGTTTATTTTCTGGTTCTGTTACCTCTGAAAGGTCATGATAAGGTCATAATCATTCATGATGCTAAGTAGGAAGAGACGGAGAGAGAGAGAGAGAGAGAGAGAAAGAAAGAAAGAAATATGGAGAGAAAGACTTTGCTCGAAAACAAATATATGTAATTATAAACTCGATTGGATGACGATTGTTATCAATAATAATGACTAATTAATACTAATCAATGTTTTCCAGACAAATGAATAGTTACCATGTATAATGAAAAGATTTTACTATCATCATGAAGAAAGAGAGAAAGAGAGAAGACAAGAGCAGATAAAAGAAAACACAGTTAACAGGGTGACCCGAATCTATGTGAAGATTTTTTCACAAGATGATAGATGTCACTAAGAACTTAGATTGAAACATTTTATCATTATAACTACTGGGAGGTTGATTGGGAAGGGTTTTCAAGGATCAAGTAAAATGAACAACAAGAAGATGATGAAGGCGAAAAAAAGATGAAAGAAAAATTGAAAGAAGATAAATAAAAGAAGATAGAAAAAGAGAGAAAATATCAAGTAAAATATGAAAACAACGATAAACAGAAAAAGACATTAGTTAATTTGGTCACGTGGTCGAGGTTTTTAGTAGCAATTAGCAATCAACAATTAATGATAATTAGAGGTTGGTGATTGTGCTCAATCATAACAACGATAATAATAAAAATAGTAATGATAATTATAATAATAAAGGGTGTGGCTATCATCATGATGATAATAATGTTAATAAAAAATATATAAGTATGATTGGTGAACAAAACAGAAAGGATTAGGATTAGGATTTAAATCAAGAGATTAGTGGATTAAACATAAAGGTGCATTATCATTAGGTGCGTATTGGCTTCGGTCGCTATGTTCAAATAATAATAATAATAAAACAAACAAAACATAAAACACAAAAGTGCCAATGATGGCAAATGGCTAATCCGAAATGATAATAATCAAATTATAATTATAGTAATTAAAAGAAACTGATTAACCTTAATTTAGTTTCTCAGTCTGCATCATCTCAAAGTATAAAATAAAAGTATAAACACTTTTCTTTGTCTTCGTTAAAAAAAGTGCACATTTATATATATATGAGTGTCTATGAGTGTATGTGAGAGAGAAAGAGATAGAGAGAGTGTGTGTGAGAGTGAGTGAGTGTGTTAATGTTATTTAATGAGTGAGTGAGAGAGAGAGAGATATATATAGTGAGAGTGTGTGAGTGAGAGTGTAATAAGTGCGTTTGTTTGAATTATGAGCACTTGCATCGGTACAAGGGAATCTAATAGATCCATTTATTTGAAGTTCATCTTTCTTTTTGATTGCAAACAGATAAATTTAATTATCTGTTAGAGTATGAGGATTCTAAGAGGAGGGAGAATTGGATGTAATGAGGATGAGGAGGAGGAGGAGGATAAGGAAGGAAAGTGATGAGAGGTTGTGAGTGTGTGTGTGTGTGTATGTGAGTGTGAGTGTGTTTGTGTGTGTGTGTGTTTAGTGTCAATTGAGAAATAGAAACAAGTATTAACTTATTTCTATTCCTCAATGGTGGTGACGCCGCCGCCGCTACTATTGCTGCTACCAGCAACTCCAATTGCACCGGGCCCGGGAATCGAGGTGGCACCAGTGGGGGACGTAGGTGACCCTACACTGAGTCTTTTAAGACCTAATTGTTGTGCTTGATGCTGTGCCTGGGACACAGTCTGATTGTGAAGTTGGATCAGACATACCTGGGTCTGTAGCCTGGTTAAACCACGAATCCAGAGGATTTGTCCGGTTCGTTTAACATCTTGTGACAAAGATCCACTGGAACCATCTTCAACAAGGGAACTTCGGGCAGCCATAATATCTTCCGGTGTTCCACTTCCCCATGTAAACTTTTTTGGTATCCTTTTGGTGGGAACGGTGGTGATTACTTGACCCCAAACAAGGACTCCAAGTCCGAAAAATATGCACCAAAGCCATTGTTCTAGTGTTAACCTTGCTGTAGAAAAAGCTCGTCCACCGAACTGTACAATTATTATCTAATTTGATGAGGGAAAGGAAAAGAACAGCAGAAAAAAAATAATAATAATGAATAAAAATAAAATAACAAATCGATTAAATTGATTATCGATAATAAAAAGGTAAAGAACAATGTAAGATGGTAAAATAGATGATAATATATGTACCTGAGCACCCGCGGTGATAAATAAAATGGAATAGAATATGGGATTGGTGAAAAGACCTTCAAAGATGTTTCGTTCCCCATGAATTTTACGGGAATTTATCTCATTGAACAATGTCATCATTACGAAAGTATTGAAAATGATAGTAAAATGTTGCGATGGTGGCGCATTCAATGGAGCATACATTCCAGAATCGATATCAAAAAATTTATCACCTTTCATTGTATTTGCAATACAAAAAGAAGATAAGAATGAGAAAAGAGAGAAAATTAAACTTTTGAAACTTTTTTCATTTTGAGAAAGAAGAGAAAAAATCGAGAGAGAGAGAGAGAGAGAGAGAGAGAGAGAGAGAGAGATTACAATTGGGAATGGAAATGGGATAAGTCAGAGAGAAAAAGTTCCAATAGGAAAAAGATCGAGAAAGTTGTATGAAAATTACATTGATACTGAAAATTCAGTAACTTTGATAAATCATCTTTAATTGATTACAGTCTCTTTGGGTTACCCAAAGGATTGTCATCAGGGAGAGAGAGAGAGAGAAAAAAAAATTATTCTATTCTTTTATAAATAATGATCATCATCATGAAGATGGTAATATGATAAAGAAAAAACTTCAAATGCTACATTAATTCACATCATTTTCTGTTCACGGTGATGAATGAAAATGAGAATAACAGTAGAAAAAAAATCCAAATATATATAATATATTAATATATGAGAATGAATATAAAAAAAAATTGTGAAACTAATTTCAAGAACCGGAAAAGAAAGAGAAATAGAAAGAGAAATTAGTGGTTAAGGAAGTGGGTGGTTAACGGTAAAGTAGAAAAAATATATTTTCTCGTCTCTTGTTTATAATTACCTCCAAATAAAAGAAAAAAGATTATAATTAATTGATAAATAGCGTGGCCTAGAATATTTTTAAACATAGTTCTCGATATAAGAGGTTTAGTCCGTCCATAGGGTTTACGTAAGAGCAAGGCTGGTGTTGGCATTTCCGTTGCGAGTGCTAATGAGGCTAAAGTATCCATGATTAAGTTAACCCATAGCATTTGAACAGCTTTCAATGGACTGTCCTGTGATGTTCATGATAATGTCCAGGTAAATAACGGTAATTTAAATTCGAGAGAAAAAGAGAGAGAGAGAGAGAGAGAGAGAGAGAGATTATGATTAATATTTTGCAAGTTTTTTTCCATTTCCAGATGATCTCCTTATGGGAATAATAGTGTTGCAAATTATCAATCAATTATAAGAAACAACAAATTAATCATATCAATAGTGAACATTGAAAACTTATGATTGATAATCATGTTATTGGTATAATCTGATTATTGATGAAACTAATGGAGCATAAAGTTAGTATTAAAAAAAACAACAAGACTGATGATATTAAATGTGTGATATTAACAAAATGCTGATAATTGACATTAAATTGAAAGCATTAAATTTGGGTCAAATATCAATGATTGACTTGTAGATAAATAGGTGATAGATATAAATCAAGAATTGACATTTAATCAACTTACTTCAATAGCACAAGCACCAACAAAGGCTACAATAACGGCAACAACATTAACGGTCAGTTGAAACTGTAAAAATTTGGCAATACTATCGTAAACGTTTCGTCCCCACATAACGGCTTTAACAATGCTACTGAAATTATCATCAGTCAAAATAATATCAGAGGCTTCTTTGGCTACATCGGTACCTGCCATTCCCATGGCAAAACCGACATCAGCCTTTTTCAATGCAGGACCATCATTGGTACCATCACCGGTAACCGCAACAACCTCACGGTTAGGGTTAAGTTTACTTTCAATTATATGCTTCACTAAAATATATTTGTCTGAGGGTGATGATCGGGCTAAAACGCGTAAACGAGGCCAAACTTTATCAAATAACGATTGTTGTACTTGTCCTGCTGAATCTCGAATTCGTTTATTAAATTCTTTACCTTCCAAAACAATAAAATCTTCACCAGGTTTAATAATACCACATTTTAACGCAATCGATCGTGCGGTATTCACATTATCACCAGTTACCATACGAACTGTTATACCTGCCCTTTGACATTTACGAATTGCATCAGGGACCTTTAATTAATTGTTAAGAAAATAGGTAAACATAATGAGCATCATTATCTAAATGTAATGTAACGTTAACAATTGTAACAATAAACCAATCAAAATAAATTGTTTCACGGTTACTTAAATTGCCAAGTTTAGTTATGCTAATTTAGACATTGATGATTTTTTTGATTCCATTTAACATGTGATAATATATAAGATAGATAGAGAGATATATATATGTGTGTGTATAGGGAATACTAACCTCAGGTCGGACGGGATCTTCGATGCCAAGTATACAGAGACAAGTTAGACGAGAGATGATAAAATCTTCATCTTCCCAATTTGGCTCTGTTTCGATTTGAACCTCATTTGAGGATCGAGGCTTTCGCTTAACAAAATCTTTAAATGCCACTGAGATGGTTCGTAAACCATCACAGGCCATTGGTTCAATTACTTCTTTCACCATTCTTTCTTGATCTTCTTTGGTGAACCTTTCGATTTTACCTCCTTTACCATAGATAAACATACATCTTCTCATAACAATTTCGGAGGCTCCTTTGGTGAAAACACGAAAACCATCAGGAATCCTAATAACGGTGCTCATTGATTTACGAACTGAATTAAATGTATAAACTTTGTACAATTTGTCTTCCGGAATTTCATCCCGTTTAGTTTGATAGTCTTTTCCAAGGGCAAGAACGAATCCCAACAAAGCACATTCAGTTTTATTACCAACATGTTTGGGAAGTTCACCAGGGTTATCAGGATGCTGATATTCAATAATAATGATTACAATTAATTATCAATTGGAAAAAAAGTCAATCGTTTTTTAATCAAATTCAAAAGCAAAGACATTGATTGATTTTCAATCTCTTGTTTTTCTCATCTCTCTGCCTCTTTCTCTCTCTCTCTCTCAATTTATTTTTCAATTAAAAATTAATACTTTTTTTCTGGTCGATTGTTATTACTATTTCTCTGTGTTTTATTTTTCTTTATCATAAAGAAATGTCATAGAAAAGAATGAGATTTATGATTAAGTGGTCAGTTACACAGAATGTCCATAAACAATGATTGATAATCATTGATGGTTTTTCATAATAACAGTTTCATTTACACCTTTATAAGAGTTAAAGGATCTCTCTATTGTGTGTATATCCTTTTTGTCGCAACTTGTACCCCCTTCTAATAGATTAAATATCTTTTATCATGTAATCATCCGATTTAAACTAAATTAGTTATCAACAGTTAATGTGACAAAATAAACTATTGAGAATCGTAAGAGGGATAAATGAACTTGAAGATAAGTTTCATGATAGAAAAACGAAATCAGGTTAATTCAGCGATTGTCTAACAGATTATAATGGAAAAGGTTAACCAAATATGAGAGGAGAAACAGGTAAGAGTAGAAAGAGAGAGAGAGAAAGGAGGTGAGAAAAGCAAAGAAAGGAAGGAGAGAGAATAAGAAGATGAAAATTTGGATGATAAAGATGAAGAAGAAATTGATTAGATATAAAGTGTAGATTGCAATGGAATTTGCTGTTGAAGGATCAATGGAAGGTGGTTTTGGGCACCTTCCATTCCAAGATGGCTCAACTATCTTTTTACTTTTCTCCTCTCATCATTTTCATTCTTTCTGATTTCTCTTTCTTCTCTTCCTCTTCTACATCCACTTCTCTCTCTCTCTCTTCATCTCTCTTCATCCCTTCTCTTTTCTTCATCACTTACTCACTATTTTTTTCTAGGTTACATAAAAATCAATATTGGCCTCAAAATGATTCTATTTTTAGATTTGGAAAAAGCAAGTCCAGGTAACGACTAAACATTCAATGAGAATGTGTATTTAAGGCAGAAAGACGAAGAGTTGGGATGATGATGATGATGATGATGAGGTAGAAGTGGAAGGATAAGGATGAAGGGAGAGAGAGGGTAAAGAGTAAAGTATAAAGAAAGATACAAGGTCAGGTCAAGTCTCGATTCTAAAATAATACAAACTAAGAGAAGCGATAAATTGGCAGCCTATCAGAACGAATCCTTTGCTCAAACTCAATTATGATTCTAATGCAGAAAAAGAATGAAACAAATAATCTTTACGATGAAAGAATATAAAAAAAATAGAAAGAGAGAGAAAGAGAAAGATAAAAATAGGTTGGAGTTTTTAGTAAATGATCAATTAATTGTTAGAACATTTTGTCACACGACAATTAATGCGATCATCATCATTTCCATCATTCTCTTCATCGTCGTCATCATCTTTTCTTTCGTTTACTTTTTGCAAAATAAGTAATCTCAAGATTCTGAATAAAAGTTCATATTCAAGTTTCTTTGTTTGGTTCGTTAAAGTAAAGAGTAAAGTACATATCATGACAATAAAAGAATAAGAAAAGAAAGACCCAAGTGTCTCTCTAAATACATTGTCTGAATATTCATAGGACCTTGGAATTGTTCATCACTACATGAGCTGATAACTAAGAATCGACTTGATTCAAGATAATCAATTTAAAGGTATCATCAAGTAATTCAATACCTTTAAGACGAGAGAGAGAGAGAGAGGAGTGAGTGAGTGAGAGAAACCAGATAAACGTCACATTCTGTGCGTCACAGCATTTAGAATCCATTTGATAAAAACATTGCAAATTAATTTCATCTTTTCTCAGTCTCTTATTCTGGATAATATTATTGACTATCGTGATGATATCAATCATCATCAAGTGCATCTCAGAGCGCTGATTATTGCAAAGGTAGAATTGATAAATTAAATGGAAACAAAAAAATAAATAACTTATTAATCAAGGAAAGCAATTTAAGCAAAGATATTTATCTATTAGTTTTTTTTTATTTTCTGAATAAAACTATTCATTGCAATCAAATTGCTTATTTCATGATAATAATGATGATGATGAAATAAAACACATAAACACAATCAGCCCAAAGGCAAAATAAATCAACAACACATTCTAATAATTTAGTTTCATAGTCAAGGAATAGAGAGATAGAAAGTGTGAGAGAGAATTAGTCAAGATAATTTCCAAGAGGAAAAGGATGCGGAAAAACGTTCGCACGTTCAAGTGTCTATGTATATTATGCAAATATAAATGAATTCCAAGTCATGTGAACTGAGATTGTGATAAGATATCTTCATGATTATATTGAGAGTATAATGGAAAGTAAATGGTTCTTAAGTTGGTGAAGAGTGATGAGGATAACCAAATAAAATCAATGTAATGTTAGTTAACAAGAAAACAAACGAGGTTTTAGCTGATGAAACCTAAATCAAGTAAAACCAATTTTTATATCATTTACCCAGGCGCATACAAGAGATGGATGATGATGGAAATGATGAGAAGGATGAGAGGAAGAAAGAATAAAAGAAAGAAAGAGAGAGAGAGAGAGCATCGATATTTATTCAGAGACCAGTGTAGATGCTTTGGTTCCTTGGGAAGGAGAGAAAGAAGGAGACAGGGAAGGGTAAAAGAGGAACAAGCAAAGGAAGAGAGGAGAAGAAGAAGATGATGATGATGATGATGAGAAAGATAAAGAAACTGGATAAAAGGAAAAAAAGATGAAAAGGGGAAATTGAATGCAGGGACTGAAGAGTATGTAGGCTTTCATTTGTATCTATCAAGATATTGATCTTTTTTCTTTTATTTTTCTCTCTTTTTCTTCTGTTCTATGTTAAGATTCAACTTTGGCCCAGATAAATGTAATGGTATGTCAACATATATTCTTGAACAATGCTCCAGGCAAAACGCCCCAAACAGAATCAAGATTGCCCAATGTAAGTATTTCACCTCCAATGCTTAACAGAATCTTATCTCCATCCCTCATTATCATTATATCTTTAACATCATCTCTGCAACAATAACAACATAATACAATGAAATAAGATGAGCAAGAGGAAAAGAAGCAAGAAAAAAAAAGGTTACAAAAAAACTACAACATCTTCTTTACGTTTTGTTATTTTCGCTTGAATAAGTTTTGAGTCAAGAAACAATTCTGCTAAAGTGATTTTCAGCCAAGACGAAGGCTTATTTTTCCTAGAGATCATTTCATCTTCTCACCAAGGAAACTGTTATCTTTTTCCTTTTTCTTTCAATGGAAAGAATTGAGAAGATGATTATGATGTAGAATGGAGCAAAACTACAAATCTTTTTTACATGGAGTGAAAAGTTCGTAAGAAAGAGAGAGAGAGAGAGAGAGAGAGAGAAAAAATGAGTCCGGCGAAAAAAATAGAGGCGAAAAAGGAAATGGATAAAAATCCCGAAGAACATAAGATAAAATTCTGAAGATCATATTTTTCATCCTTTTTTTTAAGAAAAAAAAGTTCCAAAGAGAAAAAAAGTGACATAAACAGATATTACGAGAGAAAGTATAATAAATATATTTTAGAAAAATGAGAATCATAATTTGATTGGTGAAGTTTCATGAAATTCAAAAGAAAAAAATATTGAAATGAACTTGTAAGTGACAGACTCGATTTACGTCATGTCTCTTGTACATTGGCAATAATCAACTTGCAAGGAGAGAGAGAAGGAGAGAGAGAGAGGGATATCATGTTTCCATGCTTTACTTTAACCAGCTAACATTTTGCATCATCATCATCCCTAATTTCATCCTCATCCTTATCATCCCTCCTCCTACACCATCAAAGGTCAGTCCTGGGGTTGCTGCAAAGCTACAATAACATGATAATCATGGTAGCAATAGTAATCTCAATTCAAATTTAGCTGAAATCCCGAAAGCAATGAAGGAAACTTTCTCAATATTAAAGTTTCTCACTACACTTTCACCGTAAGAGGTAAACATGTAAACAAAAATTACATCTCTGTTACTATCAATTTGTTATTCGTTTATTTATTTTAAAATTGATCAATTTAAACTATAATTTAACATATTCATCGTTTATTATCATCATTATATTAAATGTAATATCTATCATTTACTTTGAATTAAGATTGTAAGGTTATTTTTCTTGGTCTTCCAACTGATTACCAGTATTATTATTCATTGGGTTTTCCTCTCAAAGTTTTTCATCAACAAAAATTTGAATATAAAAATAATATTAATTCAATGCGATGTTTATCCAACAGAGATGGAGAAAAAAAAATTCTTATATCATTTGTAGATAAATATACAAGTCAAATAATCTAATTATCAATTAGATTGATATCAAGATGAGACAGAATATTTTTCTAATTCTTACTTCAGATTCATATCAATTTATCATGAAAGTAACATCATCTCAGGAATCATTCAAGAAATAAGGACAAGATGAAAAACATTGTTTCCTTTTCTTGTTTCTTTTACAAATAACATCATTTCTCGAAATGAATAAACGGTGAACATGATGATGATGATTTAAAGATATATAACTTGAAATGACAAGTATCATGATATATATTATCGTGAAAACTTTACATTGGATATCAAAAGTTTCATATGCTGATGGAGATGCTGATTATCCACTAGAAAAGGCTAGTAAAATGATCATAAATAGAAAACAATGGTAATAATGAAATAAATGTTAATAAGTATCAAGTAAAAGGCAAAATGGTTGCCAAAAAGATGAACAAGTTTGTCAAGCAAGAATGACAATCGAACGAGAGAGAGAGAGAGAGAGAGAGAGAGAGAGAGAGAGAGACGGCAGAGAACATGAAAAAAGGATAAAGACGATCAAGAGCATTTCACTTTCTTTTCTTCCATATCTTCATCTTCTTTTCTTACTCATGTCTTTTTCGGTTGATAACATTTTTCTCTCTCCTTCATCTTATTCTGTAATAAAAACACATCTCTGAGCATAAGAACGAAAGAGAAAATAGAAAGAGAGAGAATATTTTTACAAAAGAGTTTCTACATTTTCTTCCTTCTTACTCTCACAAGCTAATCGATCATATCGATTGATCCTTCTGTACTTGTGTGTACGTCGATTGTTATCTATAAGTAAAAATAAAATGTCTCAATGGATCGTACGTTATTTAACATACATCATATATATTATCGACCAAAAACATAGGATTTTCTTTTTTTTTCTTCGTCAATTTATTATGAGATGATAACACGAGAAAAGTGAACCAGAAAAAAAGAGAACCATTAACAGATTTTAATTCAGATTCATGAAAACAGGTTCTCCATCGGATGAGAACATGAACAAGGAGAAGATGGAAATAAGCTACTGACTTATGTTCCTTCAAGAAAATGGCCTCACTTTTTTCTATTCTCTTTTATTTTCTCTTTTCTTTCTTTCATCATGACTGAATTTCTCTGAGAATAAATTTATTCTCTACAAGAGAAGAAGAAAAAAACAGTTTCTTTCTATTTTCCATCTTCATCTAAATACTAAACTGGGTCGTTCAGTTATTCCAGTCTCTTGGTATCATCATTATGCTATTTTTGAATTACTTCCAACAGACAACATAAAAGTAACACAGAGAGAGAGAGAGAAGCAGATAGAGAGAGAAATATAATTGAAGTTTTATAATCATCAGCTTACCATGATTCTGGTGGTATATGCACTATTGATGGATATAGCGTCAATAGAGGTGCGGGCAACCTCTTCCGGAAGTTGCGCATAATTAGGAATAGAAGTATATCTTTCACCGCAAATGTGACACTGAACCACAGTCATACGATTTGTTGTTAATGTTCCGGTTTTATCGGAGCAAATTGCAGTAGCATTACCCATAGTTTCACAAGCGTCAAGGTGACGAACCAGATTATTGTCGAGCATCATTTTCTATTATTTCAATTGGGATCATTGTGGTGATGGTGATGGGGGAGAAAAATAATATTTTCGTTACAACGAATTAATAAAATATTAATAATTGACCTTGATAAATGTCAATTCAATTTATCCCATTAGGTTAGATGTTTAGATATATATTATTGTTTAGTAATTAAAAAAAAATTCTGTACAAATATTAATTGAAAAGTAATCATGATAACAATAATAAGTCATTGACTTAAGTAAATATTGATTGTTAACTTGAAATTTTAGTTTCAAGTAGCTTTCATCTCGTAATCTTAATTATCATTTTAAATCATCATCATTCGGCTTCCTCATCTCCCTCTCACTTACACACAAACACAAACTCTCTATTACTCTCAATCTCTCTCTCACTCTCTCAATGAATGACGTAAATAGTAACTCATAGTCAATTACATGATAGTTTTAAGTGAGTAACTCACCTTGACAGAATATGCAAGTGCCAGAGTTACGGCAAGTGGAAGACCTTCAGGGACAGCAACTACAAGAACAGTTACACCGATGATCACAAATTTGACAAAATATTTTAAATGATGGGCTGTTGACCATCGCTCTTTCTTGATTATAAATTTTTTCACTACGAATCGAAAAATTAAGATAAGAACAGTGAATATTGCTACAGCAGAACCTGTTAATTAAAGAGAAAAGATAATAAGTTAATTAATATCATTAACGACAGAAGAAAAAATAGCAACAACAACAACAATAAGTATATCAATTCCCCTTCTTTCTCTCTCTCTGTTTCCTTTACAAAACTTTAGTTTTTTCTTCAGCTTCTTCTCCAGATTATGAGCTTACATGGTTGTTATTGTTTTCTCAAGTCATCACAATTTACTATTATTATTATTACAAACACATAAGCTTAACAATCAATCAGCTTGAAAAATCAATTGATTGTATTTTGTTTTGTTTTCTGTGTCCTTCAATGATGTGATGATCAGAAAACAATTAGAGAAAAAAACAAAGATTCAGCTCGATAAGTTTTGTTTCTTTTGGTTCTTGCTTGATGAGGCGGAGAGAGAGAGAGAGTGAGAGTGAGATGTTGCTTTGAGTGAGTTAATTTGTCAACAATTAATTTACCTCCATAACCAATTTGAATAGCTAATTTAGTCAATTTAGCTTGTAAAACTGATTTCTCTTTTCTAGGATTAGTGTCATCTTCTTGTTTCTGTTTATCCGAGTCAACTGGTGCCTCTTCTTTACCGTGAGTATTGGCAGTGATTGCATTCATCGTATGTGAGTTACCAGCATCTTGATTAGATTCGTCGTCTAGTTTAATTTCATTATTAATAATTATTATTAACCAATGGTTGAGATGTGAGAGAGAGAGAAAGAGAGGAGAGAGAGAAACGGAAGGAGAAGAAAAAAGAGAAAAAGAAAATTTTTTTTAGATTGAATAAGATAATGATTATAATCTGAAAATAATGATCATAATAACGATAATGATAATGAAATTATATATATAACAAGAAAAAAACATTAAAGGTAAAAAAGGTTTCAACATGATTGAACTAAAACCCACAATTATTTCAAAATAGTTTCAGAAATTATCTGTAAGGTCAGAAATATATATATTCATTGAAAGATCATCATGTCATGTGATCTTGTGATAAATAAAAAAGTATTATGTTGATGATAAAAGAGAGAGAAAGGGCAAAGTGAAAGGTAAAAGTTGAGATAAAAAAGTGATGATCATGTTGGTGATGATGGAGATAAGAAGAAGGAGCATTCAGGTGAGAGTAATGATCATGACGATGAAAAAGATGAAGAGACAAGGAAAAAAAAGATGCTCAAAATGAATTGAAATGAATGAAAAGGAAGATGAAAGGGGAAATGTTTAGAGAAAAAGCTATTAGTAAAAAAGATGAAGATTAAGATAGAAATGGAGACAGGAGATGGAAAATGATGATGATGATGATGATGGTAAGAGTTTGACTGAACAATCTACAGAATTTCATCCATGGTGATACATGACCCTTGTTTCTTTCTTTCTTTAACTTCTCTAACTCTCTCTCTCTCTCTCTTATATTCACAATGATCTATTTCTCCATGAAGAAGACTTATTACTCTGTATTTCTATTTATTCATGAAAATGAATTTAAAATCATTAACTGCATATGAATTCGATCTAAATAGCTGATAATGTTCATCACACATTAAGGGAAAATATGTGAATCTATGCTAATAACAATACAATTATCTAGTTTAATCATTCTTTTTATCTTCATCATCAACATAATCATCATGTTAATCGCAAAGGAAGAGAAAGAAAAAGATAAGAGGAGTAAATAAGGAAATGCAGGCGAGAGCATTTTCTAGGTGTGTTTAGAAAGTATAACTAAATATATATGTTGTTGGTAAATGAGATGATGGAGAGTTGCCAAAAAAGAAGAGCAAAATTTCAGGCAAAGAAGCCAAGTTAGTATTAGATGAATGCTACATTTCCAATCCTAATTTTGGATCCATTTGGCCAAGGTGAGACAGAATTTAATCTTGCAATTGTTTCGAGAATTCATAAAAGAACAAGAAACTTACATTCACAAAATCACATGACATGGGAAACTTTCAATGTTGCTCTTGTTATATATCTATTTTTTAGATGTGTGTGGATGTGCTTATTTTGCTTGTGTGATTATCAACCAGACAAAATTAACAATTGCTACGCAATCAATTAGATGGTGGAAATTTATATAAAAAGATAATTAACAATTTGCATTTTACCATATATATTTGTGAAGGCACTGGGTTGGTTTAAGGGAATCAATTCCGGGCTTAGATCGTTTTTGGAGCATGCACTTTTCCTGGCTGAATATATGTGTATAAATATATTGTGTTAACATGAATCGGGAATCAACAGAGTTATATTTTTAAGTGCAGGGTTTTTTATGCATATATATATATTTATATGTGTAGGTTGGGTTACCAGCAATGTTTTTTATCATCCAAAGTTTAAATTGGCAACATTTCGTAAAAATCAACAAAAAGAAAAGGAAAAAAAAAAGAAAGTCAAGCAATTAAAATTATAATTAAATAAGAAATTAAATAACATTAAATAACATTCACATTAAGAAAGTTTTTTATCAAACAGGGGAAGAGGTGATAATGGGTGGACACAAACATTGGAATGGTCAATGGGATTGAGTTGAAATAATAGAAATGAAGTAATATTTAAAAAAATGAAAGGACAATTAATCAATAGTAAAAATTATTCAGAGAGAGAGAGAGAGAGAGAGAGAGAGAGAGAGAGAGAGAGAGAGAGAGAGATGTGATTGCGTGAGAGATATGGACAAGGAGGGTGGAAAGGATAAAGATGATGGAGACATGGTTCATTTGATTGGTCAGAAGCTTATATTGCAGGAGGTTTGTGGTCACGAATACATATCCTGAACTTGATTTTCAACAATAGTTTAAATTTTCAGAAACATAAGTTATCGTTATCATTTTAGTTTATATTTGGGTGACTTTCAAGAAACATGATCAATCGGAACCAACAGATTAGCGAGTGATAATATTATTTGATAGAAAGTAACAGAAAATCAATGATCAAGTTTTACGGGTAAATTTATATATAAAGAAAATTATAATAAACTGTTTTCATATTTTCATGTTAGTGCGCAAGATAAATCAATTTTATCATTTCAATCAAGTATTTCTTTTTTTTCAGAACTTTTCTTCCATAGAGAAAAATCAAGATTATTGTTGCTAAGTGAAAATTAAGCTTGAAACATGACAATTGGAATTCTCAAGAAAACTACATGGTGGGTGAACATCATGAGTCCAGGAAGAGGATTGAGAACATAATTTGGAAATATTTGAGTAAATGTTAGAAAAACAATCTCCATTTGCGTTCGTTACCACTTAATTTTCAACTTGAAGATGATGAAGGAGAAAAAAAAACTCTCGAAGAGACAATTAAAATTAAGTAAGTGATAAATTCTGATTGATTAAATGAAAATTAACTCTACAAATAAATCGTTCACTTTATCGTATCTTTGTTTATCCAAAAAATTGTGAGATAAAGGAAAGAGAGAGAGAGAGAGAGAGAGAGAGAGAGAGAGAACTGAGAAAGAGACGAAAATAGAGTAAAAGAAAGAGGATATTATGATGCGTAAAGATGATAAAAAAAAGTGATGACAAAACTGAAATGAAAGAAGAGTAAAGTGGATCGATTTTACTGTCCGAACTCATGAATGGGAAGTATAAGAGTTTAACCAAGATGCTAAATGGTTTATATGGATATGCTTGGAAAAAGTTATATAGATTATTCTGAGCCAATTGATTAACCAAGCAAAAGGGTAAATTGATTTTTTAATCTATGGTCACTATTCATCCTTTTCTTTTGCTCAACTTTGTATGTGTGTGTTTCTCATTGATCAGAAATGAATTAAAGAGAAAGTAAAAGTGCGAAAACTCATTTGGGTCATTTACGGGTAAACAAGAGAAGAGTAAAACGAATAGCAAAAAGAGAATAAGGATGAGAAGAAGAAGATGATGATGATGATGATAGAAAATAGGAATGGTGCAAGATGTTAATCTAATTAAATATCAACGGAATTAAAAGCCATGCAATTAGTAGGAGAAGTAAAGAAGGTAAAGGAAAAAAGGAAAAAGAATGGAGAAGAAGAAAAAACAAGTAGAATATATCTTTTTGTTATTCGAAATGAGAGAAAATAGTAAAAAAAAAACCTGAGAACAAGGAAACGGATCAACAGACACAGACAATTAGACAGTAACGAAGACGAAAGACAATAGACAATAGAAAGAAACGGAGAAGATAAATAGACACTCATTATTGTTTATAATCACCTGGAAGGTTTGCTTTCTTCTTTTCGTTTCTTGCTTCTTTTTTATGAACAAAGAGCAAGAGAATGAGGAAGCAAAAGAATAGGCAAGCATCAATTTTTTCATGGTGTCAATGAATAACCAATGAAAATGATGTTAATATCATACATGAAAAGAAAGAAGAGAAAGAGAAAATAGGAAGAGAGAAAATGGATAATTTTGTTAATATTTGGTTGCAATTAGTTTGTTTTGTTTTGTTTCTCAATTTGTTTGGGTTAGAGAGAATATCAATTAAATTGTAATTAGAGAGAATTTTAAAGTTAGCTAAATTCTAGAGAGTTTCAGTTTCGTTGGATACTTTCGTTAGAGATGAGGGAGAAACAAGAATAAAAAAGGTCAATCAATCGATTAAATTCGTGATTTTAAATGTATATAATTTATCTGAGTCTAGAATTAAATTAGAAAGTTAGAAATTAGTAAAATGCCTCAAGCAATTAGATTGTTTTTTCTTTCGTCTGTTTTTCATTTGATTACAATGAATCCAACTGTGTGTGTGTATGTGTGAGTGTGAATGTATTTGCCATTTCATTACAATGTCAAATAATCTATTGGTTAAGTAAACCTTGTAAGGTGAATGGAGAGAGAAAGTTAGTGAGTGAGTGAGTGAGTGAGTGAGTGAGGCGTAACTAGCTAACTACCTGTCTAAATGGTCATTTGATACCCGAACCAAAACAAAAGTAATAAAAACTGTGAGAATAGAGTATCGAGTGATTGATCATTGATATATCATGGAAGAGGATAAAATTAGATATAAATAACAGTAATTATCTTTATATTCAATGAAAATATACCTTTTTTCCTTTTCTTTTTTTGAGCGTCATCCTCAGTTTGTGCAGCTCCCAATAAAGCAAATATTATACCGGCCTGTGAATTAATACCAACAGCGGTCACAACCATTCGGCCGCTACCTTCCATTACGTGAGTGCCTGTTAGGAATGGAAAAGTGATCATATTGAGAGATTAGATTAAGTCATCATTTAGATAGGCTAATAAATTGTAAGCTCTACAACCAAACAGGTTCTAATTATCATAAATTAACCAATTGAAGGATAAATTAGAATCAACTTCAAATTTTTTTGCGGGAATTAACAACAATAGTGTTTACATTTATAAATATTTTCTTTCAAGTTCTATTGTGTTACTCAAGTGAAGTTTCGAGTGTCCTGAGCGCAAAAGAAAAAGACAAGTTTTAATGTTCGAAATTTCATTGCGAAAATGAAACTTTTCATTTAATGATTCTCTTCAGATTCTCAATTATCTTACGATAGTTTGCAGAGAAAAATAAAATAAAATCGATTTGCATGGTCACATAATCGCGATACGAATGAGTTGAAATCCTGAATTTCTGCCAATTGATAAAACGAAACATTTTTTTATCTTGTTGGAACTTATATATTTTCTTTTTCTCTTTCATTATTACTACTTAAACCTTACGAATTATATGGAAATCGAATAAATTTATTGCAATATCAACGCCAAAAATGTCCTATCGAATCTCCCTGTACATAAACTCATCGTTGTTTTCTGTTATTCATTCGGATATCCAAAGAGATGAACTAATAACCCAACAAATTGATTAGAATGTAAATGGAAACCATTTACTCAATAATTTGTTGAAAATAATATCTGATTTCTCAATGCATAATTGAGTCAAGTAATAACATCGGGAATAATAATAATAGCATTTTCAATCAATTACTGATAATGATAAATCAAAGATTATGTTTCAGTTCATCTGAAAAATGAAGATGCGCATTAGAAGATATGGAAAAAAGAAAAGCTTAACTTAATTTTCAAGGCTTTATATTTATACTTTTTGTCAATGGAGCTCATTGTGATTGTTGTTAACTGTTACAAGTTAATTAAGTTAAAAATAGTAATAAGAAAAAAAGAGAAATATAAAAAAGTCCAACCTCTAAACATCGATTAAAGATAAACATCAATTGAATGATGGTTGAACATTCATTGAATCAATTGATTAAAGTGAATTTAATATCATAATACTAATCTTAGATTAGAAATGTAATAATTACTAAGAAATATTAATTCATTTTTATATATGTGGACAAGAGACTGGGAAATATAAGTTGATAATTATCCTGTTGATAGATAATTAAAGAGATTAATTAAAATAATTGAGAAATATTACCTGAGAGGAGGAGTGGATTTATATTTTCTCCTTTCTTTACATGGTCCGATTCCCCTGTTAAGGAGGATTCGTCTATTTTTAAATCATTGCTTTGAATAAGTACTCCATCGGCGGGAAGAAGATCACCTATGATAGATAAAACAGTTGAATGAGAAGATGAGAGAGAGAGAGGGAGAGTAAAACAGCTTCAGGTAAGGAGGAAGAAGCTAAAATGGATAAGCTAAATAAACATAAATAGTTGATTTAATTTCACTGAATGAAGAAAATAGGAATATCCATTAGAAGGAGAAGGAGAAAAGTCCAAAATGACGTTACCATATTTAACTTGACAAATATCACCCACCACAATCTCATTCACGAGAATCTGAATAACTTCACCACCTCTGATCACAGAGAATTTATGTTCATGTTCAATGCGGTTCTGTAAGCCACGGAATTGTCGTTCCTTGGTATAATCATTAAAGGCAGTAACTAAAACAACAATGAACACACTGACTAGAATGGCAGCTCCTTCAATCCAACCGGCTTCGGATTCTTCTTCAAGAGCATTTCCGGCTGTTTCTTCATCTTCGGGTGGTGAATAAAGAGATAACAGAAGTGAAATAATAGCGGCAACTTCTAATATAATTAATGTCACATCTTGTAGCGCTTCAAAAACTAATTGAAGAAATGTTTTTGGTGGTTTAGGAGGAATAACGTTGGAACCGAAAACAGTTCGCCTTTCCTCTAAATCTTTTGGCGAACCACTTAGGCCTTCATTTGGTGAAGTATGAAGTCCCTGACACAACCCTTGGACACCCCCAAAATCTTTTTGAATTTTTGCTACAGCTTCGGGTCCACGGCAGTCCATTAATTCACGAAGATGACTGAGTGAAACACTAAAATTTCCCGAAGGAGGTGAGGAACCACTTCCTGGACCACCTTTACCGGGTGTTGATAAGTGACTGCTAACGTTTGACATGGTTGGGATTTGCTGGATTTAAATTTTCCAGATAATTTTCTTTTCAATCTGGTTTCAAATATACCTTTTTAAATGATAGAAAATAAGAGTGAGAGGGAGAGTAAGAGAGAGAGAGAGAGAGAGAGAGAGAGAGAGAGAGAGAGAGAACATAAGAGAATGAAGAAAATAAGACAAATACTCCAAAATTGGAAATTAAAATTATTTAAGAGAAGAAGAGAAAAAAAAATGAGAGAGAATATAAACTTTCACTTACCGCCCAATGATTTATCCAATTGTTTGGAACCAGTGGTGATGGTAATAGTATGGGAACGTTTTCTATGAAATCCCTTAGCAATGGTAAACCCAATTGATTCTAACTTTTGATCATCAGCCTAAAAAGAATAATTTAAACATTTGACCCAAAAGGAAAATGTAACACAAACACTTGGAGAAAAAAAAAGAAGAACAGAATGAAAGAGAAAAGAGAAAAGAGAGAAAAAGCTTACCAAAAGTGTATCAGCTTTGGTATCACTTATTCCCTCAATAGCGATCAAATTTTTTTTCGGAGCAAATACTCTTGTATCCACAGTAGCATACCCAGTAGCTTCTGTTAATTTTTTAATATCTTTAAAAGTAAAACCATTGCTTCCAAATAATTGATCAATAAAAATAGAAAACAAAGATAAATTAGATAGCATATGACTAAGAACACCAAATAATATTAACAAAAGACATGATGAGAACAGAGAAGAAGAAGAAGAAAAAAAAATTCACAAAATTAAACTTGATTACAAGCAAATCCAAAGAGAAATGAAAACAAAAAAATAATACAAAATAAATGACGAAAAACGAAAAACGAAAAACTGTTCCATCTATTGAGCGGAAAAGGAAAATTTTTCTTCTCTTTAAATGGTTAACCGAGGGAGGTTAATTCTCACCCAACCAGATGGCAGTTTGTTCGTTGGTTAACATTGGATAATATTGAGAAACTCAAGAGAAAAGTGAAGCAAATGTTTCGCTCGGTTGACATTTTATTCTAAACGCGGAGACTTTTTTACCGTAGCGGTTTTTTCGTTTACCGAACTTTTGAAATATTCTTTTTTTTTATTTATTCTTTTTCTTTCAAACTTGGATCATTGGTCATTCTAATTTATGATTAATTAAGTTGAAATTTGAGTTTCTCATTTCTTTTCATGGTTTAAAAAAAATTTAAGTTTAATTATTGATTAATCGTTTTTTTTATGCTTAAAGAATTGAATTGTGATAGATGGCAGTAGTTTCGGTTTTTCAACATGAAGACTTCATGTTTTGATATTTTGTCTCGTTTGATTTTGAATTGTTTCATTGGCGGTAAAATGCAAGGAACTCAACAAAGGCGATCTGAACAAATTTCACAGGAAGTTCAAGTAGTTGAAGATGAAGATTCCGAATCTGGATTCCATAAAGTAAGCCAGCTTCAGGTAAGTCGAAAGAAAATGAGATAATTTTGTTTGTATTCGATTGGATCTGAGAGTCAATTTTCATGCCTTCTCTTTGGCGTGTTTACTCTTGTTGTGTGTTTTTCTTTGTTCTTCTGATTAATTTATTCTATTCTTTTTATTTTGTTCTTAATTTAGGGAAATGGTGTTACTCCAGGAGATATTAAAAAATTAATTGAGGCTGGTTTTGCTACTGTTGAATCAGTAGCATTTGCCCCGAAAAAAAGTTTGATTGGGGTGAAAGGGATTAGTGATACAAAGGCAGACAGGCTTTTGGTAAGATTTTTTATTTGTTGCATCATTTTCTTTTTTCATTAATTACTAATTATTTTTACTTCTCTTTTGTATTCTTTTTCTAGGCTGATGCTCAGAAAATAGTGCCAATTGGATTTACTACTGCTAAAGAATTTCATAAAAGACGATCGGATATTATTACCATCACCAGTGGTTCCAAAGAATTGGATAAACTGCTTGGCGGTAAATAATTTATTTCTTCATCAAAATTTTCGTTTTGAGTTTTTTTTTCTTACTAATTTATCTTATCTTCTTCAGGTGGATTTGAAACTGGAGCTATCACCGAACTGTTTGGTGAGTTTCGAACTGGAAAATCTCAGATATGTCATGCATTAGCTGTTACTTGTCAATTACCCATAGACATGGGAGGTGCAGAGGGAAAAGCCATGTACATAGATACTGAGGGAACATTTAGACCTGAAAGGCTTTTAGATTGTGCGGCTCGGTACAAATTGGAAGGAGGAGATGTGCTAGATAATGTCGCCTATGCTCGAGCATATAACACAGATCATCAGATGCAACTCGCCGTACAAGCCGCTGCTATGATGTCCGAATCAAGGTAATGTGTTTCTTTTTCAATATCTTGCTATTTTACTAATTTCCTGTATTCTTCTTTAGATATGCTCTTCTCATTGTAGATAGTGCAACAGCACTTTATCGAACTGATTATTCTGGAAGAGGAGAATTAGCTCCAAGACAGATGCATATGGCTCGATTTTTACGGTTACTTCAGAGGTTAGCCGACGAATTTGGTATTGCGGTTGTAATAACTAATCAAGTTGTAGCTCAAGTAGACGGAGGTGCTGGAATGTTCAATGCTGATCCCAAAAAGCCAATTGGAGGTAACATCATCGCTCATGCATCTACAACCCGATTGTATTTACGTAAAGGTCGAGGAGATTCCAGAGTCTGTAAAATCTATGACTCTCCATGTCTACCCGAATCGGAGGCTTCCTTTGCAATTACAGTTGAAGGCATTTCTGACACTAAAGATAACGATTAAGTGCCGTTTACTTTTTATCACTATTACTTTTTACTATCAATTATCTTTTCTAATCCGACTTGTTAATCCATCCTAAATTTGAAACAAAACCAAAAACAACTACAAATCACCAGCGCACGTTACACAATCTAAAAAAGTACTCACATTTATCCTGTTTCAATCACTTCGAAGTTTTATCATTTATAATCAATTTGTTAAAAAGTTTGGTACACCGGAAGATGAAACATCAAATCATCACCAAATTGAAGTTTCTCAAATCAAGTCAAAATTAAACACATTACGATGATTAAAATTGTGAAACAGCTTAAACGCTTACACGAAGTGTTTATTTTCATATTGGAATATGATTGAGATGAAATTGGAAAAAAGCAAAAGGCTATTTATTTGTGTTTTCTGAGGGAACATAATTAGTCCATTTTGTTTTTCTTCACTTTACAAAATCAACTTAATTGTGATTGTTTTTGTGAGATCAATTCCCTAATACTGTCTTCCTTTTCCTTCAAACTTTTACCAAGATAAACTTTATTCTTTTCCAATTCTTGACATTTATCGGTATTACTCTTGATCGCATCACTTAAATCACTTTCAATTTCATCCTTTTTGGTTTTAACAAACATCCGACCAATCGATTGATAAGTAGTTATGGATTCGGGAAGATTCTTCACTTCGGACAATGTTAATCGATAACGTTGACTACTACGATTAAGAATATCAATTGTTGTGTCAATTTGTCGCATTTTCCCTCGAGTTTCACCAACTTTCATTTGTAATTCTTTGAAATGTTTCTTCAGTTCAAGATCAACATTCGCTGTCAAGGGAAACAAATAAAACACAAATATCACATTGATTAGAAACAATTACTAAATAGACAATTAACTGTGACACTTACCCATGATTACGGAGATTAAATCACCAAAAAAGTTAACAATTTGATTGGAAAATACTAACAAATCAATGGACAATCAAAGGCCTAAAAATGAAAACAATGAGAGTCAAAAGTGTAAACAAAGCATGGGAACTTTGGAGACAGAGAAATAGACAGAGGAAAAGAAAGAGGAATGGAAAGGGAAAGAGACAGAGAAAGAGACAGAGGTGAGAGTGAAGAAAACCAGTTAACCAAAATTAACCAGAATTTAATTATTGATTGTTTGCGATCAATAAATTAATTTGTTAATTTTGGGTGATTTATTGATAACTTGTAATCAACTTTGGAAATGTTTACTTGTTAAATTAAAGTGTAAATGATTAAGCAAAAATATATTAGATGTATGAGTTAATTGTTGATAATTAGTTATTGAGATAAATATGATTAATTGTTTTTGGTGAAATATTAATTGTGATGAATCATGATTAACTATGTTGATCGGTTTTTCTCAGTTCTTCGGTTAAATTGATCAACTCTTGAGGTTTAATTGTTGATTCATCGATACCAGTACAGGGTCGACACATACAATCAACTGGAGCTTTGGTTGTAATCTAAGGAGGATTTAATCAGTTAATTATTAATAATTAATCTTTTCGATATCGTTAATCAAATTTACCTTTCTAATTTTGGGTGTTTTTTTGGGGCAAAAAATACCAATTGTTGCCTCTCTTTCCCCCATTTCCTGGCAACACATGCATGACCTTTCAACTTGCCAAAATTTGGACCCCGAAACCTTAAAATCCATTGATTGGAATCAGAAATGAACGATCAATATCAATGTTGGAATGACAATTGTAACAATCAACTCACCTGAACATATGATGAACACGAACCATGACAAGCAAATGACGGAATCGGTTTCGATAAACACCCTGGGTGACTGAGTACGTGGATAACTGGCCTTAAATGACAACCTTTCGACGATCCATCTAATCCAGCGATTAACATTGATACTAAAATAGTCATTGGAATGAGAAAACTAATCACTTGAGAAAAATTCATTGACAATCAACTTTTTTCTCCAACAACTGAATTAGACTGAAACTATTATCACAATTTCATCAAATCAATTTGATTGTGATAAGAATAAGAGACTCGATCAAATGTTCAACTGTCGATTTTCTTGATTAGACTGACCTTAGGCGATTCGACCATGAATTTGGATTAACTTTTACTTAGAGGAAAATATCTAATACCTCCCGTCAAGAATAAGTAAATACTATTAATATTTATCAATAGAATTTCAGTTCATTAGATCAGTTGGACTCTTATCGAACTTGATTACTCAAAAGTGTTCTGATGTTAATCTAATGACCCTGACAGTGAATTAAGACAAATATCAAACAGAGAAAGAGAGAGAGAAGATTTCAGAACTTATCGAAATGCTCAGAGTTAAGGTAATACGAAAGGTGAATGAGCCTTTCAATTTGACCGATGGTTAAATTATCACAATTGCGATGGGCTAAGATGAAGATCAATGAGGAACAATTAACTGTTCGGTTCACAATTAATGTAATTTTATTTTGTATGTGCAATTAAATTGGTTACATGAATGTTTGTTATTCACTATGATCGGTAGTTGGTGAAATTTGTTGATGTTTAATTGATAAAATATAAAAATTTCAAATGATTGAGTTGAATGAAATTAAGATTACTTTATAATTTGAATCGGTTGTCAAATTGATTGGTCAACAATTAATCGCATACCAATTCATATTGGATAACTATTGGTTATTTGTGATAATATTTATGTATAAATTTTGTCCATCATGAATATCCAGTAATTGTTAATACACTTTAATGAAGTGATTAACAGATTATCCTTCATGATAATCATGGTAAATGTGAGATACTATTTTCTTTGTGAGATTAATGATTTTCAAGTATTTGGAATATGATGACAGTCAATAGATCAAATAGTTCGTGAGGCCTTAACAACTTCGATAACCTATTTTCGAGACAACATGGGTACATGAGAAAAAAAGAGAATTAGTTTCGAGATGATTAGAATTGAACTATTGATGAATCCAAGTTAATTACCGGTTGAATGAAATTCTTGAGAGCAGCATAAGCTTGATCAAGATCTTCATTGATCAAGACCAGGTCGAAATAATTTTCGATTCCTTCCATGTTCAGATCTTCTTTGGCTCGTTTCAAACGTCGTTCTATGTTTTCGTCGGACTCGGTTGCTCGAGCTCTCAATCGTTGTTCCAAAACCTCGAGACTCGGTGGTTTCACGAAAATGAACAATGGCCTGAAATTGGATTTCTTCATATTCTTAACTCCTTCGATCTCCAGGTCAAGAATACAAATTTTTCCACTGTTTTGAACATGTTCCATGGCTTTTTTACTGGTAGAAAAAAAGAGATAAATTCAGTTTCAAATATGAGATAAAAATTCCATTCACATGGTAAGGGTAATTACCTGGTTCCATAAAGATTCCCAGAAAACTCAGTAAATTCAATGAATTCACTTTCCTTTATTGCTTTTTCCATTGAATCTCTTTCCATGAAATGATATTCTAAGGGAAAAAGATACAAAAATAACGGTTACTTTACTTTACTCTAATTAAATTAAATAGATCATGTTTAATTAAACTCAATTTCTATTAGATGGATTGAAATTTTTCTGTCATCATGTTGAAAGGAAACAAACTCTGTTTACAGATTGAGATCATGACATTTCCTATGTATAAACAAATGGATAATTTATATCATCACTTTCATGTAATGAGAAATAATCAACCAATTAAATTAACCAAAATATTGATACGGACGATAAATGTCATCAGAAATTGAGTCCATTTTAACAGATTAAAATTTTGAAGCTAATTAACAGTAATTAACAGTTGATTAGCTTCCATTGGATCAGTAACATGATGAAATTTAAATTCTCAGTCCATGTGATTACCTCTTCCATCAATTTCCCCTTCACGAGGTTTCCTAGTTGTATCTGGAGGGAAATTAAGACAATTTAACAAAGAGTAACAATTAATTAAAATCCCAATGGATAAAAATATGGAAAACCATCAAGATGGATCAACTTTGCCTGATCAATGGACAGAAATACTTACGAGATACTGTAAATCCAAGATAATCTTTATAATCGTTAATGAGTCGCCTAAGCAGTGAACTCTTGCCCGAACCTGAAGGTCCACAGATCACAATTGGCCTAATAATTGGATCAATGGTATCACCTCGTAAGGCTGAATCACTTGGAACCTTATCAGAAGTCATAGTCTTGGAATGGCACAATCAAAGGGAGAGAAGAGGCTAAAGAGGTTTACTGATTAGTCTCTGAATGAAACTATGATTTAATGGTTTTCCTAATCAATTTAGAGTAAAATTGGAGGTTAAATGGATGTCACAATTTTCAATGATAATTTAATAAACAAACGTCAATTGTTGTGTTAACTGTCAAGCTTATTTTCATTTTCATTCAATAAAAGGTTGATGATAACTCGGTTATGTTGTATGGTGATGATAATGTTAAAAATGGTTCTGATGAGGTTGTTGTTACAGTTGATCATGGTGGAGATGATGAAGAAGAAGATGATGAGGATGATGATGATGATGATGATAATGATGTTGATTTGAACATACAAAGGTTGATTTTGAGTTTAGCTGTTTGACAGGAATGAGAGAGTTAATAATAACTGTGATAGGTCATGTTAATGTTGATTGAAAATCATCAATTGATGAATCGAGGGATTAATCAATTGCCTGAAGATAAACATCGAGACACTTTTATCATTAAAAAACCTTGATATCCTGTTACCAATCATCAGCAAATAATCAGTGGTAATGATTTAACTCAATGGTGGAAATAATAATTACTATTTAACCAAACATTCATGAAAACATGATCCCATCATTATCATCATCATCTCGAGGAAAGAGAGAGAGAGAGAGAGAGAGAGATTTGCTCCTAGATAGAAACATGGCTTCCTCTTTCTTTGGATTTTCTCTTCTCTTTCTTTTTTCTCTTAGTCTTGTATTTGATTGTTGTTTGGGTTACAATTTAAAAGAATCAATCATTAACTAGAAATTAATGATTCTGATAATTTAATGATCAATTGATGGTCACATCATCAACTAATCATGAGAAACAAAGTAATGACCAATGCGAAAACAAATATAACTCAACCATTAATTTGGTTTATTACAAGTTTCTGGTAATCAGATAAGTTAATCATTTTGCTACTTCAATTTGATACTTTCAACAATTTAATTGGTTAATTTAGTTGTGATCATAATCAAGTTCAGACATTTATCTAAACACGAGAAGAAATAAAATCTCATGAAAATAAAGTTCTTAACATTATTATTATGTTTTCTTGAATTTTCATGAAAATTTTCACAAATGAAACTCAAACAAAAAAAACTTTCATTCATTAGATTCAATTGTTCAACCCTAACGTAAGTATGATTATCATGTTATCATGAAATTCACTACAATTCAATATCTTAAATCGTAAATCAATCAATATATCATTTCGATAACGGTGAAAAAGGACATTGGATCAAATTGAAATTAGAATCATTATCTAATATATATTTTCTTGACCAATATCATTAACGTATTGTTTTCATTATATAAAAAATATCTCATTACTTTTATTGATTAAAATATCAGTTAATCAATATGAAGATGATTCAATTCTTACAATTAATCTGAATATCAAAGTAAAGCAACTCTTTCAATCCTGATATAAGTAAATCAGTGTTGTTTTTTTGTCGCAAAATTGAATGATGATTAAGATTAAATTGTTTGATTGTTTGTGTTTCATAATTATTGTTTTACTTTACTCATCGACATTTACTCAATCAGAATCGGATAATTTTCCAATTGGTCAAGTAATTAACTTAGGTTTGTATTATGTGTGTTCCTTGTCTTTGGGATTCAATTAATTTAATTAGTTTTCTCATCTTTATATATCTCATTTGTGATTAGGAATCTTAATCCAGTTCAATGATGAAATATCTAGAGCAATTAGGAATGAGACTTTATTTCAGTTAATCAATCGGATTGAAGGACCATTGATTGATAATATTACAACAAAAGTTGATCTAATTGATAACTTTGATGATTTCAATCAACAAATTGAAGAGGATCCAACAAAATGTAACAAGTTGATTGTTGTTATTACATTTTCTGTACTCATTATGATTAACTGATTGGTCATTTATTTACTTTTTTCTTCAGGTAATAATTACATGGGATTAATTTCAATTCTTCCTTGTTCATCAACTAAATTACTTTACTCTTTAATTCGTGATTATTGTTCATCTACTCTGTTAATTTCAATTCATGATCGAACTTGTATCAGACCAAATCGTGATCATGGAATTGGTTTTCCAATTCTATCATCAGTTGATCATGTTGTTCCAATGTTAATTGACATGAGACATGATTTCTTACGGAAATGGGATCATATTAATCTGATTCATGATGATACAATCGGTGAGTTTATCTTAACCATTTTGCTATTGACAAATTTCAATGATCAATTTAATTGCAATTTAATTTTTCTCCCTTTTTCCTTTCCCAAGATATTGGTGCTCTTCATGATTTAGTTGATGGATTGAGTAAAATTCATGGGCCAGAAATAACTCCATCAATTGTGACAACTTATCACATTGGAAAATCAACTAATTCAGTTAAGAATAAGTTAATTATTGAATTAGATGAAATATCTGATAATAATGATACTGAAGTTACTTCAATTTCACAACGAGAAACAATTAAAATTGATTCGTCTCGTCTGGAAGAGCAATTTGTTGATCATATTACTAATGATGAAAATTATAAACATTTCATTATCATCGCTCGTAGTAATCATATCAGAGAGATAATTAAATTGGTCTGTAATAAGATTTAATTTGATTCTATTAATTTCTATCATATTTGATTTCGCAATTTACATTGTAAGTTTTTTTTAATTGTTAATTTTAGGCTCACTCAAAGTCACTTCTTGTTTCACCTCGTAAATGGTTAATTATCTTCAGTGATAATCAAGAGAATCCTGATTATTGGTCACAATTAAGTCCAATTTTAGCAGCTTCTCAAACTGCAATTGTAATTAGAGAGGCTTCTGGATATGGTCAGTGTAATGTGATGTCCGATGGATGTCAAATTAGATTAGCATTGGAAACATTAAGATCATCTTTAATTAAAGTTGGTCTAACTACTGATTATGATTTTACCGATGTCGATATGAAAAGACGAACTCGAAATCGGATTTTAACTGAAATCAGATCACAATTAGGTTCAACTGAATCAAACTCTGGACAATATTGTGGTAATTGTGATCGTTATTCACTGAAAATGTTTGAAAGAGCGACAGTTGGCCAATCAATTGATTACATACGTCGGCCGTTTCCATCATTAAACTGGCCTGAGACTAAATTAGCAGCCGAAGATGAGATTGATAATATTAAAATAACTCAAACTGGCGAGTGGACTCCGTTCAAAGGGTTAATTCAATCTGCTGACCCTTTGCCCATTGATGTTGTCAATGGCGGTGGTCAAGTTATCAAGGTTGGTGTAATTAACCAGCGTCCACTAATTAATGCTGAACTGGTTGAGGGTAAATGTAAACCCAATGGGACAACAATTGAGTTACTAAAATTAATCGCATCTCGAATGAATTTTACCTTGGAATATATTTGCTGGTCAAGCCTTGAAGATGATAAAATTGGTACTCCACAATCAGATATGAACTGGGACGGAATTCTGGGTAAATTGCTTTCAGGAGAAATTGATTTAGCAGCAAATGGTATTTGGAAAACACCATCGAGAATCCAATCAGGAAAATTTGAATTCTTGTTCCCTTACGATGTTGATACGGTTTCGTTGGTGGTTGCAAAGTATCCCGAGGATGAAAAGTTCTTGTTCATTTGTCCATTTACTCCAGGGGTAAGCACTCATTCAGATCTTTAATTTGACCCTAATAATAATCCAGCGATTTTGTGTCGATTAATATTAGACTTGGACCTGTGTTATACTTTGTATGATCATAATTGGACCAATTTTCTGGATTATCCACCGTTCAGCAATTTACTACGATTACTATAAGATGAATGATGGAAAAGGTTTCTACAAATTGTTCAACTGTGTTTGGTACTGTTATGGAGCGATGGTCCAGCAAGGAGGTGAAATTTTACCCCAGGCTATTTCTGGGCGGATTCTGATTGCTTCTTGGTGGCTTTTCGTTATTGTAACGGTGACAACATATTCGGGAAACTTGGTGGCTTTGTTGACTTTCCCAAAGATCATTCAGCCGATTCAAAATGCTCAAGATGTCAAAAACTCTTGGGGAATCTCAGTTGGTGCATCGACTGACAGTTCGATAGCTGAAATGATTCCGATAATTAAATATTCTGACCTTGCAATTATAAGAGATGATGTTAAATATTATGATTTCAACAAGGAGAGAGATGAAATCTTTGAAGATATTTCCGATGGAGACTTGGCTTATATCATGAAGGAATATGAAGCTCGTTATTGGGTGACAACTGAATTCACGCGAACCGGATTTTGTGGAATGCATGTCGCTAAAGATGCTCTTTATCGAACTCCTGTTCATATGGTGACAAAGAAAGAAAAATTTCCAGAATCTTTGTTGAATGAAATCAATCGATTGTAAGATTAATAATAATAATCTTTTTTTCTTTCTAATCGATTTTATTTTCATCCAATTTATACTTTGATTCAGATTATTTCTGATGACCAGAGCTGGAATCTCAACTTATTGGAAGATGTGGTTCCAAACACCAGGTAACGATTGTATGTATCCATTGATTATCCATGCAGGAGACGTGAAAAAGATTGACGTTATTCATATGATTGGTTCATATGTACTTCTTGCCTGGGGCATTGGAGTCGGTTCGATAATATTGATCGGGGAAATTGTTCACAAGAAATGTTTCGCAGTCAATCAATTTGGTTCAATGAAAATGGAAGATGGTTCAAAGCGTGAGAACTCTGGTTCGTCGGGACTTAACGATATACTCAGGAGCATGTACACTCGATACAATTCTGATCCATCATATTCAAAATGGGCGTCGAATGTTGATTATTTCAATTCATCTGATAATCGTCCAACCAAAGAGTCCAAAGTAACTCGATTATCGTTTAATCATCCAAGCATCAGTCGAGCTCCGTCAACCAATTTCAAAGCCAAAGCCAATTGGGCCTCGGGCGTCGCAGCGGCAAGAGCGAAGGCATCGCCAAACCTTTATTACGATCAAAGTGGTTCGATGTATTTAACTCAAATCAGAGGAATTTACAATGATCCAGAAAACTTTCAATATCCTTACAGTGATTTACGATCTAATTACAAGTTCAAATGATTTCGAAAATCGTAACAATTCAAATTGCTATTGGTTTTGTTTTTGTTTTCTCTCGTTCTCATTAATCTGATTATCTTATCGCATCTAAATAATAACCATAATCATTATGATCAACGAACAATAAATTTTGATTGGTGTGTAATTGTTGTAACATTGAATTGTTTTCATCAAAATAAAGTTTTAATTGTTGGATAAAATTTTATTGAAATTATGCTCCAATAAGAACTATTATAATTTAATTACCATTTAAATGAGTTACATACAAGTTCCCGTTTTCCAAATTGGAACCAATAATTGGTTTGGATTATGTTAAGATGAGAGAAAAAGTTTTTTGTGCAATGAGAAGGGAAAAAAACATCAATTAATTGAAGTATTTTGTTGCTAATTAGAAGTTGATTTAAGTTGATTGTTTGCAAAGAGAAGAGAAGACAATTAAACAAACGTTTGATTTAAAAAGACAAAGGAAATTGACACTTGAAACAACAACAATTTGCTGATACAAAATGGGCTATTAGATTGACTTTAGGCTCTCTCTTTGTGCTTGATTATTATTAGTTTTTTTTTTAGATGATAAAACAAACGAATGTATGATTTTGTATTGTGATTAACTTTCCTCCTCTAGATTCATTGATTGTTATATTTAATATATATTTATATGTTGTCATCTATTTGTAGGATTTTAAACACTTTGTTTTGTTTTTAAATTGGTGATCCAACCTCTCGAGAATTAGATTATCATTGGAGGGATATTTCTTTACTTTTAATGAATTCTAATGTGTTAGCATATTGTTTCTCAAATGATTCCGATAGGATAATCTCCTTTTTTTGTTCAATTATCTTCTCGTTTATATCTTTCATCAGTTTAACCAGTTCGTGATTATCTGGAGCAATCAGTAATGTTGTATGGGAAAGTATCTCGATGTAAAGTTGTAATTTTAAATCATTGTCCATCAATGATGAGGTTATTTTGTCACTTGTTTTTATGCATTTAATGGCATCTGATGATGTTGGGTTATCACAAAATAAAAGACTTGAACTTAGAAGTGCTCGAACTTGATCTGGTTTTTGTACCAATGTAAGACCAGCGCGAGGCAACCAGGCGAAAAGAGGACATTTTTGTTTTAAAGATGATGAATTATCTTCATCTTCATCGATAGATTTGAATCCCATCTCTTTAACAGCGCCAATGATCAACATTAATGACGCAAATCGCTCCTTTGATCCGCTGATCTCTTCTTCGTATATGGAAACAGCTTTTGCTGCAAAATCGTAAGCGACAGTTTCACTTGTCTCGATTCCAACTTTACTCGCGTTCAATGCAGCTTGAAGGTACAAACGGAGGCATAAATCGGGACAATTACTGTCGCTGAGAGCGGAAATTGTTTGTTTAACAAATTGGAATATTTTGGTACATTTTTTATCCCATTTTGAATCTTCTTTCGATCCAGAGTATCTTAAAGCAAGATCTAGTGATTCGAATACTAAAGATGGAAAAGTGTAACGAATTCGTTTCGATCCTCCTGGAGTGAGGATCTTTTTACATGATGATAGAATTAGATATTGTAAATCAAGATCATCATCGGCTACACAAATAGGTGAAAGTAAATAATGAATAAATCGAGAGAGTAGAATCTGTTCATCTACAAAGTCTTCATCCAAAATACCATCATGTTCCTCTGGATTTGGTCCTTTAACAAGAGGATCACAAAGTTCACTGAGGAAAGTTTCAATCTCCTCCAAGGTTAAACGATTCTCTTCAATAATTTTATCCTCAATTCCAGAATCTAAAGCAGAATTAAGCAAGGAAAGAGTAATTTGCTTCTGTAGATCGGAATCGGTAACATCTTTAAGAAGGTTCTTGAAATTTTTCAATTTAAGGGACATTTTTATCGGAGCGATACCAGAGGTTTGACCATCTTGATTACCATGAGTTATTGGTAATTTCAAAAATTTGAGTAACTCTTTACCAATATTAGTTCGATATTGAATTCGCGATTTATTGCATTTCTCCTTGATGACATTCAGAGTCGATCCTAGAACTGAATCAATACTTTCTTCCCGTTTAGATTCATTGTTTATCTTTTTAATCGAGAAGTTGATCAATGATCCTTCCATCAGAATAATATCTTCCAATATCATGTCTGGTCTTGACTGGATTATGTTGGATATTTGAGCAGAGAAAATATCAAATAGATCATCAGGTAGCTCAATATCTTTGGATGAGGCCAGTCGATCGATTAGTGCGATAATGATATTCTTTACATTAACAGAAGGGACCAACTTAGCACATGAATGAAGAAATGGTTGTAATGTTGTAAGATGAAATTCATCGGGAAATACTTGAATTAAACATTCCATGAGATATTCTTGAGCAATACCATCTCTACATGAGACAACTTGCTCAAGAATACCAGGTAATACAACCGCTTTGTAACGTTCGATATCAATACTTTCCAAATGAGATAATCGGACCAAATTGGTACCAACAAGAAGTCGCAATTCAAGCCTTTCCTTTTCCCGTCTATCCTTGTCTCGAGTGTGCCCTTGGTGTTGCATTCGTACCCAAAGTTTATTCATCTCAGCAAAATTTAGCAAAATAAATTCAATTGAATCCTCAATGGTACCAGAATGCTCTTCTTTACCATCACCATCACCACAAATTTCTTCAACAGTTACATCAGGAAGTATATTACGACATGATTGTAGAAGATAATTACGCAGAAACAAACCCCTATAAATACAAATAGAGAATAGAAATTAAAATGAAACAAATGTAAACATAAACACGTAAAGATAATCAATTTCAATTCTAACCTTAAAGGATGTTGGACACCTCTACACATCTCAACTAAATCTTTTAAAATATCTCGACGGCTTCCGGGTGTAGTTTTCATGTAGACAAGACCAACGGTAATTAATAGATACAATCGGGGAATAATATTACCAGCATATTGAACAAGCTCATAAAGATCAGCCAGTTTCCTGCCTCGATTGAATTCATCTAGAAGATACATCTCAAGGTGTCTTAATTGATCACAAACAGCCATGTATAATTCATAATATGATTTAGGACTCAATTGATTTGTCCTTAATTCAGTAATCATATTGGATGCATGTTTCAAAGCTTCCATCAATTTACCCTTGTCCAGGCAGCATTTCATATGGAATGACTGAATCTTAACATTACCAAGAGATTCATCAAGTCGCTTTTCTTGCTTATCATCACTAGGAGTAGTTGCAGGAGTTAAAGGCATCTTGGTAAACACTTTTCTGCTCTTCTTAATTGCTTGAAAAGGAGTAAAATTAAAATAAATCAATTGACAGTTAATTCCTCGTGATTAACAATTGGAAAAGGAAAAGAAGATGAGAAAAAAAAATAATAAAAATAAATGTAAACAAACAAGAAAATTATGAGATGATACAAAAAAGATGATGACACAAAAACAAAACAATGACTCCTTTCAATTGAATTTGAAGATTTGGTGTAATGATTAACCTCTAATTTTACTTGACAAATTGCTGGAAACACAGTGAAATTAAATTAGTTGACTGATGGAAATAATCAAGGGGATGATTAAAGATTAAGTCAATTATTTGGTAGGCGTCTTCATCAATCACAATCTATTATGAATGGAAACCAAACCGGTAGAGAGATTCACTTGGGGACCGTTAACTCAATAAACATTTTCGACAATTAAATTAACTTTTTCATTTTTTATTATTGATTTTCGTTAATTAGTTGATTTGGAAATCATATCATCACTATTATCTTTCTCTTGGTGTGACATTTTTTTTTTTCTTCATCAAGGTTTGTGGAAATTAATTTAAAGAAGAGTTTAAGACTTTCATTGATATCGATTTTAGTGTGATGATGGTGAGAGAGTTGAAATTAATTCTAATTGTTTAGTTGATTAGTTTCTTCGTTGACAATATTTCAATTAAAGATCATTAGAGTTTTGATTGTGCTTTCATCAGAACGTTAATTGTAGTTGTTATCTTATTATTTGCTTTTTCGTTGAGAGTTTTTGTTTTTCGTCCTTTCCTTTGAAACTGAATTGATGTTTATTGGATTTTGTTGATTAGTTGATTGTTTGGGAATTTCCTTCACTTCTGCATTTGATTTGATTTTCTAGATCAGTTAACTAATTGTTTCGTAATGGTGAGTATGTGTTACGATGGCAATTGTTCAATTTTCCCTAAGTTGACAGACTCAGAGAGAGAGAGAGAGAGACTTTTACATGATAATTTGATAAAAATCGTTTCAATCGATCATCAGTTTAATAGTAATCGTTGAATTGGTAGAAAATGTTTTCAAAAATTTGCGCTCAAAATGTTGAGGAGAAAAAAAAACTTCTCTTTCTTTTTCTCTGTCTAATTCTGGTTTTTATTCATTCGATTCTGGTGATAATCGATTAATCGTTTAAATCGAAATCTAATTGTGACTTTGATTGTTTGAAACCCTTTCTTGTGTTTGGATTGATAATTGTTGACAAATTTATGGTTTTTTGTTTAATCACAATGACAATTACTCATAAATGTGATTCTACTGAGCGACAAATAAATGAAATAATGTTTCTAAACGCTGCCCTTCAAAGTCAAATTGAAGAGACAAAGATAAAGATTGGAATTGCCAAAGCTGAGAGAAAATATCTTCTCAATAAATTACTTTATTACGAAAAGGAATCACCCGAGGAAGTTTATACCTGTAATATTGGTAATGTGGTCTCATCATCGAGTAATAATGGAGCAACCAGTGGAATCCTTCAGCAAGTTCTCAGTCGAAAACAATTGACAAACAAAAATCCATCAAATTCTAATTGTGTATATCAACCATCAACACCTATTAATCCATAAAGATTCCTGGAAGACACATAACAAGAAGACAAAGAAATGTTCCAATTGGTGCAAAAATTATCGATTTATTTGAATTAATCTCAATTATTTAATGTAAATTGCGAAGACGAAAGAAACAAAATTCTACAAATACAAATAACCATGTACAATAAAGGAGAAAAAAAGAGTTTTCAAATGATTTACTGATTCTCATTTATCCCAATCGACTAATGTTCCTCTAGGTTTATGTCGTTTATCACTTGAATCTTGTGTTGAATCAGTTTTTCGTTTTAATTGTCCAGTTCTTTCCAATTGTTTCTCGATCACCTTAGCATTTTGAGCATAACTATCTGCAACTTCACGAGCTTCAATTTCCTCTTCCTCTTCATCGACAGTTGAAACGGTGACAGAACTAAACTTTCCCATGTCACGAGTCTTCTTTGTAACCATAACCTTTTTATTATCATGAGAAGCAGGAGTTCTGGTTTGAACATCTCGAGGTCGATATCTTAATGCTCCTTGAATAACAAACAAAACATTAGAATCGGGCTTATGTTTATAGAAAATTGGAAGATCACATCTTTTACAATTGTATCGAAATTGTTTCTCGATTCCATTTTCTCTTCTCAAGTAGACAATATTTTCCTCAGTCGACTCAGCGATATGTAATTTGTACACGCGCTTTTCACCATCAATAACACGAGCTTTATCACGAGGCCTCAATGGCAATCGATCCAAATTACAATCAAGAATTAATGACATTTGACCACAAATACAATAGTAAACATTGAGATTCTTTTCATCATTATATTCCTCTTCATTCTTGGAATCAGTGCAAGCGATACTTCTGGAGACAATTTTAGGCATAATGATAAACCTTTAAAGTGAGAAAAAAAACTACAAGAAGAACAATTAATCAACTAATTACAAAGAAAAGAGAAAAGTAAAACCAAGAAAGAGAAAAGAAAAAAAAATTGTTTTGTTTACGATATTTGGAAAATGGAATCTCGATGATTCGGATCCTGGACTTGGATCTTTATCCACATCTGATTGATTTTCACTCTTTTTTTTTAATTTGCCAATTGACAGTTGATTCATTTAATTAATTTAAATTTAATTTTCTATTTGAAATGTGGTCCTTTTGGTCCCGTAACCCAACCAAAGATTTTCCTTACGATTTGGGTGATGTGATTAACCTGCAACCCGACGAATCAATTTGGGTTATTCAAAAGGGAAAGAAAAAGGTTTGGAAATATTTCTGTTTATGTTAATCTAATGGTGATGATGTCAATCATTTTGTTGCACTGGTGTTTCTTTCACTGATTTGATTACATTTAGAATATTGATTTTCTCTTTTTTTTTCTCTGTTTCACTTTTCTTAGGGGACTGGAGAACCTGTTACAATATTTCGGTTTGAATGTAAATTCGGAACGGAGCATCTCTTGGAAAGAGCCAAATCAGCATTAAAACGGATAAAAACACTGAGACATCCATCGTTTTTAACTTACGTTGACTCACTTGAAACAGATAAAATAGTTTGTATTGTCACAGAGCCTGTTGAGCCTTTGTCTTTGTATCTTAAATCATCAGAAAATTTTACTCGTGAACAATTATCCAACGCTATTTCCTTTGGTTTACATCAAGTAGCTGTGAGTTTTATTGGTTTGCTTATATTGATCATAGTTTTGTGTTTTCTTTTTCACTTTTTCACGATTTCATCTTCTTTTGTTTTTATATTTTACTGCAGATCGGACTTGGATTTTTAATAAATGATTGCAACTTTAATCACAATAATTTACATTTAGGCTCAGTACTAGTCAACTCATGTGGTATTTGGAAAATCGGTGGCCTCGAATATGTCACTTCTAACATTCAAGAGGATCAATCGTCCATCACTAAACATCATTCATCTCTCGATAAATACAATCCTCCTGAACTATCCGACTCTTCATCAATCAAAGGAACCAATAAATGGTACGAAACTTCATTTATATAAATATTAGATCTGTTTTCTTAAAAATATATTTCTCTTTCTATTTTATATTCACTTCAGGTCAATTGATAGTTTCGCTTTTGGATGTTTGATCTGGGAAATATTCAATGGCCCAATGTCTCAAAGAAATGATCTTAAGTTACCACAAAAGGTAAATAAATCTAACCATCGATTCAATAATGTTCTAATTTTCTTGAAACTTGTTATTTCTCAAGATTCCAAGTAACCTGGTAACCATTTATAAAGAACTGATTGATCCTAATCCCAAGAACAGAATCAGCCCATTAGAGTTTGTACAGAAATGTCGAGCCAAAGGTTGTTATATGAAAAATCCCTTCATCGATTCCATGTTGTTTATTGAAGAGATTCAAGTGAGTTCCAATTTGTAATTCTTTTTTTTTCCTCATGATAATAATCACAAGAACGATCAACTTGTACTAATCAATTTCTCTTTCCCGTTCTAGATTAAAGATCAAACTGAGCGAAACAGATTCTTCACCCATCTCAATGATGCAATGAACTCATTTCCTCCCGATATTTGTAAAAATAAAATGTTACCACAGCTTATTATTGCTCTAGAGTTTAATAATACCGGTTCAGCGTTTTTAGGACCACTTTTAAAAGTAAGAATTAACTAATTGTCACCTAGAACCATTGATTAACCCTTTTCTCTTTGCAGATTGGTAAACTTTTAAGTGAAGATGAATATCAAAAGAAAATCGTCCCTTGTGTCATAAAATTATTTGCATCTAAAGATCGAGCCACTCGAGCCAAACTCTTGCAAGAAGTGAGTGAATTACTTAGAAAATTAATTCTTCAAATGATGTTAATTAAAATAATTCTAAATGATTAATTTTTCTATAAATAGATGGAATCATTTATTACTTATTTACAACCAAATGTTGTAAATGAACAAATTTTTGTCCATGTTTCTCAAGGATTCGTTGATTCAAATCCTACAATAAGAGAGCAAACAGTTAAGGTAAGTATTAAGAATTAATTAGTCTCATTACGATTTAGATTCTAATTAATTTACATCTTTTTCTTCATCTAGTGTATGCTTCATTTGGCTCCAAAACTAAACTATGCCAATCTCAATGATGAAGTTCTGAGACATTTCACTCGGTTACAAACTCGAGACGAGGAAGGAGGAATCAGAACCAATACCGCAGTTTGTCTTGGAAAAATCGCCAACTATTTTCATCCTCAGGTAGATACGAATTCCGCCAATTCTGACCTTTGTTTATTTCTTTGTTTATTGTTGAGTAATTTCAATTCTCAATTTGATTTAAATTATTTTCCACGATTCAGATAAGGCAAACTGTTTTGATTCCTTCGTTTTTAAGATCTATGCGAGATCCATTTGCTCCTGCTCGAATTGCTGGAATCCTCGCTCTTTCAGCGACTCAGAACTTTTATTCCCTTCGTGATACTGCCACAAGAGTTATGCCCGCTCTGTGTCATTTAACTATGGATCCCGATAAATCAGTTCGTGATCAGGCTTTCAAAGCTCTCAAAGGTTTTGTAAGTAAAATCGAAAAAGTTTCAGAAGATCCATCATTAGCTGAGCAAATGGGTAAGTTGATATACATGTATTTTGGTCGATTGTTGTTTGAATTTTTTTAAACTAATTAGATGATTTTGATTGGTACTTATTAACAGAGGCTGATCTCAATACTTCGGGAACTAATGTTTCTTCAACATTAGCTGCTAGTTGGGCTTCTTGGGCTGTTAGCTCATTAACGTCAAAGTTTTATCGCTCAAAACCAGCAAATATCAATACCAGCAATAGTCAAGCTTCTGGTGATAAGATAACAAGCCCTTCGAGCAGTATCAGTCCTAAATTAACCGATTCTGACATAAAAATGCCTTCAGAAGACTCGAATGCTGATTATAATGAAGACTGGGCTCCGATTGATTCTAACCTTTCTTCAAAAGGTGACAGAAATGACCTGGAAAATAAGAAAGCAATGGACGGATGGGAAAATGACGATGGTTGGAATGAAGAAGAAGATTTTGATAAAGTTATCACCGCTTCGAGTAATATTAATCTTGAGAACAAGTCAGAAAGTAATGAAGATAATTGGTTGGATGCCCAATTAAGACCAAGCAGTCGAGCTGATTCTCATCGATCTAGTTTAAGCTCTTCAAGTAATATTCAACAAAACGACCCGATTAAATCAGAAACTGAAGACACAACCGAAAAGCGACCTCCACGAAGAGTTCGAGCTGTTGTCGAAAGGAAACCGAAGACTAAAAAAGGTCCAATGAGATTGGGAGCTCAGAAAATCACATAGAACATCAAAAAGAACCAGTGTTCCAATGTGAAGAAATAAAAGTATTTTCTATTCATTTCAATCTGACAACTTGTGTAATATTAATTTCCACCAACAATTAGCTCATAATTAACAGTTAAATAATCAATGGAATGAAAAATTTACGGATAAATATTTTATTGTGAAAGCAATAACAAGAGTAATTAGAATGCAAGATTAGTAAATTACTCTATGTACTATGGATTAGCCTTGATGCTAACGATTTTTTGGTTTGAACATATTTGATTAAATTACAATAGAAAACAATACAGAATTTAAAAGGAAAAGGGATTAATGTTCATAAGATCGTTTTAATCTTAATCCACAAGTGCTTTTAATCAAAGTTTTGTTTCTTATTCTCATGATCGTTCATTTAAATGTAATCATTTTGAATCGGTTTGTGATCATTAAATCAGGATGGGCTTTAAGTTGATTGCAATTGTACAAAGGAGATTATCAAGATGCGCTAAACAGCAATTTATCAATTTCTTCAACTAATCAATTGATCCGGTTTGTTTTTCAGCGACAGAATAGCAAAAAGCAAAAGGATTTCACGAAGAAAACGACAAATTAGTTTTGAAATCATCTGAATATTTACATTGATGTGGAAAATGACTTTACAAATTTAATTATAAGATTGATGAGTTTCTCTGGTTTTCCTTGCAAGAGATAATTGGAACTTTGCAGAAAATTGATGAAGATGAAGATGCAGCGAATTAACCAAATAGAAGCTTAAATGATGATGAGGTACTAATCCAATTTGGAATTAGGAAGAGTGAAGAGATCAACAATCATCGTCATTCTCATCTTTGGATTTTGTGACTTTTTTTTGTGCTTTTTGTACAATTGTGGCCTTTTAATCAACCAAATTTAGTCCCAATCATTTCAACATATCAATTTATTATTTCCAATGAAGGTCGGTCACACTTCCAGATTTTTAGGCAAATTTGTTGGTCTAAAAGGTTCACTCCACATTCGACGAAGGTCACCCTAAGAAAGATAGAAAAGCAAATTAACAATTGAAATTAATAAATTAAACCATTGAAACGTAGTCAGGGTTAGTGGTTTGCCCATGGTAACCATCAACGTTTACTCATATAATAAGAGGACTAGCTGGTTCCATGGTTTTACTTTTAATTGTTGCTTGAGTACAGATAATAAATTGAATTAAAAGTCAACGTACTTTGATGTAAGCCATGGTTAACAAAGGTAACAATGTGAATGGAACCAAATAAAGTAAGGCTGGTTGAGCTGCTTTTGATAATTCTGATGATACTGTAGCTGTCAATAGGCCTGATGATAGACCGAGAGAGAGAGAGAGAGAAAAAAAAAGAAAAGGTAAATTGTGAAATTCAATTAAGAATTGTGATTGATATAATAATAAAGAAATTAGAGATTGATTTTCTTACCAAAAAAATAACCAATAAGAGAACAATGGAAATAAGTTATTCTACTGAGATGATTTGGAGGAGGTAGACCAGCTTCGGTTGAGGTCAATAAAGATCGTTTGTAAGCATCGTATCGTAATACGAAGCACAATAGGAGACCAGGCATAACCTGACAATCAGAGAGACAATCAATTGATTAGAATCATTTACAAGAGAAAAAGTAAATTAAAAGTGTATGAGAGATGAACCATCAGCAAACGATCAATGTTGCAAAGTAACAATCAGCAGGAAATTTAGTTGATAACAGTATGAAGTTAAACAATCAACTATATAATTAACCTTTAATTAACTAGAAGATGATTATATATATAAAATCAACAATCATTTTCTCAATTTATATTGAGTTTATTGTGTTTACTTGATACATGTAGTTTATTAACTGGTTTCAATAAGAGATTATCATTATTCTGAAAGTCGTAATCAAACTTGAATTTTAATCTGGTCATTTTTTGATTCGGAAAAGATTAAGTGTCATCAATCTGTCAAATATAGTCTAATGACCAGCAAAGCATTAACTAAATGGTCAGTAAACAACATAATAACTTTAAATGTAAAATGATGTCAATCAAATTATTATTTACACAATTGAATTCATTTCTTTTTTCTCTGTCTCGTAACAATAACTCAACATTTAAGATCATGATGACAGGTAACAAGTTTTCAACAATTTATTGATTGACATCAAGTATGAAATTGGATCAAAATTGTTCAAAATTAAACTTATTATATCAATTTGACATTTTGACTATGGAAATGAGTTTGTGTAAATCATATGATTCAAGGTGAATTTACATGACATTTACATGATATTTTTATCAACTTTTTGATTACTCGAAGCTCACTAATCAACACTAAAGACAGAAATAGTATTTTTACAAATTCGCGGAAACAGATCAATGATCACGCAATTTAAGTTCTCAACTTGATTCTAGCTCATCTTGTGATTCATTTTTCTTTTTATCACATTTTCATGTTTTTCCTTGTTTTGAATTAAAATGTGAACATAACTAATACTGAATTCAGGGTGAGGTCAAATGAATTCTCAAACAATATAATAAATCTTTGTTTGATCGGTGAATTACTTGCAGAAGAAGATATTGTAAACTAATTTTTTTCTCTTATTGAAACTTGATCAAAAAGAAAAGAAAAAAAAGTTTTCAAAAGAGTATTTTCCATCTCTCTCTCTCTCTCTCTCTCTCTCTCTCTCTCTCTCTCTCTCTCTCTCTCATCGCGATAACAAGTTTATCAATTGGATAATAAAAAAAATAAGTCGAAAACAGGTCATATTTGATGTTAACAGTTCATTAAAAGACTGTCTGGACTCTTAGAAAACAGGTAATTAGCAGTGATCAACTGAATAGACCTGAAATTGAGTTTACTTACAATATCACCGAGGCCCAACATTGAAAAGTGACCATTGTTGTTCATACTTGGAAAGATGAGTTTACCAGGTAGCGATAGTTTTGGAGGATCACGACTGACCATGCTGGTTAGATGAAGCTTTTTGGCCATTACACCGACTGGATTATCAGCTGGTCGAGTGGCCACTTTGACCATTACATTTGAATTAAAGATGTATGAGGAAAAGAAAACCCAGAAGACATCGTAGATTAAAAGACCAGTAAGTAAAAGGGTTGAAACTTTGAGACTTGGAAGTCTAACAAGCGCAATGAAGGCAACACATAAGCCCATTCCCATTGCTACCATTTCCATCACGTTAAGATAATCAAGTTGATTCAGTCCGTTTGCCAAAATTACAGCAGCGTAACCGTTAATATAAATTGGCAGATTACAGGGTATCATCATTGATGAGACAAACCAGGAACACATTTTGAAAATGAAAGAAAGGGTTAGATTGTTACAACAAAATTCAAAACAATTGTATCATCCTTACCATCCATTAGTAGCCAATGTCCAGTAAGAATCCAAATACAGACGATTGTCACTGATAATGTGAATGAAATTAATTCAGCAACAGTAAATCGTCCACAGAATCCAAAGGAAATTCTGTATGAAAGATTAAATCCATTATTAGTAATCCAATAAACATATACAAATGCTATTAGAATATATTAACTGGAAGAATCCATTTAAATGATATTTACTTTTTCTTGTCTGTACAAGGCCTAACCATGTATTGACACATTGGAAGTAAAAGAAATGCCAAAGCTATGGCTGCAATTACTAAATTGGAAGAGAATTAACAATTAATAATCGTTATTGGGTTAAATTGTGTTGATTGGATTCATGTTGACATATCGGTATTGATCCACTTACTTGCAGTACAAATTGCGAAAAGCATTTGCATTGAATCAAAAAAGAAAAACATAATTAAGAGTGAAATCGAAGCTCCCAAAGGTAAACACAAGGCTTGCATCGTATCGAGAGTTTGAACATCTAAATTAAAAAGGAAAACAAATTATCAATCAACAGGAAATTAATCTCATAATTCATTCAACTCAATCAACTTACTATTTTCTGCAGGTTGACCATTAGAATCTTTTTCTTTTTCTCTGGCTTCTTGTTCCATGTTAAGTGATCTGAATAGAATAGAATATAATTAATAAGAAAATTAAATATTCTAAAAAAAATTGAATTCACATGTAAAGTGATCTTTTAATTACCTGAAACTGCCATAGACAATTAAGAGCATTGAGATGAGGAAAGTGGAAACTCGAGATGAATCCACCAATGAATAGACCCTGGTACATAAAGAAAAAAGAAACAATTTAGATGTAATCATTTTCAACTAATAGAGAATTTGATTCTCATTAATAGTAATCAAAAATTAGTTTCATTCGCTGGATAGAATAGAGCTATTAAAGAAAATCTTATATTCTAAAATGATTATCTGGTTTAACCTTTTTGAATAAAGTGTTTAAGGTTGAGAAATTTAGTTCTACAATGTTTCATCAATCACAGACAATTAGATTGTTGAATAGTATGTGAATTGTAAGCTGACATTAGTCCTGAATTTTCATCTATCACAATTGCATTGAGTTTACAGATGAATGAGATAACCAAAAAAAGATGGAGTCGTTTAGTTGATTTCTTAAAGATTAACAAGATATCCTCATGAAGATACAAGACTGATGTAAATACAAGAGATTTAACCAACTAATCAGCTACAATTTGTTCAGTTCAATCTAATGAAAAAAAAAACAATGAATCTTGAAATATATTAAATGTATTGAATTTCCTCATCAAGGAAATGATCTGTAATAGTTTTCTGTTTAAAGACAATTAAATCACATTCATTGGACACTATGAATATTTAACTGAATTTTAGAGTAAATTAGATGAAAATAATCACCATTGATAGTTGCTTGTTTTGGACATTCTATACACAGAATATGAATTAAGATGAAGATGATGATTGAGGATAATAAAATATTATCAAAGTGAAGATAAAGTGATGATGATGATAAAGATAAATCACAAATGTGGCTCAGGTTAAATTGACCGAATGGCTTAATTAATGGAAGTACGCTGAGTATTTCCAGATTATTGTAGTTGAACATTTAACATTAAATGATGATAATCCATCACATTAATCCACCAATCAACCTCAATTGAATCTGAAACTTAAAATAATAACAACAAATAAATACAAATGTAATCATGTAACAAGAATAAAGGAAAACAAGTAAAGGGAAAAACTCACCATTTTGATATTGACCAAGTCAATGTACCTAAATTTGTCTCTAATAGATGAATCAATGGACACCAATAAGCTAAATTAATCGTAATTAAGTAGACCACCATCAGGTCAGCATTGTTAAATTGTTAACTATTAAATTGGTTAAATCATTTGAATGTCAACAATGAGCAAAAAAGTAAAGGAGAAAAAGGAAAAAGAGAATAGAAAAAGAAATTAGAAAATAAAAAGATCACATTAACACCTTTGTGATTGTTTTAGATGGAGAATTTAATTTACTTGATTAGAATTAGAAATAATTGTTCAAGTTAATTAACAATGAGAAGAACATTAATCAACGTTAACAGTTTAAAATCTGATAATAAAATGGGAAAAAAGAGTAAAGAGGAAAAAAGATGGAAGATGAAAGAGAGAAAAGAAGATCAACTGGGAGAGAGAAAAACAACCAAAAGAAAGAAAACCAGGTTATCTCTTTCTCTCTTTTTCTTCTCTCTCTTCTTCTCTTTTATTCTATTCTCTTTCTGTTTATTTGGTTACTTTTGTTTCTTCTTTGTTTCTTTTCGTAAGATTTTAAGGTGGACTTTTCTGTTTAATTAGAGAAGAGAAGAAGAAAAAAAAAATGATAACTCATATTTGCATCAATATGAACATTTTTTATTCATCGAACTGTTAGATTGATGAATGGATGGATAATAGATTTCAAGAGTTGAGCTGATTCTTCAAGTCTCAACAATCTGATGTAAAGAAAACAATTTAGCACCGAAAGTAATACAAGTAATATAAAAACAGTTCTTATTAGGAATGAGTCGGTTTGTTTGTTGATTGGTTCGCTTTTGTGAGAAGATTGAATTTTCGGTGTAATTGAATGATCTCTTCGTGCTTTTAGCACTGGTTCCAAGGGGGATGTTTGCTGTTCAATTATGTTGGGTGAGAGTGAAGATGATGATGTAGATGATGATTGTCTCTTCCTTAGGCTTACAGAGTTTGAAAGAGATAAAGGATCACAGGTAACGACAATTGATTCGGTTAATTGTGGACTCGTTTCGTTTGTTAAAAATGAACCATTGACAATTTCCAATGTTTTAAAATCGCTTTTGGTTAATTCTGTTAAAGATCGGGTTAAATCGCCAATGTAATCGTTTAATCCTTGCATTGATGATTCTTCTATCAAGGTTTTCATTCCCCAGGCACTTTTCTTGAAAACCACTTTTCCATATACTTGAAGATTGCACTCGTTTTCGGTTTCACCTCGACTCAGATAATAAACTGTATCAACACGAAAGCTACTTGACAATGGGAATCCCATATTAGAGGCTTCGGATTTTATCACATATTCTTGACCAGGAATTGAGGTGGAAAATAGATATTGAATCTCTGTGGTGGTAACAGTCTTTGCCATTGATTGATTAACGTCCATACTGTAAGCAAGGTTACGATATTGTTTAAATTCTTTCAATTCATCTGATTGTTTACATGGATCAATTTCCGTCCATTCACCAATAGAAACATTATAAGTGTGACGTCTCGCTAAAAGAGATTGAAAAAAAGGACTATCAACAAAGACCAAATTAAAAACATCGTCAACGTTTAAAGGAAAATTTTTATCGACAATTTGTATTCCTCCAGGAGCCATGATGGTGGACACCAAACAATCAACAATTGCAAACAATGAGAATAGAAAAAAAAACCAAATTAATCCAAAATTATCTTTAATTTCAAAGCCAGAAAATTATCTTTGCAAAGATAATCTGGCAATAAATCGATTTATCGAATAATCGATTTGATTTTTTTCGATTTTCAGTCGATTGTTTTTTCTTTTCTCTTTGTTTATTTATCGGTGTTTTCTTTTATTCTTGACTCGGTGAAAATATTTGCGGTGCTTTTTATCAACAATTTGGTGAGTAAATGTTCAATTTATTAGTAAAATTTTCTAATGTTTTCCTCTAAATTTCATCTGTAGTTGTATAGGTTTTAAATGGATTCACAGTATTACCGGAATGGTCGATCAAATCTGTTGATAGATAAAAAGTGGCGTCGATCTGTTAAGAAATTACCATTCGAGGAAATAACTGTTCCTCTTAGAGAATTGCCTGATAGTGAATCTGACAATGAGAATTGTTTCAAGACCATAAAAGATCAAGAGAACAAATGGACTGACTTGGCCTTGAACCGAATTAACGACAATCAACAAAGTAGCTGTTTCCCTATAAACCGATTTTAATATCAAGTTAATATCTCAATTGAAATTCCAATTGCAATTGCAACATCATTTTGTTATATTTAGTAATTTGACAGATTCAATATGTCATCTTCATCGAAAAGTAAAGTGAAACGAATCAGACGGAGAAGATTATCATCAAAAAAGAATCGACATGAACGTAAATTAAAGTTGAAACTAAAGAATCAAGAATTGAGATTACAAAAAGAGATGGAAATTGATCAATGGCTACAATGGAATCAAGCTGAGGAAGAAAAGTATCAAGAGGAGAGTGAATTTCACCAGGAGATTGTGTTGGCTCAAAAAGTTTTGCTCAATCAAATTAAATCAATTAAATCCAATCTGGATAAATTAAAACTTCTTCAAAAAATCAGGTCAATTTACTGTGTAAACAAATCACCGTCCACCGATTCAGATAATCAACAATTTCAAGAAACTATTACAAATCTACGACTTAAGTTACTTGAAATTTTGAATATTAAGAAAAATTCACTAATCAACTTGAACAATTTACATAATGACAAGTCTACAAATAGTCGATTGCAACAATTAACAATCCAAGAGTTAAATTCAACCGATACAAACGAAGCTTTATTTGGTTCTCCTTCCAATGGACCTGATTGTTATTCTAACAAATTAATTAATCAAAGGAACATCAAATCAACTGATAAATCACTTTCACAAATCAGATCACTTTGGGATTCATATATCGATAATAATAATGGTCACCAATTCCTTCAAAATGGTTCTATCAAAATGAACCAAACAAAGAATGGAGTCAATTCGTTCTGGATCATCATCATCATCATCATTCTAATTAATAAATAAACTCTAGAATGGATCATTAACCAGAGAAAATGATATTAATCTGTTGATAAATAAATTTTCATATTTCAATTGTGACAACGGTTTCTTGATGTTAATCATTGAGAAGAAGAATCCGTAAAAATGTTGTAAACAACCAAATGAAATTGAATCGAAAATTTAAACAAAATTTACATTAATTGTGAAACAAACACTATTTGAATGAATACATTGAATGTGGGGATCAACAAATATAATTAGATTACTCGTGTCATCATTTTCCATTTGATTACAATGTTAATTTTCATTGGCATTTGGAAAGTTTACTGAGTCATGATTAGTTTTTTTTTCTTCTTCTTTTGTGTCTGATTTTTTTTTCTTCTTTAAATGCATAGTAGAGAAAGAGGAACAATGATGAAAATTGAGAGAGAGAGAAAGAGAATCACCTACAGGAGAGTGTGTGTGTGTGTGTAGATTTTGATAGAAAATAATTAATTTCAATTAGAAACATTTTGGTTATTCGATCCATACAAGTATGTTAACACTTCTTGAGTAGCATGAGTCCTTAAAATGCCATTTTCAAATTCTAATTGTGTAATTTTTGACGTTAATTCATTGATTCTCTCCTTGAGGACAACAACTTCCTCTCTGACAGCGGACATCAAATGATCAAAAGTCTTTTCATCCACCGTAATACCTTCAGTGTTTTGATTAATCACTGGAATCGTATTAGAATCAATATTTGTTAAACCAACTCCACTCACTCCAATACAAACAGGTTGGTTATTTGTTGCTTGTCCAATCATCTCACTGTTAATTTGATTATCTTCATTACTTGAATCGGCACAATTAATTCCACTACTAATTGTTACACATGTAGTAGCAGTTGTTAGACAAGAACCTGTAATCCCACTGGTACCTGGAGCTAATGGTGTTCCTGTGACAACAGTTTGTCCAATGGTTCCGGTGCTTTGAATGGTGTTTACTGAAGTTCCCACGGTGGTTGTGGTGCTATTAGAGGTATTACCAGACATTATTGAACTCGAAATATTGGATGGAGGATCATTAAAGTCCATACATGACCATCTACCGCGTTTCATTGGTTCTTTGGAAGCGATTTTTACAACTTTGAATCGATGTTGCCATTCCTCAACTGTTATCGGTGGTGTTTCTGGTGGTGCCGAGACCACAGGATTCACCAGAGTCCTTAAGGTATCGGTTGTTACTGATTCCATTTCCCTTTTGGTAATAAACTAACTTTCACCTTTAACTTTCAGCACACATAATGATCACAATGATGATTAATTAATTCGGAATCAAAATAAATTGCTCACATAAATAAAAGAAATCACATCAACTTGACAACCATTTCTCGCTTTTTATCAGCTGATGACAAGCGGGTGGAGCAAATCAAGTAAAAGATCAACATGAAGGAGGCGCCACTGATTTTCTAAGAGAAAATTTAAATTGTTGGTTAATTGTAATTGAGAAAATTCAATCAATTATTGTTCTTTGCTAATTAAAAGCTAAATGTATTCGAAAAAGGAGAGAGAGAGAAGGATAATCTTTGACTCGGATTCTTTAATCCAATAGAATCAGATAGCCAATTGGAAAAACGAATTTTTTTCTAATTGAATTTTCTTTTGGTGAATTAATGTTAATCTAATTGGTCATGGGTTCGAAATGAATGAAATTTACAATTTATTCCCTATTAATGACTAACATTTGACTTTAATTAAAAAAAAGAACAAAAGATTTAATAAGAGTTGAACATTTTCGCTCAATTTGAAGCTAAAAGTGGTTTTGGTTTATATGAAAAAAAGGATTTCTCACTCTTTTTAATGGTAGATTAAAAAAGATTCAACTTGAGAGTTTTTAACAAAAAGAGATTTTTTAGAAAATAGTAATTTTTTTAATTAACAAATTCAAAATTTGATTCAATTGTTGGAGGCAATGGAGGCCCAGATGCTGGTGCTACTTCGCCTGGCTGTAGACCATCGGGGCCACCGATTGATACAGGAACGTATTGAAAGGCAGCAGGTAGAGAATAATACTGAGGTATTAGTCCATTGGGTGTGGAATAACAAGGTTGAGCAGGAGGACATAATTGACACTCAGGTTCACAGCAAACATATGGAGCATATTGGAAGGGAGTTGCGGCGACAGAAATGAAATTATAACCACCAAAAGTATCGACAGGTACACCTAATCCTGGACCAGTTGGCATAGGAGCAGTATAATATCCACTGGGAGGATATTGTATTAAACTACGATTAACAATTCCACCTCGATTAGTATTGTTGAAGCCTCGGCCTTTTCCTCCGCCTCGACCACCACGGTTGCTCCAATTACCGCGCGAATTGTATCGGTTAGAATTTGAGTAAGAGATGTATGGTTTAACCATGGCAGTTTGATCACAGTCATTGACTAAAGGAAATGTGAAAGAAAAGGAAAGATGGAGAAAAGAGGAAAGAGAAAAACAGGTTAACTCAAGAACGAATGTGAAGGTTAACGAGGTGAACACATCGATATGGTAAAAGATGAGAAAGGGAAATTTCTATGAACAACGTGGTTCAAATTTTAAAAGATAATTACCTGGATTTAATTTTTTTTCTCCTTCCACTGTTTGGTAGTTTTCTTTTAGAGTTACTCCAGTAACTTCTGCTTTAACCGGTCCTTGGACATTTGGACTGATTGGAACATTCCGCTTATCTGGACCAGAGGTCAATCGAATCCCTGGGTTTTGACTAATGTTCGCACCTTCAGTTGGACCCGTATTACTATTATTTGGGTTATGAGGAGTAGAGTTATGGCTGTTGGCATCTCTTCCGTGTTGACGACCTTTGAAGATATATTGATTCCATTCTTGACAATATTGATTCCAATTAGAGTCTGAATGACCTTTACTTTTTACACTTGGGCCTGACACCGATGGAGTCGGTGATTGGTTGACGCCACTGTTGCTGCTTGTATTGCTACTAATGCTACTATTGCCACTACTGTTACTTCCAGAAGGATTATTATTACTTGTATTGGTATTTAGCTTGGGATTTCCAGAAAATCTCGAATTGTTATTTCCACAGCCTCCATTATTGCCAATCGATCTATTCTTCCCGTTTCCTGATTGATGATGATTGTGATTGGTACCAGAACCATTTCCTTGACGATTGATTCCTAAATTCCTTTGATGCCCAGTGTACATTATAACAAATTTAACTTTTTCTTTCAAATCAAAACAATTAAGACTTTTTTCTTATCACAAAAAAAAGACAATCCAATGCATTAAAAGGTCCGTTAGAAATGGTTTATGATGATGATGAAGAGATGAGAAAACATGAGAAAAAGAAACAGCGAAAGACAAAAAAGAAAGCGCGAGTCAGAGGAAGACACAAAATAGACAGAGAAACCCGAGTATTGGAGGACAAGTGAAAGGAGAGAGACAGAGATTAAGAAAGAGTCAAGGGGAAACCAATGAACGCAAATGAAAATTAATGTTCTAAATCCTAGAAGGGAAAGTGAATTCCCCTGGAAATGCGTCGAAAACCAATTTCGCTTCACCTTCATGCTAATTTTTGTTCTTTTCGCGCATTTTTTCCCCTTTTTATTTTCACTCTAATTTGCAGTGAGAATAAGTGAGAATAGAAACAATTAGATTAACATTTTTTTCTATTCTTTTTTCCCTACTAATTATTTTTATATTTTCCCCTTTTTTTCATTAGTTAATTTCTATTAATTGTTTGGTTAAATTAGCAAATTAATGAAGAGTTTAAGTTAATTAAAATAATTCATTTATTTCTTTTTGTTAATTCTGTTTGGCTTTTATCACAATTCTGCTTTGTAATTTGTGAATTAGTGTTTGAATCAACCAAAGGATTGACCTGATCCTCCACCAAATCCTTGTCCTTGTTGAACATTAATTCCTGGTCCATTGATACTAAGATAGAAAGATATTCAATTTGGTAATTAATTTTGTATGTTGATTGGTAGATTGAAAGGAGAAAGAAATGTTTCTTTTAATTGGTTCAACTTACGAATATCCTGACCCAGCACCGAATCCAGAACCAGCTCCATTGGGACTAAAGCCGAATCCTCCTCCCATTCCTTGACCGAAAGATACTCTGTAAGGTCCAGCGTTGAATGAACCTCCTCCACCTCCACCGAAACCTGATCCTCCTGATGGATAACCTGGAAGAGGAGCGATTGGGTTTACTGGACCCACAGGAACTAATTGAGCAACTGGACCATGATAAGTTGGATAACAATTGACGGTGTTGACAATTAAGAGAATGGTAATTGCAATTGAGGAAACACAATTCATTTTAAAATTGTTTACTTAATTCACTCAAACTATGATAAAAGTAATGATGAGAATAAACAAGATGAGAAGCTTTTTATACAAGATGAGAGTGGAAAAGAAGAAGAAGAGTAGCTAAGTGGAAGGGTTAAAATCTAGTTGAGTTATTGATCTCAGATTAGCCTGAAGGGTTCAAGTCAATTTCAATTTAATTACCTGAAGAATTGATGGTCAAATATTGGAGTCATTAAACTTGATTCATTCTCTTCATCAAGCTCATCGAACTTTCCAGGTAACATTCATCTTGCAAAACTTTTCTACTAAATTATTGCACATGCAATCTGATGGTTAAGGTCAAGTTCATCTGATCATCTGAATTTCAATAAATCAAATAATGAGCATCAATTTCAATACTTAGAGAAAATGTTGAAAAAAGCATGTATTTAATTAACTTTCAAGGATTGGAAAAAAACTGAATGCAAATTTGAACAATTAAGAGATTTTTGAGGATTTTTAATTTTTGCTTTCGATTATTTCATTTTAAAGATTTCCTACGTTAAAATTACATGCCACCAATATTAATTAAGATAAATTGTTATAATTATAATAATTGTGATGATGATGATATTGATGTTGTTTGTTGATACTGATGATGATCTCTCGAAAGCAAATTGGTGCGTTGATGATCGAAGAAGGATGGAAGTAGAGAAGAGAAAAATGAAACGTTTAAATGAAAAGCGCTCGAATGAGCTATAATTTCCGAGATTAGCTCAGCTATTCCTTTTCAAATTGATTCAGTTCCAATTGTAATGAGCTCCAGAGAGTTGGGATTGCGTGTATGTGCCTGCAGCTCCTGTGGGTAAGTAAGATGAGCTACTAACAGGTAATCCACCTTGATGAGCTTGGTTATAATTAGCTGCCATAACACCAGCAGCACTATTTGGATGTACAAAGTTAAATGAGTGCTGTCCATATCCCATGGAGGCTAATGCATGGTTGGTAAGGGCTGAATTTAAGTTCATTGAAGACATGCTTGAATTGTTGAGGTTTTGTTCCTGTTGATCGGGTTGATCTTGTTGCTGTTGTTGATGTTGTTGATGATTTGCAGGACTTGGCGATGAAGATGCTGGAGATGGTGTTTCCTGTTGCCTGATGACCATATTCTGAGCTTGTTGTTGTTGATCCTGAGATTGTGATTGATTCGAATGATCTTGATTATTGTCATTAGTAGTCGATGCAGAGTCTTCTCCTCCTTCAGATCCTTCTGTAGAAAGCCTCTCTTGCTTAACTTGTGGCCCACTAGTTAGAGATTCTGCGCTCTACATATTGGGAGAATAGGAAAGGAAGCGTAAGGGAGTATGAAAGAAAGAAAACAGTGGAACGCAAGAGACCCATGATCAAGGAAAGAAGACAGATAAGTAGAGAAAGATAGAAAGAGAGAAAGAGAGAGGAGAAAGAAAAAGATAAATGCATAGATAGAGGAGATAGATGGTTAGCAAAAAAGAAGATGAGAAAATCCAGAGGAGATGTATACGAGATAGCAAGATAGATAGGGAGATAATCAAATTGATAGAGAAAGAGTGATGAGAGGGATAAGAATAAGAGAACGAGAAAGAGTAAGAAAGGAGAAAAAGAAAGAGAAAAGAGAACATGAGACATGAATAAAGGGAATTTGTATTTGATATACAAGGTATGCACGTAATGATTTGGGGGGTGAAGCAAAAAAAATGAAAACATGAAAATGAAAGTAAGAGAGAAAAAGAATAGCAAAAAAAAGAAAATAAATGATTGAAAATAGAAAATGAGTGAATAATAATGTATGATAATGAATGGGAAGTTGAACAGTTCGAGAAAGCGAATTTAAAACTGAGCTGAAAGATAATCATTAAACCTCTCCTCCCGGAATCACTGCTGCCTAAAGTTGACACGAATTTTAAATCGATAGCGAAAAGAGATCAGAGAGTTTGAAATTAATCAAGTTAAAATTGAAAATAATTTGAAAAGTAAGAACGGGTCAAGAGAGGAGGAAAAGTGATCAAGGAGGAGAGGCAATGAGAAATTGAGAATGAGGAGGTGATAAAAATGACAAGATAAAAGAGAAAAAGGGAAGGGAAGAAAGAGAAGATAAGGAGATAATTGAAAGTCGACGATATTGTAAGAAAATAGAGGAGGTGAAGAAACGAATGAAATTTGCGTGTGGAAAAGGTAAAGATAAAGGTGAGGAGGAAACGAGAACGGGAGAGAAGGATTGAGAAACTGATAGGGGCAAAAGAGATGAAATTGATTTCGATATATACCTTTCTACGATAGTCTTCCATATTGGCTTCATAACGAATTTTCTCTTCATTTTGTTTTTCAACGTATGGCCTTTTATCTTCATCAGTCATACCCCTCCACCTTTCACCACCCAATTTGGCCAAAGCAGCTACACCACCTTCAGGCTCTTTACCGGCCATTTCTTTACGAAAATCTCCCATGAATAACATAAATGCTGTGCCAGGTCGTTTCGGTTTATTTGCATCACGCGCAGGCTTATATACAGCCATTTCTTTTTTGTATCTTTCTCTGTCTTTGGCAGCTACTGCGAGAAAAGGTTGTTTCTCTTCTTCGCACATTTGGTTCCATTTTGCGGCACACTCTTTGCCAAAGTCACCAATCTAAAATAAAAACGTACAATGTTAATTTTCACAATAAATAAAAACAACACACATACAACATTCAAACTCGATTCAAAACTATTCGCAAGAAAATACAAATCGTTTTGGCGGGATCAATCTAATCTTCACAAATTAAACATAAAAAGCTTGTGATTTAAAAGCTTATCACAAATAAACGTGTTTGCTCATGATCCAAAGATATTCTGTTCTTTTGAAAACAAGTCTGTCGACAATGAAGATTAATTGCATTAGAGACATTTCATTTCGTAACTAAACCTTTCAAATAAAGGCCAAATTAAATAAATAAATTAATAAATAAATTATATCAACTTAAACCTGAAATCATTCTAATCATTCTCATCACCATCAAATAGATTAAATATCAAATCATATCATATCAAATCAAATACAATCCAATCAAGTAAACAAAGTCAAGAGAAATTGCATGAAATTCTCATTTACTACAATGAAAATCTTTTTTCTCTCACTCTCACTCTCTCTTTCCTTTTTTTTTAATCGAAACGCACCTTAGGAATAGGCCGACCTGATTTCTTTAACTCTTCTCTGTACCATTGAGTGAAATTTATGTATGCAGTTGTGGCTCTTTTAGGCGCAGGTACTCCATCCTTGTTAACTTTAGGCTTTTTCTTATTTGATTTACCGTGATGATGAACCATTAAACCTTGATTTTGTTGATGATGTTGGCCTCCACTACCACTGGCATTCACAGCTTGAACATTCTGATACATCACTATTGGAAGTAAGAGAAATAAAATGCAAATTAATTCAATAATTAGATTTGATAAATTTCCGTAATGTCAGATACAAAAATTGTTCGCTCATCTCTTAAACACCCATTCAATGTGGTAACGGTAAAATTAAGAATAATCAATGATCCGAGAAAGAAAATAAATTTTGCCAGAAAGCAACGAAAAGTAAGATTCTAGCCAATCAGGGGTAGCATTCAAGAAGGGGGAAGAAATGAATGTAGAAAAGGCAAAATAAGAGAGGGGAGGAAAAAAGAGAGCGAGATGGGTGAGTAGATAGGAAAGAGGAAAGGGGGAAGAGTATGTGCGTGAGAGAGATTGTAAAGTGCCAGCAAGTAAAAAATGCTTACCGTGATGACCTGAAGTCGTAACTTGGCCTAAATGATGTTGACCTGGATTATTGCTCAAGCCACCGGACATAACCTCTACCATTGACCAGGCATCACTCCCGGGAACAACTAAATGATTAGGGTTTCTTGCCATATGACCAATTTTATTTAAATTCCAGTGACCAGCTAGAAACGAATCATCAACACCCCGTTGGTGTTGGTTCTTGTCCTAGAGTATAAAAAAAAAGGAAAGATGAAAGGAAAGAAAAAAAGTAAGAAAAAAAAAGAAAGATAGAGGGAAAAAGAAAGGTAGAGGGAAAATGGAAGAAAAGAGGGTAAACCAGGAGAAAGAGAAAAAAGAAAGAGAATAAGAGAGGGATAAAATGAGAGAGAAAATGGAAAGAGAAAGAGAAAGAGAAAGAGAGAGAGAGAGAAATAAAGAAAAGTCTTTGTCTATCTTTCTCTCTCTTTCTCTAGAAAATTAATAAATAAACTTACCACTAAGGAACCGGAACTCATTATATGGTCACTTTGATTATATTAATGGTTGTGAATTAAACGAAATCAATTAAATATCCAAATTTTAAATCAATAATTAATTTAAACAAAATCACTCAGTTGGTTTTTAATACAAAAAAGAATTTGTGAAGAAAGAGAATAGCTTTAAGAGAGACAGAGAGTGAGACAGAGAGAAAGAGAGAAAAAGAGAAAAAAAGAAAGAGAACTTCGAACAGCGACATCTGTCGTTCTATTAAAGATCTTATAGGGAATCACGACTAAAGAACAACCCACCAGATGGCAGAACTAAATTCTCTTTCTTTTTTCGAGTTTAGTAGTTGAGTCAGCAGATTTGATTCTCTTTCTCATTGTCTTTCTTTTTGCTTCTTTCCATTTTCTCTCTCTCGCTCTGTGTCTCATTCTCTGTCTGTCTTGTTGCTATTCCCTTTCTTTACAAAACCATTTTTTGTATTAAAACAAAACAACTGAGTGATTTTTATTAATTTAATTATTGATTTAAATTTGGACGATTAATTGATTACGATTCTTTTACAACTATTGATATAATTGAAGTGATTATAAGATGAGTTCCGGTTCCTTAGTGGTAAGTTGGTTTTTTTTTCTTATTCTAGAGGAAGCAAGAGGAAGGGAGAAAATGTGTGTGTCCGTGTGTGAGAGGAAAAGGCAAACATTTTCTTATTTATCTCTGTTGGTTTATTTCTCTTGCTTGTTCGAATTTTGTTTCTAACTCTTTTTATTTGTTTAAAATTGTATCAGAATGTTCAAGCTGTGAATGCCAGTGGTAGTGGAGGCCAACATCATCAACAAAATCAAGGTTTAATGGTTCATCATCACGGTAAATCAAATAAGAAAAAGCCTAAAGTTAACAAGGATGGAGTACCTGCGCCTAAAAGAGCCACAACTGCATACATAAATTTCACTCAATGGTACAGAGAAGAGTTAAAGAAATCAGGTCGGCCTATTCCTAAGGTGCGTTTCGATTAAAAAAAACAGGGAAAGAGAGAGTGAGAGTGAGAGAAAAAAGATTTTCATTGTAGTAAATGAGAATTTCATTCAATTTCTCTTGACTTTGTTTACTTGATTGGATTTATTTGGATTGTATTTGATTTGATATGATATGATTTGATATTTAATCTATTTGATGGTGATGAAAATGATTAGAATGATTTCAGGTTTAAGTTGATATAATTTATTTATTAATTTATTTATTTAATTTGGCCTTTATTTGAAAGGTTTAGTTACGAAATGAAATGTCTCTAATGCAATTAATCTTCATTGTCGACAGACTTGTTTTCAAAAGAACAGAATATCTTTGGATCATGAGCAAACACGTTTATTTGTGATAAGCTTTTAAATCACAAGCTTTTTATGTTTAATTTGTGAAGATTAGATTGATCCCGCCAAAACGATTTGTATTTTCTTGCGAATAGTTTTGAATCGAGTTTGAATGTTGTATGTGTGTTGTTTTTATTTATTGTGAAAATTAACATTGTACGTTTTTATTTTAGATTGGTGACTTTGGCAAAGAGTGTGCCGCAAAATGGAACCAAATGTGCGAAGAAGAGAAACAACCTTTTCTCGCAGTAGCTGCCAAAGACAAAGAACGATACAAAAAGGACAATCCGTATTATAAGAATAACGAAGCCGTGATTCATTTCTACAGTGGAAACAAGAACACAGCAGTTCATTTGCTCAGTAAACAAATTAACTTCTCACCGACGGAAACTATTTACAATTATGGTTTAATGAATTTGTTCACTGGAAACCAAGCAAATGCCTTCGCATCATTTAGAAAGTGTTCAATTCACTTTAAAAAGAATCCAAGAATCTGGTTAAGATTAGCTGAATGTAAACTCGAAGAAATGAGGAAAAACAGGATCGATGATTTTGATATTCTCAGAAGAAAACAAGATATAATCTGGGGCTATGTAGGTGAAGGAGTACACCGAAAATTAATTTTTCGTGGACACATTGACAAAATAGTTGATGAAGAAAAATTACTCTTAATCCGGAAATGCCTTCTCAACAGCCTTACTCTAATTAAAAGCGAAAATGAAAGAGATTTCTATCCATCCAATTATCCATCTGAAGTTGAGTTGAAAAACTTGACCATTTCTGTAATGCTTGACTTAGCATATGTACATTTATGTCTACACGATTATCCTCATGCTCACACATACGCCATGGAAGCCTTGGAACTGTCTCCCGATAGTACTCAAAAATGTTTAGCTCATCTTTACGCTGGCGAAGCTTCTGTTTGGATGGACAACATTAAAGAAGCAATAGATCATTTTTCTCCCTCATCCTGCCCATCAGATGAAAGAGCCAGTGTTTATAAAGTTGTATTATGTTATAATCTCTCTGTGGCATATACATTAAGAGGAGAATTCAGTAAAGCAGCCGAAACACTTCAGCAATTAAGTGATATTCAATCTAAGTCTAATCAACAAATGTTACCTATTCAAGTTATTGTTTTAGCCATTTATATCAAATTGGCCTTAGGATGTGTTGACTCTGCCAAATCAATAATTAAACAACATTTTCCTCAGTATCGATGAAGGTTCGGTTGTACAAATGTGAATCACCTTTTACTTTTTTTTTCCTGTTAACTATGTAATGATTGTGTATTTTTATCGTTAAATTTATTGAAAAATTCAAATCAAACTTGTTAATTTAAAAGCAAAATTCAAAACTTGGAAATGCATTTTTTTTTTGCTTATTATTAATTAACACAAATATATTATTTGAATGCACTTAAATGTGTCATTTAAACAACTTGAAAACAATTTTCGCAATTAACTCAACTTTAATTATTCAATTGTCTCATTTGTACTTTGATTGTTGATGTTTCTCTCCTATTCCCAACAGGAACTACTCATTTATTATCATTTGACTCGAAATCAGATTAACATCTTCAATTAATCTGCTCTTGTTATTTTTGCTTAACTCTTTTCACTAATCTCACTTAATCCAAACTTGTGCTTATTAAGGATAATTAAATGGATCGAGAATATCATCAGATACAATCAAGGTTATGGAATCCGATTAATGGAAAACTATTAATGGATATTAAGGTTCACCGTTAATTTAATTGTGGAAAATTGAATTTATTTTCATTTGCTTGTTTATTAATCAGTTAATCAATTAATTACTAAAAAAAACTTTCTAATGACTAGAGTAATAATCAATCGGAATCTTAATTAAGTAGGTGTACCTTTTTAATTAACATACTTGAACAATCTGATTAATATGTTTATTATTATTTTGTTTATCTAGTGATTAATAAATTACAAGATATTGTTATTGATTATCTAGTTAAATTAAATGACAGAAAAAAGAGTTAAATGAATTGAAGTAAACAATTAACCAACAATCAGCTTAATTCGTGTAAGTGTTGGGAAGGGAAAAAATTGTAATGGAAATTAACTGAATCAATAATAATCTATAATTTTGATTAACGCAATTAAAAGCGTAAAGATGATTTATAATTGATAAATTGTTACCAGATAAAAGATGATTAGTTTAATCAATTGCCACGAAGTAAAATAATCAACTCCCATTACCAACAATTAGAGATTTTTACCAGAAAAGATTAAATCAACTAATAGATGGAGTAACTTTCGACTCTTTCTTTTCTCAATTGGATTGGAAGCAAAAATAGCTCAGATTAATTAATTGTCTAAATCAAATTGATGTTGTGTTAATAGAAAATTGAGTTTGAAAATTTTGTGCCCAATCAATTAAAATTTGGATTAATTTACAGCCGATAATCAAATCATAGCAAACATGAGTGTTGACCCAACAATCGTAAGTCTTAATAACCCAATTGACTTGATTCTAATCTAATTAACAATTTAATCCTTTATCTCTGTTGTCTAATCAATCACAGTCAAAATTAGATGATCTCGAGATCCTCGAGAAAATTGGTAAAGGCCAATTTTCCGTTGTGATGAAAGGACGATGTAAGAAAAGCGATCAACAAGTGGCCCTGAAAAAAGTGTCAATTTTTGAGATGATGGACTCAAAATCGCGTCTCGATTGTATCAAAGAGATCAATTTATTGCAACTTCTCAACCACCCGAACATAATCAAATATTTAGCTTCATTCGTCGAGAACAATGAGCTTTACATCGTCCTGGAATTAGCGGATGCCGGTGATCTTTCCCGATTGATTAAGTACTTCAAACAACAAGGTAAATATATTCCAGAGAAAACGATTTGGAATTATTTTGTTCAAATTTGCGGAGCACTGGACCATATGCACTCGAAGCGGGTGATGCACCGAGACATTAAGCCCGCTAACGTTTTCATCACTTCCCAAGGAGTAATCAAACTGGGCGATTTAGGATTAAGCCGATTCTTTTCAACTCGAACCAATGATGTCCACTCACTCGTTGGAACACCATATTATATGTCACCCGAAAGAATCCACGAGTCGGGTTACAATTTTAAATCGGACATTTGGTCACTCGGTTGTTTACTTTACGAAATGGCTGCGCTTCAATCTCCCTTTTATGGTGAGAAACGTAATCTTGTCTCTCTCTGTAAAAAGATTGAGAATTGTGATTATCCACCATTACCCAGTAATCTTTACTCAAAAGATTTAAGAAGTTTAATCGCTGCTTGTCTTAATCCCGATCCCGCTAAAAGGCCAGATATCGATGAGATTTACAAGATCGCCCGAAACAAGACAACACTATCAAGTAAACCATTCAAACGACTTTGTAATCTTTTCTCAAAGTGATTCCAATTGTTACAATCAACTTTTTTTTTGCTCGTTTCTTTAGGATCATCTTTAATTCATCTCATATTTTTAATCGTTTACAATCAAAATTCATTATAAATATTGTCTATTATTATTATTACAACTAGTCAAATGTTTACAATTGTCTCAATTAATTTCAATCAAATAAGATTAGGAGAGGATACAACTTGTTGTTATGTTGAAAATTTAACAACTTGTTAAGGATTATCAATTTTTATCCTATTTATGATTAGGATGAGATGACATCAGGCTGATTACGTTGATTAAATGCATTAATTGAACTCACAATGAGCACAATTTAATTAATCATGAGAGAGAGAGAGAGAAGGGAAAGCAATAGTAATCAGTAAATAATGATGAAGACCTCCAGTCAACTATTAATTTGCTATTGTGATTAACGTTACTTGATAAACTTTGATGAGATTTACTGATGAGAGAAAGTTTCAATATCTAAGGTCAATCACATTCAATTAGTTGAAACAATTGTAATTGTGATACTTTAATCGTTGTTTGAATTAAGATCAAATCTGAGTATCTACTTGAAAAGACACACAATCAATTATTAGAAGCGAAATCCTTTTCTATTAAAATTAACGAGTGATAAATTGTCCAATTGTATTAATCAAGTACAATTGGTTTGGTTTGTACCAAATTATAATTAAATATGATTACATGTTGATTACTATTGATAAATGAACACAATCAATCATTTCAATCAATATCTTGTAGACGTTTTCATCGTAATCAATTAATTCAATTATCAAATTGATTACAATAATCAATCTCTCTTGTTCTTAGTCCATCATCAATATATTTATAATGAACAAATGTATTAATTAGTCACAATTAACTAATCACTAAATGTCAACCAGCATTTAAGTTAATCGCTAATTTCTTTAGGCTTGTAACTGATTAACTTTCCATTTGTTTTCTTAGTCGTTTTAAATTTAATTAGTTGTAATTCAATCATAATTATTGACGATTGGTACACAACTAGACCTTGATTACTGGTAATTAAATACGAAACCCATACACTAATTAAATTGGTAATTTACACGAGTGATTAATTAATGAATGTAATTATGTTGAAAATTATAAACCAAATTGAAAATTTATTTTGGTCTTGTAAAGTTCAATTGAAATTGTAAACAATTAGATCAACTCGTTGACAGTTAATATGATACTTGATTTACCATGAAATTGTTGACAATTAACTCATATATATTATTATGATTGAGATTTAAGCTTCTATCCATTTGAATCAAGGTTAAATTTTAATTATAGTAATCGACTGATTTACCAACGATCATTGATTATGTAATGTTGATTTCAAGGTTTCTCAAGAAAATCAATGAGAAAATCAATCTATTATAATCTAATTAAGACCTAATGAATTAATTACCAACTCTATTGTTATCATAAACATGAATTGATATAATCATCAACATCTTAAAGTTAATTATTGTTGTTCAACTGAAAGGGAATCAAATCTAATTATTTGACATAAACATTTGAACGAGTTAATCTAATCCTTTACCATTTACATTTACAATAACACAATTTAGTCTCAAGTGTTTGTTGTGAATTAATTGTAACCAATCATATTTATAGTAATTAGGATAATAAAATTAATCGATTGCATTAATTGTGAATCTTTCAACTCAATTTTCATCAATCAATTTTCACAAGAGGTCAATGTATTTCTCCTAATGATCAACTCGTAAACATTAATTATCTGTTATTCAATTCACTTTTATTTACTGAATTTCCAACGATTATTATTATTATTATTTTCCAATGAGGAAAAATTTACCATATTAAATGTACGTAGTTCTAGAATACAAATTATATATAAGATGTCACATTGTATCCAAGAGTGAGAGAGAAAAGGTCTTGAGCTATTATTACCTGAGTATTATTGACAATCAAACACTTCCTGGTTTGAGTATTAATATAAATCGATTTGAATAGTTTCAATTGATAATCTATTCACGTCAGAGGATTTAAAGGAATCATATTAGATTGAAATTGTTTACAGCAATTTAACAAGATGATTACTAGAAATTACGTCTTTCCAATTACCGAATCATCAACAACAACAACTTGACCTAACAATAGTTAGTTAAATTTCCGATGGTAACACCAATCATCATCATGGGAATCAAAGGTAATTACACTTAATTTTACTGACGATAAACAATCATGATTTAATGTTAACCATCAATTATTGACAATTAATGACGATTATAAACAATTTAACTTTCCTCAAGGTTAATAATCAAATTTATCCAAACTTTTGCATATGAAAACTTTTTACTTACTTAATAACTTTGATTGATAATCTTGTCTTTAAAATTGGATTAAGTTTACAATTTAATTCATACAATAATCATCATCAGTTAATTGATTTAATCTTGAAGCCATTTAAAATAATCAGGAATCAATGAAAAGACAAACAATTTATTTTTGAAACTAAATTGTTGTTGGTTTACCGTTTAATAGTAATAATAATAAATATATCGATTTTAATTGTTGAATAAAAAAGTAAAAACAAAAAATTGTTCCATTAAAATTGATTGTAAGTTAATCAAATAATTGGTTTGAAAGAAAAACGGTTAATTGTTTGGTGAATTAACTCAATTGATTTAAATGTATGTGAATGAGAAAACTAATTTCAAATTCCGCTCTAATTGTCTACAATTAAAAAGTCAATAGAGAGAAGAAAATTATTTGAAACAATTTACTTTCACTTGTTTTTTTTTCTCATTCTCCTCAAACAGAATCAAATTAAATTAACCATATTTGATTACAATTAGCGTGTAACATTACCTGAAATAGTTAACTCTCAATGGGTAATTGTCAATCGATTCAATATTGATTAACAGTCACACACACACAATCAACATTTCAGTTCCTAAGCAACGTCTCAATCCCAAGTCTCTTAATACATTAACCATAATTTAAATTGTTGTTTATTGGTTAACTGTTACTTTCTAAATGGTGACTTAGTTATATCGTCACATTTAACCCAACCCTCGATATCGCCTCTTAAAAATTTATCAGGTAAGTGCGTCAAATATAATAACCTGTAAGGTAACTAATGTTTTCCTCATCTCTTAATATATTAATATCTCATCGTGATCAATTTTTTGAAACATTTCTAATTCAACTGATGATCAGTAATTTACTTGAGTAAAACCTTGAGTTGTTTTCTTTGCTTGAAAATCAGTGAAAAACTTTTTCTTGCAAGAAAAAGTTGCAAGTCCATTTATCATCAACTTTCACCAAACAACAGGTTATATTCACATCGTAATCTCATCTGGTGATCCAGGTAAATAATCCAACTGACCTCTTCCATTTTACATAATCATCCTCATCACTTTCTATCCTCATCCTCATCCTCATCTTCATCTTCATCCTGTATCTTACCTTTTCATCTTTGGCTCTCTCTCACTCACTCTAAATCTCTTCGGTTATCTTGGTAGTTTTATCTGAATAATTTGAAATTAAATCGACGGTTGATAATCATCATCATCATTCAACTAAACCGGTTTACCTTTTTTTTTACTATTTTCTTTTTTTTCTTTATCAAGTTTTTGTTCATTCTCAATTCTCAAAAGCTAAACAGGTAAAAAACTATCAGATTGATTAAGTTGCAAATCACTGAAGTAAAAACACTCATCAGGAAACACCGTCTATTTGCATTGATTGTGCGTTTGTGTTTCTCTCATTTGCAAACACGTACTTATTGTGTATTCCCTTTGGTTCATCAATTTACTCAACCGAAAAACGTTTAATTGTGATTAACAATTAATTGTCAACTTACGATACTTTTACTCTGTTGATTTGTTCCCAAAGTTGATCAACTGAGAGTGAAAATCATTTCCGTAGTTTTGTGTTCTGCCTCTGTGATTAGGATTATCCATTTAAAAAGAGATGGTTAAATTGACGATCAATCAATCAGCTTGTCTTGGTAATCAATCTATGGATAAACAAGTTAATCCAAGTGAAAGTAAAATTAAAGTTAAAATGAATAACAATAAGTTTAGAATGAAAAATTTTGAGAAATTGTTTGGTAAACAAATTGGATTAAATGAGAGGTTAATTGCTGATTATTCTGGTGCAATTTTACGCGATATGATAATCGCCGGGCGATTGTACATAACCTCGAGCTATCTTTGTTTCTATGGATCGTTATTGAAATGGGAAACTAAAATTGTCATCAGATTATCCGATATTTCATCAATCATTAAAGCCAAAACAATCAAAGTGATTCCAAACGCAATTCAAATTGTCACTCGAACTGGAGATAAATACGTTTTCACTTCGTTAACTTCGAGACAAAAAGTTTACAAAACTCTGGTTTCTATTTGGACGGCAAATGTTTCTCATGAATTAGCTAATTACGATTCTGATACTGATAAATCATCAATTGATTCATCAATTCGTAAATGTTATTCTAACCTTGAATCTGGATCTAAACGAATAAGCGACAGTCAGGTTACTAATAGTAAACTAATTAAAAGTAAAAGAAAATACTTTTCAACGGGAGATTTAGCTGATACTAAATTTATTAATAATTTCGGTGGTAATTTATTATCAACATTTGATCCGATGCCTGATAAATCACCAGGAATCAATAAGAAAATTCGAGATCCAGCTAAATGTCCACATACGGAGTCGTGTTTAGCTGATGTCGTTTTACCGATTCATTTGAATCGATTGTTTGAAATGCTTTTCACTGATTCACCATTTATCTCAATGTTCACCAAGAGTTTGAAGCACACAGTTACCATGAAGAGGGAATGGTCAGTTCTAACCGAAAGTGATCTACAACAATCAGGAGGATCTATGGTTGCAGTTAGACAATTAAGTCGAGAGATGATATTAGATTATCCATTTGCAAAGAATATGTCAAGTGAAGAGATGATGTACCTTGAACATTTCGATCCTTCCAACTTTTACTCGATCAAATTGATATCAGAATCATCAGGAGTTCCTTTATGTTCACTATTTAATGTCGCCAGTTATTATTGTTTACATCGAACTGCGAATCCGTCGGAAACTCATTTGCATTTTCATTATAAAGTCGAGTTTAAATCAAAGGCTTGGGGATTCAGGTCATTTATCGAAGAAGGAACCAAACGAGCTTGCCAAGATTATATTGACTCATTATTAGAAATGATTAAAAAATGGTCGATGGATAATCCGGATTACATAGTTAATCCCGATTTTCCTTCTCAATTGAAACCTTTCAACAACGAATTATTATCCACCGATGAGAATCAAAATGATCGAGAGAAAACTTGTAACAATCAACAGTCGATTGTTAATCAACCAATTGCTCAGTCAACGTCGAAATTAACTTTTGCTCAAATGTCCAACATGGAAAAAATTGAATCTAATCAAACGAATTGTCTTTCACCTTCAATACAAAATGAAAATTTTACTGAGAAAAGTTCATCTCCAGATTGTAATGGTCATTTTGATGACCAGTATTTACTCAATATTGTCAAATATTTGAAACCTTTAATTGTTTTTCTACTCATTTTAACGATAATCAATCTTTTCTTAATGATTAGATTAATTAACACCCAAATCTTGTCATCGTCATCATTTTGTCCTTCAAATCAAGTTTCATCACAATCCAGTTTCATTGGTTTATCAGGTTCCGATGAAACATTTGAATCGTTAACTAATTATGGTTACAATTCATTGGGCTGTCGACGATAATTTTTTGTTAAATTTAATTATTGATATTAATTCATAACTTATATTGTTTTAATCTTGATTATCTTATTAAATATTCAATTTAAATTCATTTCCATCTTTTTCTCTAAATCATTTATCATCTAAATTTGCTCATTACTCGTCTTGACCTGAACTTGATCAAGATGACCAACAACACCCGGAATCTTAATGAAACAGTTTAACAGGTCAACTGTTAACAAACAAAATAAGTTAATTGTTCAATATCTGATTGGAAGTGTTTCTTTTAAAAGGTCAATGGAAAAGGTCAACAGATTTGAAATCGTTCATTTTAGTTACAGTTCATTGGCGAAAACAAGTTAATATTTGACCTTTTGTTTCGGTTAGAAACCAATATTATCGAGATCAGAATAATTGATTCATTTCAATTCCATTGTAATAATTTACGATTAACAGGTAAATCCAATTGCTGAACTTCAATTAGACCAATTTACTGAAATAATCGTCGAAAATGATTGTCGCCATTAGAAGCCTATTGAAGCTCGTTCTCTTTTCAATAGAATTACTTTTCTAATATTTTATTTTTTCTTTTTTCACTCAGAATTGTTGTTTTTCTCAATGAATTTATTTTGGAAAACAAGATTAACTAATTTGGTCGATAACAAGAAATAATTGTTTCCACAAATTCCGAGAAAATTAGTCAAGTTTTATTGGTTATCTTTTCTACGGAGAGATGGCGACAAAAGTCAAATTCGTTGAAATTTCAAATCGCTCGATGAATTTACTTTCGAGCAACTGTAGATGGAACTTTGGTTTACGAACTTAATTAAGTTAATTATCGTGTCTTGATTGATTTACAACTTAATTTCCATTTCTTATCATTTTGATTGTAATAAAAAGCAATGTCAATTCAACGACTACCTTTGCATTTTATTGGGTTAATCAAGTTGAGGGGAGATGTAAATATTAGTTTGATTAGAATTTGAATTAACATAGTAAATGATAAATTTTTTATAACCAATTTACAAATGATATACACGAAAAAAAAGAAAGTAAACAAAGAGAGAAATGCATAAAAGAAGAAGAAGAGAAAAAAGAAAACAATAAGGTAGCAATAGAGATTAGGAAGAAGAAAAAAGGAGAGAGAAAGAGAGTAAAATTATCATGAACGATGAGAATCCAGTGAATCAAATTAAATTGTTAAAAATTTATTTAACTATCCGTTTGCTCATTAACTCTTCCTCGGCCAATTGTCCTCTAAAATTGCCCACCCTTTCCTTAAATCGTGTTAAAACTTCAATATGATCTTCCAGCGAATCCTCTAATTGGGCAACATAAGAATCAACATCGTAATCAACATCGGCGGTCATTTTCAGTAATTGTAAATGAGATGATGACCATTGAGGTAAAGTCTATTGGAGAGAAAAAAAAATAACAAAATCATTGAAAATTAGTCTCAATTAGTTGGAAAGACAGAATTAATTTTACCTCAACAAATGTCTTGTGAATATCAAGAATTTCATCTTCCAATTCTTGAAGGTGGGATAAAGTTTCATGGAAATTATATAAATCATCCGGTAAATCCTCCGCCTAAATCAATATGAAAAGATATATAAATCAGTGAAAATGAATATGATTTATGATAGATAGTAAATCTCTTACATTTGAATTGTGTAGTAATGCTAAATCATCACCATTCTTGGTTAACATGTCATCATCTTCATATTCAATATTTCTCGGTCCGGGATTATCAGCTCCAAGCTCTTTTACTCTGTCAGCATATCGAAGGGTATTCAATGAATGCTCACACGATTGCATACCAGGTGAAATCATGGAAATCTATTTAATCATGAGATTGAAATATTAGTGAAAGTGAAAAGTTATTAACATGACCAATAGTAGACATGGGAATGTAAGATTGAAAATCAATACAGGATGACAATCATAACTTGTAATAGAGTTACGTATATATTTCAAATGAAATTGTCTAGAGTATTCCGAGTATAATGAACTTTAGATAATTAAAGGTAACTTACCATACAAGTTCTTGAATTTTCACCAATAAATGAGTCTCGAAGTACTTGTGTCAATTTACTTGCTCGAAAAGGTAAATGAGCTCCTTTTCTGCCAAGAGCTCTGATACATTCTTTTAATGCTAAAAGTGATTTATTAATTTCTGCTCCTTCCATACGAGTTTGTCGATTAGCTGATGATGTATCTGCTCCTCTCTCATTTCCAGCTAAATCAATTAGTGAGAATTTACCTCGAAGTCGATTGTTATTTTTTCGTTTCAATATTATCTGGAAAACTGCATGAGATCGAGAGGAATGATTATTGGCCGATGTAACACCCGAAGTACGAATATTATTTCCCATTTGAATCAATTTCAAAACATCATCAACAGTTTCCACTGATCTCTCTTGTAGACCAACAACTTGAACCTGATTTTTGGCATCTTCCAACACTCTCAGCTTTGCTTTGTTATTTAGAAGATCAAAAACCTAAACAATAACAACAATTAACAAAAGTAATTAATGTAACAAATATACAATAAAGGAAGATGAAAGTGAGAGGGAGAATGAAACTGATGAAAACTCACCTTTCCACTGTAAATTTCAAAGAAACTAGCATAGACTACAAAATCTTCATTCCGATATTTAGGAGATTTAACAAGTTTAAATACATCTCGTGCTGCCAAATAGTAAATACCTCGGGATGAGTCTTGAGATTTACCATTGAAATCACCTCCCATTGTATGAGTTTTACCACTTCCAGTTTGACCATAGGCGAAACAAGTAGCCATTCCGCCTTCAAATATTGTCTGTACAAGAGGCTTGGCGGTATATCTATAAATCAGCTCATTATCAGCGGTTTCATCAAATGCATAATCAAATCTAAACATATGATTCTCCAAGTAACGTGTTAAATCAACTTTATGTTTAGGCTCATGAACAACAATTAAATCTTTTGAGGGCACAGTTATCACATCGATATCTTTCTTTCCAACTTCTTTCTTATTCATTGGCCTTTTTCTTACAGCGACACAAATTTGTTGATATGCAACCGGATCTCCCATACTTAATGGTTTATATTCAATTTGTGATCGATATTCACGAATCATTCCTAAAAATTCCCAATTTGGATTCCCTTGATCAACAGCTGACATTAAATCTTGTTTCTCTTGTTTCTGTTCTGCTTGACGGTTTCTCCTTTCTTCTCGTTGTTTCTTAATTCTGTCAACCTCTTTAACTACATTCGATCGTCGCCTTGACTGCGCTGTATTAGCTGCAGCAGATTTTTGGGCTATAGTTTGATTAAGTGTCGACTGGTTGATTAAACCACAAGGAGCTGATGTTAGAACTGTCGGCAAGGCTTCCGGTATACTCATTCCATTGCCATTGCTGATTGTTGTCCGTTGATTTTGCCTCATTCGAAGTGATCCCTTGGTTGAATTAAGAGCAGCAACTGATGGTCGAGGTGGTAGAACCTGAAACCAATAGATGTCATCAAAAGATAAATTAGAAAAACAAAGAAATATTACAATCAGACATTCAATATAAGACTAGATTCCAAGAATTTACAGCAACAATACCTCTTCACTATTGTACTTATCATTGGTAAGCAAGTAAAGAGAAAAAAAGAGAAAATGTTATTGTTAGTATGTGATGAGAGATTAGAAGAGAATTTAAGATGAATAGATGGACATACACACCCAAAGGTGAAATTTTGGAAAAAGTAAAAAAAGAAGAAAAAATTTGACAAGAACATGTAATGTTTCTTGATTGGAGAATAAGAAACATGAAGATGTTGTTGAAATTTTTAAAAGTCCACAGGAATAAGAGGTATTACTTACCCTTCTTGGAGCAACAGTTTTACTCTGATTTGAAGATTCATCACAAAGATTAGGGTTAAGTAAGTAAACAGATTCAAAATCAATCTCTTTTCCTTTAATTTCTTCCGATTCCGACCATTCAACTGTAACACTCCTATTCACATAATCAACATTACTTATAACAGCAGAATGAATTCGACCATTTGTACGTTGAATATCGACATCTAAACCAATTCGAAGTTTCTCCATAATTAATTATTCCGAATGATAGAAAATAAAAAAATTAAAATAGAAAAAAAACCAAAGAGACAAATAAAATATTCTAAAACCAAACTAACAACTGAAACAGAATTGAAACAACTTCCATTCACTGGAAATGCTACGATTTTCAATCGATCATTTGAATCTTTTCAAAAAACGATCAATCGTTTTAATGATCGATCTTTTTTCTTTCTTTTTTCACTTTCTTTTTCTTTGTTTGTTTCCTTTTCTTTCATCTCGATTTATTAATCGATCTGAACATCATCTGGTAGAATGAAGATTAATTGTTGACCGGTTGTCACTTTTTCTATTAAGAGAATTACAATCAGTGAAAACTTTGTAATTAATTGGAAAATAAATTACGAGAAAAATGAAAAAATTGATAATCAGAAAATCATCACTGTTTAGTTTACTTTTCTTCCAATAGATGTCGCTAATTGTCGAAATTTTTTTCTTTCCAAACAAATTGTTTTCTAATTAAATTAATCATCTTTAAATTTTCTTCTTAATCAAATTATTTCTGATGATAATTGAATAAATTGTTAAATGAATTAAGAAAATTATCCATTTTAATTCATCAAATTTGTAGATCAATTTTTCTTCGCAAAAGTTGACTAACCTTTAGATTGGATGAATGGAAAAGTCCAAAAGTTTTATTACTCTTGTAATGTTAATTTCAATCAATCAGAGCCAAAGAAAATTTGATTTAATCTCCTAAAAATGGCCAACTAACTGAATTAAATCAAAAATGTAGACCAATACTCTTGGATACAATAGAAAACGTTATTTCAACAGAGTCTCATTATCTGGTAGTTGACTGAATCTATCAATCAATTAATCTAATTAGAACCTTCGTTTTAAATATTTTTACGGTTTTTAGATCAAAATTTATTATTTAAACTTGAATTCTCTTGTTAAATTGTCTGGTACAACTTTTCGCAATCAATCACTCTGAAACTAAATTGTTAAATCATTACACTGAGATGTACTATTGGATGAACGAAAATCTTTGATTGTTTCCTCGTAGTGGTCAGTGTATTGACCCTTGAAAATTTTTCGCAAATTTTCACTCCCATGGACACTTGATTATCGATAAGATTGAATATGAACTAGTGAAGGTTATTAATTGCTCTTGATTAACATTATAAGCTCATTTCTTTGACTCTGAGCAATTGATAAATTTTATATTAATAACTTCACTTGTGATAATTAATTATTTGTGACATTCAAGTTTTGCTAAGAATTGTTGATTATTATTAACTTTTTAGATTAAGTGAATGCTAATCAACAAGAAAATCTCAGAAGGAAAATAATGTGAGAAAAAAGTTCTACATGAAAGTCTCAACCTTCAAACAAATTCTCTAAACAGAACTAAACTTTACATATCAGCGAATAATTTCAATTATCAACCAACAATTAAGAAAAATCTAATAATCATGATTCATGATGAACGAAGTAAAAAACATGAAACCAAATCAAAAGTTCTAATCAAAAATCTTCATAAACCAAATACCCTAATCTCAATTAGATGCAACATTGTCATCTACACACACTAAAAGCAGAAACGAAAAAGCAATTAACTTAAATTATTAATAAATTAAATTAAACCACTTCGATAATTAAGATTTTCCTAGCGGAGAAAAGACAACTGATCAATATTCCAAACACATTGTTGTGCATCTAATTACCCACATAGTTGAATTCAAAACGAAGCACAAACGGTAAAGACTTTTTACGAAAAGTTTCCCCACCGACAGATGGCGCTACTTTCGATAATCAGGCTCAGTGTTGCGAGAGAAAAATTTTTCAAAAAATTAAGATGAATTAAATTGTCGGTGTTATTTCAACGAGCATTAAATAATCAGTTCTTTTTTAATTATTAAAGTGATTATTAAATTAATTAAATTGATAAAATAGTCGATTAAAACTGTTACTTTTGGACGAAGAAAAGATTGATTAAAGAAAAGAGCATGCGTTAAGTGGCTACTCTCATTTTCCTTTTTTTCTTGTTCTTGTTTTCATTTCGGTTTAGTTGAACACTTACTTTTTATTTGATTGTTACAATCAATTTACCTTCATGTTCACATTTTCTTTTTTTTTAATTGTGATTCTAAATGCAATTCAAAGTGATAATCTTTCTGCCAACATTTTAACCAAAATTTTCTATTCACCAAACACGGCGAACAACAAAAAGCAAACCAACCTCCATTTTGTTGATTCTAAAATTGTGATCTCTTTCTTGTTCTTTTCTTATTCTTTTCTCTTGTTACATAATAATCTATATATTGGATAACATTGAAGATACATCAACAATCACAACCAAAGGTCTTCACCTTTTTCTCTCTCTCTCTATAAATATTATCGACCTTTTATCGACACAAACAAGAACCAACAAAAAAAAGTGGTTATGTTCACCTTGATCACTACAATCTTAATGTTCTGTTGACAATCATCTGAACCTCCATCATCTTTACCCTATCATCGTCTTCATCATCATGTCCATCTCAAAGGATGATGAGATTGGTGTCAATTCTAGGATAGTTAAAAAAGGAATCTTATGGCAACAAAATGGTTCCAGAAAAGGATTTAAGAACATTTTTAAACATAAATGGAAACAACGTTATTTTATTCTTACCAATAGTTACATTGCCTGTTTTAAGAAAAAGAAAAGTAAAATCTGTGAGATGGGATTGTTTCTATTTAAATTGTCTCTCACAGAGATTAAATCAGTTACCATGATCAATGATACCCTTAATATTAACGCTGATTCAATAATCTTATGGGATGGAGATAATTCATTAATCATTGATTGGTTTAATTGTATCAATGATGCCAAAAATAGTTGCCTCAAGCGAACCTCATCAAATAGTTCACTAATTAACAGTAAATCAACACCAGTTCTTGATACCAAACGTCTAAACCGAATTTCAGGTAAATTAACTAATCATTTTTCTACACTAATTAGTGTAACAATTTTCTATTCTTCCATCTTCATGGTGAACAACAATTAATAATCATTGAAAACACTCACAATCAACATGACAATTTGATCTGTAAATCACTTTGTCATTTTATACCTGAGAAAATTTTTCTACTCAATTTACAACCTTTTTCAGAATATTAATTAATCAACTAATTTCTGTTATCTGTTACTTTTTTTATTTTCTTTCTCACTGATTAATCTTAATGATTAACTGGCTTGTAATTATATTTAATTAACGGTCATGTTTGCCAAGAAGATTATCCTCTAGGATTAAATAGAAAAGTTGATTATTAAATGAAAATTATACCGAAAGCAATTAAACATCAAACTATTTTCTTTTCTTTGATAACAATTAAGATAATTGGTGTTCTGTGTCATTGAATGTATATTTTGATTTCTCTAATTTTATTGATTATGTTGATAGTAAACAATTCAAATTGATCAATCAAATCAGAACAAATCTTTAAATTGTAAACTACCGGAAGAAATTACTGGTTGGACACAATTTAATATCTACAGAAAAACTGTCAACCATTAAAGTTTTAAAAAAAAAATCAACTAAATTGTTTCCATGATCATGTTGATAATGATCTGGAATTGAACTTTAATCAATTGAATCTTTTTCTCAATGATCTCTTAAACTTTGATCATTGACAATTTGAAAGTAATTCCTGTGATTACTCATTTCTCACTTTCACTTCCTTCAATTTCTTAATCATTTTCATCTCGAATGTTGATCAACACTCAACAATTTATTAATATATTGTTACCATTGACAATCTCAACATGATGATGACGATAATGATGACTGATTATTGTATGAATCAAATGTATTGTGTGTAGGTTTTGAAATGATGATTTTGTTTTTCACAATCAAAACAGTTCCAGTCTCATATTAATTGTTATGTCTCATCGCAAGTTGGATACCATGTAATTAGAAAAATAATAATAATTGACTTTTTTCTCTCTCTCTCTCTCTCTCTCTCTCTTTCAGTTTTATCTGCATATGAACGTCGTCTATCATCAATATCATCCTCCTCTTCATCATCTCACCTTCTTCCAGATCCACCAACTTTCCCTCGTCTTGCACCACAATGTAAAGGTGTAATTAACAGTTCATCCTCGCACTTCAATACAACCGGTCCACCAGCCTACCATTTGAAACCATGTCCTTTCACCTTATCCATATCACCTTCACTTACACAGCGATCACTTTACGCCCAGAAGATACTTTCATCAACCTCATCACCCAATCCAACACCAACCCACTCGAAGTTTTTTCGTCCCTTTAAATCATCTTTAACCTCAACAACATCATCATCATTCCTACATTATGCCACTCAACCAAGGTTACAATCTTCATCTAATCTTAAATCAGCTGCATCAGAATTTTCATTCATCTCATTAAGTTCAACTGGTGCATCTCAAGCATCAGCACAGGCTAAAGCACAACAACAACAACAACAACAGCAACAACAACAAACACAAGTACTACAGTCAACACCTCAACGTCACTTAATTAATTCACATTCAACTTTACACCAAACTTTACTTCACCAAACACTTTCAAGACACACACCTTCACTGCCATCATCTTCTGGTGGACCTCCGTCATCATGTCCCTCCGATTCACCGAGATTTTTATCCTCTTCACAAAGTCCTTCTCATCATGGTTCTTTTGATTCAGATTCACCACCACCACCGCCAGTTCCACCTCCACGAATTGGTACAACTGATCGAAGGATTCGTCCTTGCTCATATTATATCGAAGCTGCGAATACCTCATCAAGCTATTCTTCAAGTTCCTCCACATCGGCTGGAACAACAACTTCCATGACATTGCCATCCCATAATAGGAAAACATCACCTCTGGTAGATAATTTAAAAACTAGTAATAACAACACCTTAAATAATCACAATCATCATCACCATCACCTTAACAACATTATCAACAATGAGAATAATAATAATAATAATAATATGAACACATTGAAATCAGGGACAACCAAGAAAAAATCTCGAATGGTTCGTATCATTGAAAATTCAAGTCGACCTTTTCGTTGATTAATTTTTAGTCAAATTAGCGAGATAATCATTTGTAATTATCAACGAGATTAAGATTTATATAGTTTCAGCTTGATTGTAGTCGAGAACAGGAAAGTAACAAATCCTGTCGCACTTTCTTGGATTAATGACATTTGGATTAAGTTACCTTAACGGTACGAGAAATGAAAGCATTAAGAATATCTAATAACATCAATACCTCGTACTAGTGCCAAGCTTTCATATTTACCACCTCCCACTCCTCATCAGACACTCACATACACACACTCTCTCATCCACTACGAGATTAAGTCAACTTAGAAAGTGAGATGATGTTTGAAACCAAAAGAAATGGAGGAAAAGAGGAGATGATGATTTTCCAATGCCAATGAATTTTGATCTCTTCGAATCTTTTTGTACATTTTACATTGAAATTTATGTATACACAACAACAAGCCACTCGACTTATACACTCACTCACTTGCACATTACCAAGTTTTTGCAATCTTTTTTGTTGGCCATCTTTCATTATTTATTTGTTATTAGTATTATCATGAAATTCAGTATGGAAAGTGAAAGGAATCAATTAACTGACCACTTCCAATGGATTAAATGGATTATCTGTGAAAAATTTGTTCCAACTTATGGATTAACTTTTTTTTTCTTCTCTCTTTCCTTTTCTATTTCCTCCTTTTCCCATTTCCTCTTCCTTTTATCATGTAATGTTGAAATATTCTGAATCTACCTTATTCTTTCTTTGTTAATGTGTCTCCTCATCCAACCTTCACCCACTCAAATCCTTCGGTGTTGATCAAGGGTAAAATTCAATTTACGTACTTACCTTTTTGATTTGTAATTCTAGTTCATCATTATGTTCAATCATCTGTTTCTTCAATCATGTTTCATGAGAAATTCTCAGATTCCCTCTTTCAGAGCGCAACTAAAACAATAGTCAACCCCTTGTTTCAACTTCCGTTTCCAAGTTATCTTCTTTATCCGTTTTATCATCTTCCTCATCATCTTGATTATCATCATTTTCATCTCTCTCTCTCACTTTCAGGCAAAACAAACAAACTGAAACCAAAACTCACTCAATTTGTGTCATAATAACAATGTAGCAAGAAAGAAATCAACAAACCAAGGCAGCCAAACAAGCATAATAACATTTCCATCACCAATCTCCTTTTCATAGATTTGTTTCCCTCCGTATTATCAATTTCATCTCCATTGATTCAGCTAACCATCTCTCTCTCATCACCCACAGTCCATGATGAAAATGATGATTACAAAAGATGAAACTCTGGAACATCAATGAGGAAAAAAATGTCAACCTCAAAGACAAAAATCATTTCATCTTCATTATTGGTAAAAATACTAAACAAAAAAAAACGAGACCAAGTAAACTCTTTTTTCATCCTCATCTTTCACTCTTTCTGCTCATACTCATCCCACCATCATCATCATCACCCTCTCTCTCACACTCACTCACTCACTCGCCCACACCATCAGAATTGACCCTTGCAAATTAAATCACAAGGAGGAAGTAACTAGGAAAAGTTATATTAATGTACAAATGTAACCTCTTTTTTTGTGTATATAAATTGATGTATAAAAACAAAGACAAACCAAAATAATAATAACACTAAATGAAATTAAATCACTTGAAAACTTGTTTACCTTTCACTTGATCCAGTTAATCAATTTGATTAACAATCAACATTTATTACCTTCATCAAGCCCGATAAGGAGTTAAATTGAATAACAAACTTTTTACTTGATTCACTTTCAGTTAATTGTTAATCAATTTGATTAACTTTATTTAGACAAAACTGGTTACCTTTAATATAACTTTTTCTGGTTCAAATGTTAATCTGGTTTATCTGGTTTGTTAATTCATTTTCACTTGATGATGAAGATGATTAATAATATATAAAAATGGTTAATAATAATCAAGAGATTAATTTAAATTAAAGTGAGAGATTAATATGATTATCAATCCGATTGGTTTACAATTTAATAATCATCACAACATTTTGATTTACAATTTCAACCTGAAACTAAACTGTTTCAGCTAATTGTCATCTTAAATCATTATTATTATTATTATCATTTACTTTCACAATTTAAGGATTTAATTTATATATAAATAGCTGAATGTAATTATTTTACCTGTTGTTAAATTGATTGTTGATTTAAAGAAACTGTAATGATTAGGTAAAAGTGATAAATACAATCACCTTGAGGCAAAAAGTTGACAAACTTTGACAAAAGTTAATGATATATAATCAAGTTAATTTAATAAAGTTGATCAACAGTAAAACGAAAGCAATTAACTAACCAAATTGGATTCAGGTAAGTTACCCAAAAATATCAATTATCATCACTGAATATCATCATGATCCCTCATCCACCCTGTTTAATTATCTTCCACCACCCAATTCCTCCTCTTTAGGCTTAATATATGATATATATTTAGCAATCAACGATCAACAATTAACTTTATTTCTGGAAAATGATAATAACATTATTATTATTTAAGCAAATCAATTAACATTTATTATCTTGATTCATGTTTACCAATTCAATTCATGTTTTCTTGATTCTAAAAGATTGATTTAACCAACAACAGATTAAACTTTTATGGTAAAAGGTTAAATTTAGTTTACTAATTGTGATTAATTTAAACACAGATTACCTGTTAATCTTGAACAAAACAGATCAAATGAATAAAACAAACATTGAACTTGAAAATGATTAAGATTTAATTTCTATCAATAAAATTGATTTCATGATAATCTTCAACTTTACATGGGAGTTGAATTTGTTATCTGTCATTTTATCTTCACCATGAATTCAATGGTTTCTCCTGAGGATTGAGAGCAAATAATTGTAATAATAATAATAAGAGTAACAATTTGATTCTGTTCCATGTTAATTCATCCAAATATATTAATAATAATCTAACAATTCATTGAACCATATATACGATTCATGAAGATAATCATGTTGATGATAATTTATTATTTGAGTTTCATCAGAATGATGAATGAAATAACATCATGATAACATTTAGATTAATCTAATATTTTATTTCTCCAAATTATAATTACAATTGATTATCATTGGCTATTCAAAAATTGTTAATTATGACAAATTACATGATAACTTTGATCATAATTTTCAATGAATACTCAGTAATTAAGTGGCAGAAATAATTTATAATCAAGCAAAGTTGTTTTGATTGTGGTTGAAAATCATAATCACAAAGCTTCATAATAAACATTACACCAATTTAATTAGAAATTTGTAATAATTATGTTGATTGGACAAAATCAATTTAATCAACTGATTGTAACACATTAGCTGATATCCCAATCAGGATTATCGTCATCATCATCATCTATTTTTGATCATCTTCATCCAGATCTCATGGTGGTCATTTCCATTGCTGGTCAATTCACTTGAGAGTAATTTTTATTTTTTCATTTCACTCAGAGGTGGACGGTGGGGCTGAATAGAGTCAGAGAGGAAACATCTCAACATCTTCATCATCTTCCCAATTTTATGCTTGTGTTGCATTGTAAATGATGATGACGATGAAGATAATGATGTTTGGAGAGTGGGGAGAACAAAAAAAGTTCAGTTTCAATTCGTGACTTGACTTTTTCCTCTTCATGTAAGAGAGAGAGAGAGAGAGAGGAGAGGGAAAGACTAATCCACTCTGTATATTCATATTGTATCTAATACTAAATTTGTAGCTACTTTTGTCCCTCGTGTGAGTGTTTGTATATATACGGTGAGTTAACTTGAAGCTTGAGTTACCATAATTTTCAAAGGTTTTCATAAGAATCTGGCTCAATCTCATGGTGGAAACTCAAATATATATCTAATATATTATCATGAGAGAATGATAAAAATAAAAGATGAAGAGAAGTGGAAAGTGTGAAAGAGAAGGAGAAAAAGTTTTTCGAAGAGAGTGAAAGGAAAAAGTTGAACCTCTTCTAGTGAATAAGATAAAACTACTATTAGAACTAAATTGGAAAATTGTTCTAACAACTTCTAAGATTATCTCACTTGAATGAATTCGATAGAATCACATCATGATGACTTACATCATCTTTCTACTTATAATCAAATTGACTAATTGCTCTTAGAGATTAAGTGAAAAACTTCTCAAACCAAATTCGTACTCACAAAGAATCGAACTTTTTTCTTCTCCAATCCAATCCAATCATTCGAACTGATTAACTGATCATAAGTGGTTTATCATTCTCACTTCGTCATCTATGTTACTCTAATTGTTTCCATTGCAATCAATAGATAGCAAAGTATCATATCAACTGGTCGAACCAATCGAAGGAGAAAATTCTGGTCCAACAATCAACCGAAAATCTTGTCTGATCGAAGTCATTCAACTTTCTTAATTCTTTTGATTAATTTCACTTTAATTCTCAATTAAAGGTAGATGATTAACTAAATAATCTCATCTTATTATCTTCATCTTGTTGATCATCTCCATTCTAGAACATGAACAAATTGTCCTTTGAATGTTTTCTCTCTTTGTGGGTCAAATGGAAAATAAGAAGAAGAAAAAAACTAGGCCAAGTCTCGATCGATAGACTTATAAACGATAAAAAGACATGACAGAGATGAGGATAAGGATGAGAGAGAAAGATGATAAGGCTTAGAAGAAGATGAGTAGACAACAGTTTAAAGAGTTAGAAGATGATACGAGAGAGAAAATAAGAGAAAAGAAGATGAGGTTGACATTTTCTCTTTTAAAGACTTTTGTCTAAGCAACGAAAATGAGGATGAAGATACTGAGAATACAGAGAACTCAGAATCAGATAAGTTACTCAGTTTTCATGGAGAAAGATTTTCCTCCTTCTCGAATAACTAATATCGATAATTACTTTCAATTATAAAGTTCAGACGATAATTATTATGGTGATTCTTCATTTTTTTAGCATTTAAGATGATCGATCATTTTGAGATATAATAAATTAGGTTAAGTTATCTGAGTATCATGAAAATAGTAATAAAGATGATCAGTTTCAACTTAATCACTTGTACAACACCAGAAATTAAATGAAGGCAGTTTAATAGACAAGGAAAATGATATTATTATTACCATGAAATCACATGAAAACAATATGTTACTCAAGAAAAAGGAATAGGAAAATATTGACTCCTTCTCATGATGGATTCAAATTCATATTGATAATTTATTCATTCATGGAAAGTGATTCAATATGCAAACATGAACATCTCAGGGTAATTTCAATCAATAATAATAATAAAACTGTTTATGACTATTTATCGTGTGTTATCATTACAATTGTGAATGATTTAAGTTGGGTGAACATTTGAACAGTAAATGAACCATCACCATGAGCAATTGGGATACAGTGTGTGAAGAGAGTGAGAGAGAGAGACGATTGGGAGGCGGAAAGAAGATGTAAAGTTACATCTTCTTTCTGAGAAGGAAAAAAAATCATGAAATCTTTTTCCAGGGAAAAAAAAGGTTAAGGTTATTTACTCAAAGAATAACAATTTTTTTCTTATGGTAAATTACTGAATAATCTCAGAGGATTGAATCTTTTTTATCATCAGTGTATATCAACATTGAGACTTCATCGGTCCGTCTCTTTTGTTAAGTATCTTTTGTTGATGGTCCTTGATGAGGATGAGCATGATTATCATCATGGTAATCGAGGTGGAGAGGAATGAAGATAATGCTAAAGATGATGAGGATGCAAAGCTTGAAAGCAAACATGTCATAGGAAATTCATCCAACCATCTTAACTCTCTCTCTCTCTCTCTTTGTTTTTCCATCTTTTCATTTCACTATTCCTGTGAAAGTATAAAAAAGTTCAGTGTTCATTGGATATGCTCTGAATCATCATGTTTTTTATTCAGGAAACTCTTCAGGCCTTAATAAGAATCGGTTTGAAATGAAAAAGTTTCCAATGAGAAAACAGTGTTAATCTTTTAGGTAAAGAAAAAAATTTTCATCTCATGTTGATTTTGCTGCGTTTTTTTGCACTTTTGCAAATTGTTGTTTCTCTCGATTGCAATTAATTGCAGTTAATTGCAAATGTAACTAAATTGTTTCTTCATCTGATAATTATCAATTATAATTGATGGGAAAAACATTGAAATTGCATTTACACATTGGTGTCTAATTGTGATTCCTTTCTGTTAATTGCAAACTTTTCAATTCACTTACATGTTAGTTGATTATTCTGAGTATTGGATGAAAGTTTTTTTTTATTTCTTTCATTAATTGTGATAATTTATTAGGGAAGAAATAATCATCCCAATGGTGATAAAAATGAGCATCATGAAATGAATGAAATAAACAAAAAATAAGAGAGATAACAATCAAATGGAATGATGAATGAAATTGGAATCAATATAATTAACATGATTAGACTATTTGAAAGATATTCATTTGAAATGAACGATTATCATGATCAACAAAAGGATGATGATGATTAAGCTAATGAATAGGAAAATAGGGATGATAATGATGATTAAGTTAAGCTGAATTGATGAATAATCTAAATTCTGAATGAGTTTCTAATCTGAAAACTGTTTCTATTCACGAATGACCATCAATCAATCGTAAAGTTATTATTGTAAAGTGAAAAGTAGACACAATTTTC